CAAAGAGATTCTTTGTGATCGGGATTTCCAATGAAAAAAGCATCTGAAAAGTTTCTACGTCGACGTTTTCGGAAAAAAAAATGACGACTAGTTGTTTCATCATACTATCATGAGATAACAAATAAGTTCGTTTCAAAAATCACAAGATAAAGATTTGTCTCAAACAGGTACAAGCAAAATCGAAAATCGACCAGTAAAGTAACTCGATACTCTATTTGTTGTTCAAAATCAGGACCGTATATAGTTCTACTGAAAGTAATGTGCAGGAATAGTCGTAAGTGTGCAAATAATGCCCTTTTATTTTGTAAAGTCAACAATACAATTTTCCTGTATGGTAAAAAATAGGTCAAATTCGTACTTTTATGACGAAAACTATTATTAATATTCCATGTACCACTCAGTAGTACAGTATAACTTTCAATTGTTGTTGTTGTTGTTGTTTACAATTCCAAGTAACTAAAACAATGACACTTTTCCGCTCATGCCAACAACGAAGAAAACAGTAAAAGATAGAAGCAGGAATCATTCTCTTTGTAGAATTGATGACTATGCCATACTGCACTAGGCTTGGGCTCATATTTGTTGTTGTTGCTGTTCTGGTTGAATTTCAAGTAGTGGCGAATGGTTTGATTTTGCTGCGATAATAGAAAAATGCTTTAGGTTCGTGTCAATGTGCAAACCAATTTGTTCGTTTGCGTATGCTTTCTAGGAATTATATACCAAAAGTTGCACTTTATCTTCAGAGTTAAACCAAAACTCTAGTCGAACACGATGATATCAATGTGTGCACTCGTGTAATATTGTAGAAGTTCAACCCATCCTTCGTGAGTTTCTTTTAGAGATGCTTTGTATACTATCCAAACGCAACCTGTTTGCACAAAATGTTGTGTTTCCTTTTCACTTTTTGACAGCTACAACTACCACTACTTTCAACAGAATGATCTTCAGTGTGTTGGGAAAAAAACAGATCAGCAGCACTCTTGACACGCAAATACTGTTTCACACAAGTCGCCTTGTTTCCCATTCATACCTTCCTACTACTGTTACCCTTCTTTCCAACTATATAAGGACCAAAGACGATTTGCAATCGATGCCTTTCAGAAACACTATCGATACTAGTGCCAACTTTATCACTCTTACTACTCACATATCGTTTTAGACATATTTCACTCTCGGTAAAACCAGTAATTCATAAAAACAAAGGCGTCTTTCAAAAACGGACTAGTAACTACAGTCGCCATTGTCAAAACATTTTACCCAAGTTAAACACAACCATGATTTTCAGCAGTTTTCTTTTGCTTGCTTTATTTCATGGTTCCCAACAAGTTGAGTATATTTTGAACTGAAAACTTTTCCCTTGCTTTCAAAATACAAGTTTATTCAGCTTTCGTTATCTAAAGCCCTCTCATCCGTAATATTTCAAAAGACATACTCGAATCAATAGAGAATTGATCTAAAAGCACAACAATACAAACAATCATTGAAAAAAAGCAATGATGGACTCAAGACTTTCCTATGCTATCCTGAGAAATGCCTGTTGCAGAGTTACAGACCGATTACTACATCTTGAAAAGAGTCATATAGAAGACAAAAAACTAACATACAAAAAGTTAATCTGTGAACTGACCAAAACACTCAACTGAGAGTTTGACTGGTTTCTTGTTCTTGTAGAATATCTTTGAAATAATAGCCCCAAGCCTGATTCTCAGAATCTCAACAACAGACTACAGGACTTTCAACTGCTAATACATACGCAAAAATGCTCTGAAACAATTATCGATAGAAATAAACAAACTTGTGAGACAACTAGTTGATTAAAGTACCAAAACTCAACCACAGCTTGAATTCCTTTGTCTTTGCTCTCTTCTCGACAACGCTAATCTCAAATTTCCATACAAGACCAAAAGTGAAATAAAAACAAGTGTTGCATAAAGTATATAAACTCCAAAGAGATAATAAAATTTGTACATACTAAAAAGAAACTACAGTCTACTTGGAACTCAGAGCACAGGAATCGATGGATTGTTCTCAAAGAAACATTTACAAAGCTTAAAAGGAAACGTAGATAATAGAAATTCACTTGTCCAACTACATCAAACGACGAATTCGCTTTACAAATTAAAGTCTGAGAAGTTTCAATAGCAAACTTGAACCAGGTCCACAGCCTTGACAACACTCACTGAGCCTTCCCTTTCATCCAATAATCAAACCATTGTGCTACTTTCTAATTGGATTGTTATGAGAAGGATCGCTTTGTATTGTCTCCTTTCACTGGAGATATATTATTTTGAGTGACTAGTGAGTTTTATGAAAGAAAATATTCCACTTGGAGATATGTAAAAAGTTTCTGGAACAATAAGTGTGCTAGATACAATCAATCTCACATCTCAGTATTGTTGTGAAACGAGAAGAACAGTGTCGTAACAAAGGTCCTCGCAACTCCCTAGCGACACTGTAGCCTTTTAACAGAGTTGAGTTTGATCAATCTTGTCTCTGCAAGGTAAATTTCAAACTACTTGTGACCCTATTTTGATAACAAATCAAGAACGGTTTTGCTACAACTAGTTTTTGACTCGTTCTCGATCTGAGAACCTTTCTTTGTTGGTCACTCAAAATTTAGGAAAACTCCTTAAAGGTGTAAAATGGTCATTTTCTAATTTCAATGACATTAACTCTGTTTGGCTTGCGTTGTGAGAACTATAATCTTCCCTTCTATGCAAATTCGTTCAAGGAACAATCTTTGTTCGATTACGAGTTATAAAGAAGACGAAATCGTATACTCAACCGTAGAATTGGAAAGTATACAGAGGACAGGACAATAGTAAAAAACTGACCAAAGGTTGGGAATACTTTTGTCTATACACAAATTCATACATAAACTACGTACGTCAAGGAGGATCGAGCCTCCAAAGTTACAAGGGTCTTGGTTTGTTCTCTTCATAAACAACTTCTAGAGAGTTTTTACTGGTATGAGAGTAAAAGTGGTGATGCTTTTGCTTCTCCTTGCACTTATGTTTCAAGATTCACCTTTCTTTTTTACTTTGCAAAGAGGAGAATGAAAGATTCTTATTTTTCCATAATTTCTACGTTTATATTCTTTTCTTTTCACTAGGAGACGAAATTTATCCAATATATTTAAGAGAGTAAGACCTTTACCAGTTTGGATAATCACAATCACAATATCAATTTGACTCTGCACAATTTTATTCTGCTGAATAATACAAAGTTGAAAGAGACATTTTCCTTCTTTTTAGAGCAATTTGGATAAAACTATATCTTTTCTTCTTTATGTTTGACTTGTCCCTATTGGAAATGAACGTTTTTTGTATTTATAGACAGTTTGTTTATGCAAAACTTTGAGTTGTCTTTGATTCTTGTTACAAATATCTAAGGAGAAGCCTCCACCATTGTATCCATCTGTTTATATTTCGCGAGAGTTTTCTGCCTAGTGTCTAACGCGAATAACTTTTGTATTATGACTCATGCAACGAGCTGATGTTTGAGAGAGTGGGAAAAGAATCGGAAACAACTGGAGCTAAACAAATCTTTCCTTGAATTTGCAGAGCTTTTTAAAGTTTTGTTTTCTTCGTACTGGAAGAAATAAGAGTTCTCTTGGAGTTATCCATGCCCTAAGGCAGCTTTGTACTTTATATAGTTTGCTTTCTTATATATGTTGACAATTTGTGGTTTTTACAAAGTTCAAAGTTGATGGTACAAGAGAAGGCAGTGAAAACCTTTAAACCTAAACAGTCAGGTTTACCTTCAAAAGCACCTCAACTATATAGTCGACTACTTGGAAGAGACAATTCAACTATGATTTAAATGCTATGATGAAAAACGAGAAGAGATTCGATAGAATAGACTCAGTTGGACTGAATTGAACTTTTTTGAAAATAAGTTTTCTCTCAGCATAATCCACAATATCAAATGTCACTATTGTCTGCACATATTTTCAGAGGAGAAAGAAACAGGAGTTGTTGACCCTTACAGAAATTGTGTATTGATGATATGCACTTGTGTGCAGGAGAATGATTTGGTTAATACACTAGTGCAATCTTTCAAATATTTCGGAGATATCTTTGAACAAGTTTGAAAACTAAAAGTTTTTCATTTGAAGGCTATTTTTGGTGTCAATTTTGCAATATTGCAGAGTTGTAGCAATGATTCAAAATGAATAGACTATATATACATACATGTTGAATATAACTAGAATGAAAAATATCCTTTCTTTTCCAAGTACTTAGTAAAGTGGTTACCGAAAGAATATCTCAAAACATTCTTCATGTGTCTGCTATGTTGTCTTTCTAGTCTGTTGAAAGAAGAACAGTAACTCCTTTTATATAATTCTCAAAGACTGAGACAGAAAAAGTTGTTTGTAGATTTCACTTGGACTGTCCTTCCTGTCTTTTGTTAACTGAATAGAAGAGAGTTTTCCTCGGTTTTAGACCAAACGAAAAAAGTGGCAGCAAAAACTTCAGGCTTCATCCAACTTGAGAACCTACACTGCGGTCTTAAAAAGAGTTTTAGCTTCTTGAAATTCGATAAAAGTTTAGATTCCTTTCGTTTTTAATGAGTTTTTTTCAAACTGCATTTCTAGCCTTGGAATTCATATGAATGGCTTCTACAAATATGAAACTTGTTGGATCCAAGAGAAAATATAGCAAAGATAAGAACAAATACTAAAAAAGGTATTTTAGTTTGCAATTCAAACTCTATCTCAAAAGTATTCACGAGACTATATATTCAAACTCTGTTTTAGTGAATTAGACTGAAAACTCACCGATTTTCAGATAGGGAAAGTAACCCGGTTGCAAAGATGAAAAACTTTGTTTGATTATTGATAGTACAAGAGACATCTTAAGTGACTCTATCTATGTGACAGTCAGAGAAAAAACCTTTCTATTTCAGACGATCACCATTTACATAGGAGTTCTATTTATATTGCATTGCAAAGGACAACTTTGCGAGTGGAACAGAATTGTTTCTACTTAGTCAAAGGTAACCATATCCAATCTTGAAGTATTGTCATTCTATAACAATCACTTGACCGATAACTTAGGAACTACAACGTCTTTCAGCCAAGAGTCATGTTGGGTAAAGGTTGTTCAGTGTGGAGTGGCTTTCAGTTGGAGAATTGCTGAAGCTTTCAAGTTGGTACACTACTCGACCTTGACTCAAGTATACAAGGCTTCTTCTTTAGTAAAATTATTTTTTTGGTTCAATCTTTTACTCTTTTTTCAGCATCGATGTGCAGAAAATGAAGGGTTATAGTTACTATATTTGAAGCCTTAATTGATGTCCTTATATAAGACATATTCACAACTTGGTAAAAGTCGAACAAAGGATAGACAACTTGTGTAGCTATTACATCCATAACAGCTTGTATTTAATGATAAGTCAGTATGACAGTCTACATAATACTCTTCTCCAAATTCGTTCGATGTGGATCTGTTCGTTGCACTGTTCTATAACTAGAAAAGTATCTAGTTGAGACTTCCCATTCATTGCAATTCTCTGTTTCCCACTGTATTTCGTTTGTAACTTACAAAAGGTTTGTATCTTATTAGTCTTGTATATAGGAGTTTGCGTGTAAGATGGTATGGAAGATAGTAGGACAACTCTCTTACAGTATACAAGCCATAGAAATAGTACCCATCAATCTAATTCACCACAAAAATTCATAGAAACCTATTTCTTGTCTATTGTAAAAGAAAGTTTCTAGTTATTACAAGCAAGAAAATATTCCTGCTTTCTCTCTATTGTCATTGTGAGTCTAGAAGTGTCAAAGAGATCAGTTTTACCAATCACCAAATAAAGCAACCGCTCGAACAATAAAACATACACTCTCTTCCATCTCCTTTGAAAGTTTTTCGGTCATTGATTTATTCATTGCTTGTGAATTGATTTCGGATTGGCGGCGGCGTGTAAAATGAGTTTGAACGAACCGTTGATAGATAGAAAAGAAGATGTTTATTCTATTCTTCGAACTTATTACTACCAGTTTTCTTCAGCTGGGGGAAAATTAGATCTTTTACGTCCTGGAGCTTGCTTCTCCCCTCACATTTTTGGGGCGGGCAAAAGCTTTGTAGGTCAAAAATTTTTAGAGTTTTTAAAAAAATTCGCCGACGAAGAAGAAGAGCAGACGAAGACGGAGGTTTTCAACAAGAGCTCGTCGGGAAAAGTTGATGCGAAGATTTTTTCTTGGAAGCACTTTGCGGAAAACACTTTGTCAGTTTGCTTTAAACTAGGAGAGAGCTTTTCTGGTGCTCCTTTTCCAAGTTTTCTAGAGGCTTTGATGTATAATATAGTTTTGGCTACAGCCGAGTGTAATGGTATGAGTGCCCGAGAAATTGTTGAATTTACGGACGCAGCGATGAAGCATTTTGGTGTTTTTTTATTTGTTGATTATCTTCTCGAACAGTTTCAGAAACAATATTTATTTTTGATGATAGACGAACTTAGCCACCTGAGTGACCTCACCAAATACTATAGTGAACTTACCATGAAACAGTTTGTCGAGTCCGATCCTGGTTATATCCCGTATCGCAAATTTTTTCGAACTGTATATGAGTTGCTTGATACAGGAAAAGTTATCTTGTATCTTGCTGGGCGAACTGCTGAAATCTCAGCCCGCCTGTCTGATGCTCGCTCCAGTAGAGTGAGTCTCCGTATGTTGCGGTTGAATCCCTTTAACCTCCATGATATTAACGAATATATTGAGCTGGCAACTTATGATGGAAAGTCCTTGAAGGACTGTTTATTGCCCTCTGATGAATTACGATATCGATTCGTAGAATTGTTGAAGAAGAAGACAGGGGGTATTCCGTTGATTGTAAAGAATACTTTACTAGCCCTAGTAGGGAAACTTGCAAACTTATCTCAACCTGTTATCAACAATGACAATATGGAATTTTTATTAGATAGTGTCTTTGCAGATATACTAAATGAGTCGGGAACGTTTATTATTCCGGAGATATTAGATTCCGCAACCCTTCTTCGATATGAATTTGTCTTTTTGAATTATCAGCTCGGAACAGTTTTTCCAGTCGGATTTGCAATTACTCTATGTGGAACAAAAACTTATTTGATGGACTTGGTTGCAACTTTTGGGTTTTATTCTGAAATTTGTGAAACTGACGGGATTGATTTGGGCACTAAGTTCAAGATTGGTTGTTGTGAATTTATATTGCGAGCTCATAGCAACTATAACTTTTTCCGTGAGGCTACTGAACTTTTTCCTTTATCTCCGTTTAGTTATATTCCCGACACTTCAACAGCAAAGGGAGTCTTCTTTGAATTTGTATTTATGAAGATCTTTTGTTTTCGCTTATTAACTTTTCTTCATTCTAGTTCCTCGCCTATTGTACATTCTGCTATTCCAGGAATTTTCCAGGGTTCTTTTATTGAACAGGACAATGTTTCTTATTCTATGGAATCAACAAAATCTTATGATATACCCATCTTGAGAGATGTCTCTGATTCATTTTCTGTTCATTATAGAGATTATTTACAACGTTGTGGTATTTTTGTTCCAAAGGATGGCAATTCTAGTGGCCCTGATGCATATGTTGTATTCCATAATGGACAGACACGTTATGTTGTTGGATTTTCATTCAAATTTTATCACAAAAGTAACTTGTCGAGAAATGTTATTAACAGGGAAACAGCACAATTTTTTAAGGGAGTTGTTTCCGTTTTGAATGACGAATCTTTTTCATCTGTTCAACTTCGTTTTCAGTTTGTGGTAGTATGTACTAGATATGATCAATCTGTAGGTTTCTCTACCGAAGAACATAATATTGTTGAAGATGCAAGTGGTTTTGTGACTCAACATTCTTCGGGATCAACTTTGAATGAAAGTAGTCGATCATGTCTGCAATTGGTAATTGTTTCTCAAAGGAACCTTGAAGTGTATTTGGGAAGAGATAATGTCGAAACGTTGAGGAAAATTGGGGAAGCAAACCGAGGAGAGTTTTCTAAAGACTTTTCAGTATGGTGTGAAACTGTCTTTGAGTCGATGTCCAATGAATATGTTTCGCCTTTGGAGCAATCAACTGTTACTTTAAGAGTGGCTCGAAATATAAGACCGAGAACCAATGAGGAGAATAGGATGCAAATGGAAGGTTATCAAAGTGCTATGCAAGTGGAAGAAGGAGATACACGAGGCGAACAAAGGGTTGCAGCATCGAGTTCTTTGTCTTCGTCATTTGATTGGAATACTTTCCTAAGAGATCGTTGTGGTCTTTCTGAAGAGGATGTTGCCTATTGTTTGCCTAGATTGTCCTTCATAGGAGTAAGAGATTTTGATGGCGTTACGACAGATTTTCTTTTTGATTGTGGTATCGATAATCCTTCACTAAGATTGCGAATTATGTTAGGAATACGACAGTTTTTAGCAAAGTAGCTTTTATGGACTAGTTTGTGGTATGCCCATGATTTCCCTGTGGAAGGTGATGGAAGCCTTATAGAAGTCGTAGTCCTAATAAAGACATGTAATTTTTGTTTTTATCTCACTGCAAAGTCATTACGAGGTTAGTAACTTGAGATATCTTACCAATATGCTCGAATGCCAATGTTAGTTACGCTTCGAGAGAAGAATGACTTTGACAAGGTCTTCTGCTTTAACATTGAAATACCAATCTATATAGAGAACCCTGAAAAGTTATTGATAAACTATTTAAGAGAAGACTATGAACTCGCTGGTATAATGCTAGGTTGTGGTGCCACAAGAATGTCGTGTCCCCTTTTCCATTCTTACCAGTTATCTCCACCACCACCTTGACAGTTACGACGTTGAGAGAGTTGTGAGGAAAGACAAATCAGCAACACTTTTGACGACTAAAGTACTTTTTCACAAGTCTCTTTGTATACCGTTGACACCGTCTCGCTTCTGCTACCCTCCTCTCCAACAATAGAACGTACCAAATAACAACTCCAAGCAGCCGTTTCTCAGAAATATCATCATCAGTAGTTTCACTATTATCATTTCTACAACTAGTTACGGATTTTCCAACAGAATAACGTAAAGTGCCTTCTAAACGTTCTATTTCTGGTCTTTTTCGAATATTTGCATAGAATTTCACAAATTGTAGCAACAACTTTCTTCTAAAAGTTAAAGGTATACCAAACTCTTAAAATAGTACAAGTCTCCTAAGATCTCCTTCCTGCTCTTTGTTTGCTTGAAAGTAGCCACACTCGGAATAAGATAGAAGAAAGCTTAAACTTTACAAAGAAAACAGTTTGCCAGAGAAGCTTAAGGAAAATATCTCTCTAAAGATAGAATTTCTACACTGAATTATTTCATATGAAGATCAAAAAGACGTTTCACGTAATCCGTTTCACCTGGTCAACGCAGAAGAACATCACAATAAACCAAGGTTCAACCAGCCAAAGCATTGCCTAAAACTCTAACTTCTGAAGTAAGTCTACAGGCATTTGTATTCCGAGAGCTTTTACTTTCTCATATTCCTGAAAGTAGTAACTTGCAATGAGCTGTGGATTCCCTTCATCTGGGCGGTTGAGATCTGGCGGTTAGATTGTGGCGGTTAGAACCGGAATGAATGGTAATAATGGATATAGAAGCATTCGCATCATGCCAAGTTTACAATTTGTGGAATATTGTTCAACAGAATTTGTCTCAGCAACGAAACTATGAACACTACGGAAAGAATACCCAATATTTTTCCTATTGATCCTAATCTGTCACCAACGCAACAGCCAAAGCCTCTACACAATAGATGGCATCCTGATATTCCACCAATTGCACAAGTCAAGGTGAATTCAGTATTTCGGGTGGATATGATTGACTTCACAGGTGGTCAAATTAAGAATGACGATAATGCAGAAGATGTAAAGTCTATTAATATCAATAAGAATCACCATTTGTCTGGTCCTTTTAGTGTATGTGATGAAAACGGTAAACCAGCCAAACCAGGAGACCTTCTCGTTGTTGAATTGTGTGACCTTGGTGCTCTTCCTGGTCATGAATGGGGATATACTGGAATTTTTGTTCGAGAAAATGGTGGTGGCTTTCTTACAGACCATTTTCCAAATGCAGCAAAGGCTATTCGGGATCTTGAAGGAGTTTATGCTTCTTCATGTCACATACCAGGAGTACAATTTGCTGGAAATATTCATCCAGGTCTCATTGGAACTGCTCCCAGTAAAGAACTTTTAGAAATATGGAACGAAAGAGAACGCAAATTGTTAGAGGAAGACATCGAGAAGATGTCACTTGCCGCTGTGTTGCATCATCGTCCTATGGCTATGCTACCGGAACCAAAAGAAGCTCTATTAGGTGCAATAAGCCCAAAGAGTGCGGAATTTGAGCTGATTGCAGAGGAAGCTGCGCGTCCCATTCCTGGAAGAGAAAACGGTGGAAATTGTGACATTAAAAACTTGACAAGAGGAAGCAGGATTTATTTGCCAGTATTTGTTGAAGGTGCGAACTTCTCTGTGGGCGATCTTCATTCTAGTCAAGGTGATGGCGAAGTGTCTTTCTGAAATGTCCGTATTTGCGATTATGCGTTGTCAAATTATTCGAAATGGAATGGATAAGTATCTATCTCCTATGGGACCGACAAAGCTACATGTCAATCCTATCTTCGAAGTCAGTTCATTGGAACCAAGATATTCTGAGTTCTTAGTATTTGAAGGTGTGTCAGTGGATGAATATGGAAAACAGTATTATATGGATGCATCAGTCGCGTACAAAAGAGCTGTTCTGAATTGTATCTACTACTTTACTAAATTTGGATATACTCCAGAACAAGTCTATCTGTTGCTGAGTTTGTTGCCCGTGAGCAAATCGTCCAATTGAGTCTGAAATATTCAAATTGGGGTCGGATCATGTCTCGTATAACTTTTTCCTTTGTTTCGATACTGACAAGCTTAAGCTTTTTGATACTAAGCTGTATCTATGTTCCTGCTAATGGCTTACAAAGCATATCTATACCACTTGTTTCGTCTTTCATTAAACTAAGTCAAGGGGTTTGTTTGCTTTGGTCTTCCCTCAAATCGAGAGGGAACTTGAACAGCAGTTCACGTCAACTGAAATTCGCGGAGCTGCTGCTATTGTTTGACTTCAGTTTGGGATTGTATTTATTTGTAAAAATATACATTTTGGCGCAGTTTCGCAATTGCTACTACTTAAGAAACCTGTTTATTCTTTGGATATCTTTTTTTCACTTTTGCAGCCCCGCAATACCCCTTCTTTTGGTCAAAGGTCAACAAAGTCAAAGACTTGCAGTGTGGTTGTTTTTCACAGCATTAAGGTGACTCAATAAGATGAAGTAATTTTGCGTTGAGCTATAACTGAAAATAGTTTATTTGTTCTTATTATATACTATTTCTTACAGGATGAAAAGGATAGGTGGACAGAAGAGAGCGGACTAAGTCATGTGTCCTGGAAACGGATAGTTGTCCAAGTTAAGAATAGCTTTTACAGAGAGAAATTGGTAATTGACACATTATTCTATCATAGGGAACTGGGGAATAGTAAACAGACACTGCGAAAAGAGGAAAGGCGCTATAAATTTGAACGTATATATGAATTTCACTTTTCATAAGCAGTTAACCAAAACTGTCGAGTTTGACCGAATTCACTGTATTTCTATGAGTTTATACTTGGAAGATTCATAGATGATATTATAAAACTGTGTGAGAATTGACCAATCGAAGGAAGAAGAAGAAAAAGAGAGCAGAGATCCAACTCCAAGTAATTTGAGCGCGAAAGTTCAGAATATGAAGATCGTGGGATACAATGTCAAATTTTGTACATAAATTTTCTTGAGCCAAAGAATCTCAAGTAGAGCAAAGTTCCTTTTGGTAATTTGTGGCTGAAGATAGTCTTCGAACAGATACTATTCCAATTCTATACCTTAAAGTCTTTTGAAGTGTCTAACATTGTGTATTTATTATGCATTGCTATGTCATTCGAAACTTAAATTCACAATGACAACAACTTGTGTTCTTCAAGGTTTCCATTGTCTGGCTGACACCAACCGGCTAAGTATGTGTGACTGGATTATTTCAAATTTTATTGTTTATGGCAAAGGCGTTATGTCTATTTCACTTTGGAGAATATTTCTGCCAGCGTTTCGTTTGAACAATATATGGACACAAATGTACTCCTGCTCCAACGTGACAGTAAGTTGATATCAGGATTACCCTTTGATTATAAACAGCCTTTAACTGGAAACGTTAAAGTTTGAGGTCGAGACAAAGCGCATCTTTACTACGTAGAACATATGTGACTTGTCTCTAGGAAAGGAGCAACTCCGTAGCAAACCAAGCTTCCTGTTTGAAGCTACTTTAAAAACAACTTTGCTACAGAATAGGAACATGTATTCCAGTTAAGAGGAAACTATTTCATCAGAACAATTTATATCAATTTATAAAACCTATCCGTAAACTAAAGTAGGCTTTGAGAGAAATCTCTATTTACTCTCTTCCACGACAGCGCAGCATAAGAACCTCCAAAGCGTCTTTCGACTAGAATACTTTCCGGCTTCTCGTGAAGTTGCAGCTCGGTCTTGTGCTAAGTTCTCAGAAAGATTCTTTTCCAACCCTAAAGGTTCTCAGTCAAGTGCTTAAAGGATGGAAAAATCTGCTAACCTTGTGTTTCTCCTGTAGACGCATCGGCGTAAGTTGTCGAAGTATTGCTGCTTGTTGATTTCTGCTTTTTTCTCTCTTCTTTAAAAAGTCCACTCTTTACAACAGAGGCGTGTTCTGCAAGATTCCTTTCTGCAGTTATGTTCGGGTCTTCATCGCCAGAACGGTTTTTTTCGACATGGGGAGGAAGAGAAGGCTTTGAAACAAAGTCCTTCGTTTTTGAAGAATCTTCGTCCGCAGAAACTTGCTTTCTCAAACCACCAGATGTAACGTTGCTGTGAATTTTCTTCAGTTCTTCCACAGCTTCTTTTTCTCGCTCCGCCAATTGCTTTTGTCTATTCATCTCTTTATCCAGTTCTTCTTTAGTGTGGGGTGTCCAGTTTCCATCAGCAGTCTGATTCTTCATCTCACAGAGCTTGAAGAGAATACGGAATCGAGCATCAAAACAGGATTACATAAATGAATTGGGATGAATTCCATAAATAACTTGCAAGAACACTTGGCGTTTCCTTTCCAGGTCTCTTTCGTTTTTAAGTCTTCCTTGTAAATTTTCTTTACCCTGAGAAAACGATTGAACTGTGGCAGATTCGCTAGATGAAGAAGCCTGTCCTTCATCGTTATCTTCGTTTTCAGACTCTGACCAGTCTAGGTTTTCAACTTCCTTCACAAGTTCTTCTTCTGTCTTACCAAAAGCTTGACTAAGGATACGTATGGCGTCCGGAGATTTGGCTTCACGCCATAGTTTTTGACCCAATTCGCGAACTCCCAAAAGTTTTCTCCTAGCAAGCCGTGATAACGCTTGTCCTAATACCCGCGATTGCACGTCACGTCGAAGTTGATCAAAGAGATCAGTCCAAGACCACGTATGAGAGTGATACATTAAAGAAGGTAGAGATATTCTTATTTTTTCAAAGTCCAAAATACTTTTTTCTTCTCCGGAATCCTTATATTTGAAAGAAACTGTCCAAGAGACTTGTCCCACATACACGTATTTGAACAGAATATTATTTTGTTCTCTTTGTCGCATACAACTTAGGTCATCAACAGGAATGCGTTTCTTAGTAAGCAGTTGCTTTTTGCTCGCGTCATCTTCATTTTTTGCTTCCGAGAATGTCAACTTGTCTGAAATGCAAGTATCATGCTGGATTTCGGGAGAGGTTCGTCTCAGATTGGTCCATTTTCCCTGAATGAAAGAAGATAATCCTGAATCCTTCGTAAAGTCTTCAACACCTCGGATAACGGAACGCAATTTAGCTGCCATTGAATGCAAATCACTGCTACCTTCGTGAAGGAACACTTCAGACTTAAGAAAAGATGAAACCTTACGCACAGTTTGCGAACTCCCTTTTAGATTATTTTCCTTAATGTCAAGTCTTTCTTCCTCCTCTTCAGTTTCATTTAATGATTTTCGCATGAAAAATTGATAAAGTTCTTCAGAAATATGTCGCGTCAAAGCTATTTCGAGAGGTGCAACGCCAACAGTTAAAACATCAACAACATGGATTCGTCCAACTGGAGGAGATTGAATTGTAAACCAACGAAAAGCAACAGGATCTCCGTCGATTGTAAACACATTCTCTGTACAGTGCTCTTTCTTTGAAATGTCTATTTGTTTCTTGGAAACAGCGAGCGCAGTTTTGAATGCCGCATTTTCGGTACAAACATTCTTCATCTTGACGTCCTTTACTGAATACTCGATTTTCGTTCCTCCATCCAAGGTCGAAGTCTGTTTTACTTGGAAACGGTCGATGGTGGCTTCAGCAAAATCTGTTTCATCGGAGTCGCTAGTCTTCAAAAATAATTTGCACTTCTTGATGCAGACATCCAGGTAGAATTTCGGCATCCAACCTTGGTCACTCTCTGACTGTTGCTTTTGAAGAGTGTAGGCCAATAACGCACTGGCCTTGTCAATCAGCTCCCTTCTTGTGGCGCAAGTATCTTGAGACCCCAGTAGATTAAAAAACTTTCTGGCCTTGTCAGATTGGCTACGACTGCGGTGTTTATCAATCAGATCGACCATGTCAACAATTTGTTTGGTGTAGTGTTTTGCATCAAGATGACTCAAATGACCCTGCTTGATAAGATGAATGGTATGCGTCAAAACTGCAAGTTCCTCTTGCAAACGAATAGTCTGTTGAAAAGGTTTCACCAGGAAATTCGTAATAACGGTCAGGAAGATGAAGAATTGAGGAGAATTTAGTGATAACGTTAGATCCGCAACTTTGACTGTTATTGCTTTAGGACGAAAGCTGTCCATGTCTACTTCATCAGACATAGGTGATGTATAGACCACTTCTACTAAAATAGGAGGACCGGAAATTCTTTCAAACGGACTATTGGTTACACGTAAGTTGGAAGAAGAGTCGAATGTCACTCCAATGCTGTCAAGATCGAAGGAAATGCCCTTTGGTAAAGTAAACATCACAGTATCTTCCATTCCGGCATGCAACTCAAGTCTCTTCCAAATGTCATCTTCTTTTACTTGCTGATGGACGAGTGTCAAGTACCCATAAGATGCGACTAATTTACAGACTCCTTCTGTCTCTGGAGAACAAAGCGCCACGACGGGACGTATCAATGAAAGTTGTAACTGAGGATACGAAGCTATAATTTCCAGTTGCTTTCGTTTTAACGACGATGTCGAATTGCTATCTTGGGTTTCCGGTATATTCTCGGATAGAAGAGAAAGCAAGGCGTCCTTATTGCTACTAGCATTTCTATTTCCTTCTGTAATTCGATCCAACTCTGCACTACTAATCCTCTGATGCTTCCTTATCTTATCCAGAGTTTTTACGCCCTTCTTATGCGAATTGAGAAAGATAGCTCGAGGCCATTCAGACAGTGAGTCTCTCCTCTCTACAGTCCACAAAATGCGAGCATCAAAAGCAAGAATCTGGTTAGAAAAACCTTGCTCTTTCAAGGAAAGGCGTTGCAGGTGGGACAGTGTTTCACCAGAGCTTTCATTATTAAAATTGCATTCAATATTATCTTCATCTTCACTTGAGTCTCCACCAAACACGATTCGACGTAAAATTTCATTATCAGCTGAATTATAACCGGAACCAACAGAAAAACTACCTAAAGACGAAGAGGAAAGACGTGTGAGGTTTTCCATGGAAATAATACGACTACTTGTTCTCAAACATGAGTCAACTTCGCTTTCCAAAAGTACTAGAAACATCGGTATATGTACAAAGAATGAGCCTCTTGAAGGTTCCTCTTCTTCTCTTTTCGCTGCTTGGTCCAATGATGGGGACCTCATTCGAATGTCCAAATTCTTAACTAGCAGTCTCATGGCATTCAATGCATTGGGTGTATTTACTCCGTCTCTTCTTTTTGTAAGAGAGAAATTTATATCGCTAGTCTCCACCAACAAAGAATGACCAGGATTCAAATCGTTTATAATGGTAAAATGCATGTCTTGTGAACTAAGATATAATTTAAAAGTCTTCATAATCTCTTCCAAGAATCCTGCAGGTTCTGCTTTTCTTGAATGGCCAAATTTTTTTCTGATAGGAATGCACTGAAATATGGAATTTCTAATAGCTACAATGCATTGTAGAGTTGAAGCAATATCGTCGCTATGAATAAGACAACTCTTAAGATTGTGCGATGGGATACAAAATATTTCAATTTTTAAGAACAAAGAAGAAATACGAAAACCACCATAAGTATCATGGTTCGGAACATTCTTCAGTTGACAAGTAGGCCTGCTACATGCAAGCTTCCTAAATAACTCGCCCCTATTTGGCATTCTACATGTTTCAGCCACAAACGGAACTTCACTCCTTTCTGCAAATGGATGAATATAATGATTATCAGGATTACCACTTTCTGTCTGTAAAATTGAGGAAATATTCACTTTGACTTGATCTAATTTCACGAATGAACCCAAACTCGTTCCAAAATAGCATGCCGAAATACTAAAACATTTCATTTGAACCGATAACCAAGGACAGGGTTTATCTGTGGCACAACGAGTAAAGCATGCATTTAACTCGTCTGCCTCGACAGTATGATACGACAAATATGAGTAACAAAATGTGGATGTTAACACATCGTACTTAAGTTTTCGAACAACAACTTCTATTCTACCATGAAAAATTAGTCTCGCTTGATCCCACCAAGCCAAGCGGGGACTTGGATCAGAACGATCAGGAGAAAGACGAAGAAAACACTGAGACAAGTCTTCAAAAGATGGAAGCATTCCTACTCCAAACACTCCTTCAACATCTTCCAGTGTCAACTTCCCATCCAAAAAAATCTTTAGAGGTGATATTTGCTTATTAAGCTCAGCAAACAGCTTTGAACCAAGTGCAACAAACATGTGGCGAATGAAAGGCTCCCTTGTTGCCTGTTCCATCGCACCAACTTTACCGGAAAAAGATAAACTCTTTACGGTAGCAATGCTATATGGATAATCACGAAGATGAAATGAAAAGTATGATGAAACAAATTCCACTCGTCGTATTCCAAAATCCTTATACATAGAAGGGTTCTGTGCCGAATTGGGAATATCCCTACACTCATCTAATTTATACAACTCATTCAGCATTTCCATATTTGCGTCAATATTATGGTCAACAGTGGTCTTTCGAATAGAAATTGAACAATTTTTGATATTAGCTAGCAACAAGGGAGGCAGTCGTGCATCAATGCCACTAAGATCGAATCGGTCCAACTGCCAATATCTTTGGACCTCACGAACACGATAAGCATATAGAGTAGCGTTCTCTTCGTCCAATTTAGAGTAACACTGAGCCTCATAGGCATTTCTCTCTGCTGCTGGGAGCTGCTCCAATATTCTACGCAACACGTGTCTTCTGTTTATTTGTTCGACGGTTTCATCTTTAATTACAGGTCTATGCTTCATCAAATAGGACTCCCAAGGGTGGTCTTCAAATATTGCAGAGCAATCATCTATCGAAATATTCATGTCTGGGAACGAACTTCTTCCCAAGGCTGACATGTACCTTTTCTTTCTAAGAAGATATCCTTTCATTCTCCAGAAAAATTCCATCCAACTATTTCCAAAGTGGAGATCATATGGTAAGCAAAAGATAACTCGTCTGCAGTAAATTCCCAATGGAACTGAAAAAAAGTCATGAGATGAAAAATGGAAAGTTGCCAGGCTAATGAAAAGAACGATATGATTCTGGATCTTCCAAGTGAGTTTGGATAGTTGAAGCATTCCAGAATCAATATGGATCTCTGATAGTTCATCTATAGTTATCTGCGTCTGAGGGTCATCTGGGAAGCTTGCGGATATTTCAACTTCTGAAATGGTAAGTTTCAACTTGGAAGTCTTCAATCCTGCTTCTTGCCTAGGTTGAACTTTGTTCCAACCAAAACTGCAACTTCTTAAAGCGTTAGTTACATATTCTATTGCTGATTCTGCACAGGAATGAGTATCAGGACTCCATTTCAGTAAGACTTTAGAAAGTTTCATGCCACATTCAGGAGCTGGAAAATATTTTACTTTTGAAATGGAAAAAATCGATTCTGTATCTTCTGTCTGAATTTGATAAACATTTAAAGAAGAAGCCGTTAAAGAATTCTTTGCCATGGAGATAAGAGGGACTGAACAAATATATGCTTGAATTGCTTCCTCTCCTTGAGGAAAACCAAAATGAAAGCAGAGATATCCAGACATTACTTCACCGGAAACTTGCCATGAATAACCTTTGCAACTCAATCCAGTTTCTGGAGTTTCGTGATTTTTCTGCCTTTTTGAAATGACTGTTTTAAGAAAATGAATAAAAACTTGGTACCTAGAGTGAGTTCGATCCAAAAGTCTAACCAATTTCACAGGTTCTGCAAGTAAAACAGGATTAGATATTTCAAGTTGTGAATAAATGTGACTCATATCAACATCCAAGCAAACTACGAGACTTTCTATGTGCCAGTCAAATGAATGACAATGCTTGTACAATAATTGGGACTCCGTTCTTAATCCACAATTTTTTGTTGTGGCCAACTGTTTCTGAAGCGAAGTTAAATACTTTCTAACATCATCGAAATTATCTCGTGAATCAGATAAATAGAGCTCATTCAATTCTACTTTCATACGGTACGTATTGGAACAAGCTGCATCTTGAAGCAGAAATTTCAGCTGTCCCAAACTAAGTCTACAGAGAATATCTGTATGCATGCTGTCCAAAATGACATCAGGAAACACACAAGATAGGTTGACCATTCCAACCTTGAAGTCCCATAAGCGTAATATCTCCAATGTATGACTGTCCATGGTCGTTCGTCTCTCTGACAAAGTCGTATCTCCTTGCTCTCTTGGCTTCAGGAAACATAACAAATGCTCAGGGTGTAATAGAAAAGATGGAGTATCTACAAATAAAGAAAATTGTGCCTTTTCATAGGCACCTCGACCTGTTGGAATCCTTATTTCGACATCCAATTTCTGAAGATCACTCAGACGTTCTGTCCAAATATTCTGAAGTGATACTGAGCAGGTAAGATACGTATTTTCGACTTTTAGAATAATCACAGTATGTTTGACTTGTACTGGCAACGTTGTGTCCATGAAAAGTTTAAAAGTCCCAAGCTTCCAAGTGAAACAATTATAGTCTACAGTATCAGTGCCTTCCAAATGAGAGTTTAGAGATATGAATCGTTCTAACAGAGGTTCCATGGTTAGACTTACAGAACAAAGTTTAATCACTTACACTTACGAAGTTTATCTTCATGTTTCATTGCCAAAGTGCAATTGTCGAATGAGATGCTTAAAAGGAACAATAGTCGAATACAACAGACAAACAGGAACTTAGACCAGGAACTTCCAAGCTCTTGAACAATACGAAATAAATAATTGCTTGTCTTCAAAAGGTCAAAATTACTCCCTGCCGTCTTCGACAGGCCACCTGTTTCTTTCAAGACCACTTCGGCTCCAGATATGTATATATCAAATAATGCAGTTCTTCTTCTTGAAGCAATCGATCTCCATAAATGTGTCTCTAGACCAAATTTTGCGACTCTTATATTTACATATTTATTTTCAAACTGCAATTCATACAGAGAGAGGGCTTTACGGATGCTTATTCCACTAAGGTCAAAAGGAATCTTCAAAACGTGTGCTCCGAGCATTATCACAACACATAAAGTCTCCCCAATCAACAAGAAGACAACTGCCAAGCTTGGAATCACGGAAATAAACGATGTCACCAGTGCAAACCGCTTCCAAATAAACAGCAACCATACAACGCTTCCACCTAACCATAACAACCACAGGAAAATAAGTCTCTTGAGACGACTTCTCAAAGGGTTGTGAAGAGTCATTATTAACTAAGAAAACACAAGTCGCGAACGAAAACTTCTAAACTGAGACTTTGGCGTGTCCAAATTGCATAAGCCTGTAAAATTTTTCAAATTGTTCATTCTACATTCGATGTATAAAGTTGATAACTTCACACACTGAAACAAAGAGCCGATAGAGAACTTTCTCTAAAGTTGAAAGAACCTGATTAAGAAAAGCTGCATGAGTTCCTACCATACAGAAATCTTTGAATTTATAACAAAGCATTCAGTAAATACTTTTTGTAGTTAGTTTTCAGAGACGTTGACCTCCCAATATTTTGATAACGTGTAGCGACTTTGAAATTTGACAACTGCTTCTTCAGTAATCTTTTGTCGAAAGAAAAGAGCTCGTTTATTGTTTTTGAGACACAGTTGGTGGAACAACGCGAGCTTTAGAAAATGACAAAAGAAAAATTATTCAGTGTCTTCGAATGGAGACTGCTTCTTACAGAGTTTTGCCATAGGAAACTCTGTTCAATCTTTGTCTTTCCGAACGAAAATAAACATGAAAATTTCTCGCGTCAGAATAAGATCGACTCTTTTTTTTATCAGTAAAGTACTCCGATACGACTCCTTCTATAACAATGTCAAACCCAATACCACCCATAGCGTTGCGTCAAAGCTATTCAACTTGCATAGTCCTTCACTATCTAAACTTATAATTCCCTTCTTGAAAAAATGAAGCCAAGATTTTCTCGTGTACAACGAATATCAATTCACTACTAAGACCACGCAAAGTTCATAACCTGAAATAATAAAATCACTTTTTCGACTTTCGATATACGCTCAAGAAGTATTCATCACAGAATTCTTAAAAATATTCAAAAAAACAACGAGAAAGAATACGCAATTCGATGTCGTGCTAATTATATGCAATTATCTTTTCAATACGAAATGAAACAAGCACTGGATTCCGCCAGAAAAACGGCAAAATTTTTTGGACGAATCGGCAACGCGTTTCTTAAATATAAACTCAAAAAGGTCACGAACTATTGTATTCATTCGATCATAGTCTCTTCTGCTTCTTCACTTATTACATATGGTTCCTGAGCAGCAGCAGATCTACTAATAGTTGAGGTTTTCCTACGTGGGCTCTTTGGTGACGACAAGGGAGAATAACTGGCCGCTCCATGTAGAGCTCGAGGTGACTAAAGAGAAGATGAATATAACTCCATAGTATAAAAGGTCCTTACCTGCTCGGTAGAAGAACCTTCTTCCTTCGGGAGAAACGCTTCCTTGACGAACTTTTTTAACCTTTGAGCGTATATAGAAGGTTCACACACAGAAACAGACAACTTTCAAATAAAATAAGAATACTTCGAATACTTTGGTGAATCTTGAAACTTACACTTCCTGCACACAACAAACGAGTTTTTAGAAAATGCTCAGACTCCTTCCTCAGGCTATACTCATCAAGAATATCAATAATACCAAAAAATATATGGACGATTTCTCCTTTCATGTTCTTTCCTATCCAACCTCCAACTCTTTCGGAAAAACTAGGGCGTTCTATTCTTGCGCTAGAAAATGAAAGTTCGCCCTCATGTCTAGTATCGTCTGATAAAGATAAGGGTGTCACGTTCCATCCTTGTCCAGGTGGCCGGCTTTCCCTACCTACAACAACAGTTTCAGTTCCAACAGAAAATCATAACGATTTTCAACTTACTTGGAATATGTAATCCAACGAGGAATGAATAGTCCATAATATTGATGGAAGAAAGAAATAATAAATCATAGCCGAGTTGATTCAATAGACGCTCACGGAGAGTCTTATCTATAAGCAATGGACCGTTCCGAACAAAATCGAGATCTTTTAGTGTCACATATGGACTTAACAATTCCGTCGGAGATGCTTGTCTTCCAAGAGTTGAACCTTTGAGATCATATTTTTCATGAATTGGAACACGTGTAGGCAAAAAATTATTCATAACCTTCGTAATAAGTCATTTCTAAACACAAGAAGTTGACAAAACTTACGACAATCCTAATATGTCTCCGCCTAGCATTAATCTTGTGTGTCGTTATTCCTATACAAATGTCATAAGATGAACGATATGAAACACTAAAACTTACTATACAACCCAAAGAACCTCGTGATAAGGGATTCCTTATTCTGCATCATGTGAAAGTAATACTGTGGAAGTATTTTCCTAAATTCAGAGTAGTTGGCTCTATGCAAGAAAGAAACGTTCGACCTTCTCCTTACTTTAATGTGTTCGTTTCAGCTTTAGGAACGGTTTTTAAAATGAAACGATCGTCCCATGAGTGAAAAAACAGCGAACCAGATTTTCCAGGAGTTGAAAGTTCTCTAATATATCACATATAAATTATCGCAAGTGTTGAAAATCAAAAGCGGTACCTCAGGGCTTCGCTACCACAAACTGAACGTAAGTACAACTCGGAATTGATACCAAACCGTTGTCTCAAGTCTCGGAAAACCATAGGCTGCCAAGAAACGAGTTGAGCTTTTCTACAATAAAAACTTCACAAGTTATATTCTTACAAAGTAATCTTTAAAGGTAAACTTTGGCGTATTGTGGGGTGGTGTATCTACACCACCAAAGGGAGAAAAAGTAGTTTTCTGTTCAACTATAAAATCATCCCTAAAAAGTGCTCAATAAAATACAGCGAAGAGAAAAGTCATACATACATCATAAGATTCCTCTCGGCTACTTGAGATATTCTTACAACGCTGTGTTGGATTCCCAACTTGATTTGTTGCATCAAGTCATATGAATGATGACCTTTATAAATAACTTCTCCCTAAAAGCCATTCATATAAATATCTCAACTTAGAGAATACAGAAGAAAAGTACCTGATATCGACGATAGTGTCCAACTTTTACCTTTGCTCTTAGACGATTTATATCTCGAAGTGAGGCAGAGGAGGCGTCGTTCAGTCGGTCTTGAGGCAGAAATGTGTGAGAAAGTCTAGGAGGAAGAGCATCTTGAAATATTTTAACGTTTCAACCTGATTGTAGGCTTTCTACTTTACCGTTAAGGTTATTCAAAGGTCTATCAGAGTCCGTAAAGCCCCTTTGTCTAGGTTCCCGTCTCCGTGTTCTATACTTGAAGGTTTCTTCTCGTGGTGAGTTGATTAGTGGCGAAGATGCTCTATAACGTCTCCTTAGTTTTCTTGTTGATATTACAGAACCTTCCGAAGAAATATCGGAATCGTTCCCTGAGTCAATAGCAACCTCATCCTGTTCTTCTTGTGTTGTATTTATGTTTCTTTTCGTTTCATTCTGAACATTCCTATGAGGTGCTTCTGTTCGTTCAAAATCTTTCAAGTCCTTCTGCAAGCTTTCAGTTTCGAAATACTTGTCAAGGGGAAGAGTGGCTTTCTTTGTGACGCTGTTCTTTTCCATAGATATTCCAGTCTCCCTTAATACATCTGTTTTCTCTTTGTCTTCTGAAATATCTGTAATAGTTGATATGGGATAAGTTCTTTCTGTTTGAGGCTCTTGAAATCCTTCCATAGTCCTCGTGAGCAAAATAGAAATTTTACAAGTTGGGAAAAATGGTTTACCTTGAAACTGTCAATATCTTCATATTAGCTTTGTAACATTATAACACCTTATAATGTCACACAATAGCAATAAGTAATACTGCCTTTTATTGCCAATGATAGATACTGTCTTTTTGATATCTTTCAATAGTGAAAAGAAATGAAATCATTCGATGGGGAAAATTCAAGTTCAAACATTACTTAGACTGCTTGATGGATAAAATAAATGAAATAAGAATCTAAGGAGCAGCAAATAGAGCAGCTTCGTGAAAAGACAGAAATTGCAGAGTGCAATTTCACTTACTAATTAAAGAACAACCAAATGTCTTGGACAACTTCGAATGTGGCAGTTCGAAAATTTGGGGCTCAGTTTGGTCATGTGTTTGTAAGAGCAACCTATGTGGAGGTCAATAAGGTTGCGCAGGTTTTGTTCAGTGTCCATAAAAAGAATAAGAGAACAACGTAAAAAAGAGGCGAAAGAGCATCAAGACCCAAAAGGTGTTCTGAAGATATGGGAGGCACCTACGGAACATCCGGCGAAGAGAATTCAAAGATTGGAGAGACGTGCAAGTGATCGTCAACTTGAGAAGTTTGCAAAGTTGACTCCTTTGAAAACTATTGAATCTGAAGCATTCCCGTTCGTATCATTGAAAATTAGGACTTTGGAGTGTTCCCTTCGATTGCGTACTGACTATTTGGACTATTTGAAAAGGTGGAAAGGGACCCATTTCTTTGCGGATACTGTAGAACTGTTGATGGCTGCCTTAACTCATAGCTCCTTTATTCACCACGTAATTCGTGTAGATCATGACAATATCTCGCAACAGGCTACTTTGAATGTTTTGGGTGCTTACGTTCTCAAACTTAGTCTATTGGAGTCATTGTTTCCTTCCAAAGAGAAACTTAAAACGTTCTTTGGTCTTGATATTGAGGAACTTCGTGGAATCTTCTATCGGTGCGATTCGCTTGCGAATACTTCCACTCTGACAAAGTTAGCACTAGATTTGGACTTGCCTTTTTTGATTCGAAGGTTTCCTGCAGATCCAAGAGCGGTAGCTGGAAAGCCTCCAGTGACTGGGCTTTCTCCTACAGAATTGAAAGGCTTAAATAGTGTACTGTGTGAAAGTATGCAAGCCCTTGTTGGAGCTGTTTTTCTTCTTAGAGGTTTACAAGGTTCCGTAAATTTTATTCAGGAATTCTGTAATCCACTGAACGCTGCACAGTCTGAACGAAAGGATAGCTATTCAGATTTCCTATCTACTTTCACCGGCGAAGATTTTGACCCCAGAGGAAGGTCGCGTGTATTATTATTGGATCCTGAAAGCACCCTTCATGACCTATTCAATCGTCTTAGTGTTCGAAAGAGAAAAGAGAATCCCGATTCAAAGGTTAAATTTGAGTTGAGGTATAGAACTCTAGAAAGCAACAAAGGTAGTGGGAGTTCCTTTGCATATGTGGTGTCTTTAGAATGTGGTGATGAAATTCTCGCAACTGGTGCTGCAGATAGCGAAGCTGGTGCGAAAAAGGCGGCGGCTCGTGCGGTGATTTCGTTGATTGGAGGAGAAAGTTTATGTGAAGTTCCTATGGATGAAGCTTTTCATCCAGTTTATAATGCGCAAGTTCCAAAGCCTGGAAATTATTCTTCCAGAGCTTCAGCATTTCGTTGTTTGAAGATGTTTGAACAGGTTGGTTTAATCGACAATGTTTCGGTGGAAGTTCGTCATGTCGGTATTGGAAGTCGTTTTTTCCGTCTTGGTCACAATGTTGAAAACTCTGGAACTATTACTGGTGTTGTTCGAGTTGGTTCAAAAACTTATGAGAGCAGGAGGCAATATGAAACCGAAAGCCAAGCAAAGGATGCAGCTGCAGAGTTAGCAGTTCGAGATATTTGTTCCAATCTTTCATTTTCTAGCCATGCTTCTTCATCTTCTTTAGGTAACTATACTTCTCAGTTTAGATGGTTACATGAAACATCTCGTTTCAATGGGCGTGGCAGATATGCATCACCAAACAGTGTACTGCATGAAACTCTTCATTTAGTATCAAATACTAACAAGTGTTTGGCAGCAGATGAAAGAAGTTTTCTCTCAAATATGCCTATAGAATATTGTGATTTAGCCTGCCACATTGGCCGTATTGTTCTTCATCTTTGGAGTTGTGTTGAGTATACAAGGTTCCATGGCCTTACAGGATGGCAAGAAGACGTTGAAAAATATATCAAAGGTCGTTTAAGGTCACAAGAGCTGCAAAAACTATCCTCTTCTATTGGAATTTCCATAAATACGTCAGAGCAGAGTTCAAATATGGAGACTTTATCTATTCTGGAAGCTGTTGTTGGGTGTTTATATTTGAGTCGTGGTTGTGAGAACACTATTGAACTACTACATCAAGCTATTATTCATAAACAATAATTATTTCAGAATATGTGGTATACCTTAGAATTTTGATTAAATTTTTCTAAGAACAAACTTTTCTAGACTTTATCTTGTTTGCACAAGATGAGAGAGATGAGCATCCAATGTAATTTCAATTCTATGACAGACAAGAGAGAAGCCATTGCCGTCTCCATAGAAAGGAACGAAGAAAACTCGGAAAAGAAGAAGTTCGTTTCCTTTCGTGACGTTTATTCGGAAGGAAAAGAGAAACCTTATTTATCAGGATATGCAGCCCAAAAGAGGACTTGGATCCACGAAGCTTTCGGTTCCATTGCAGCGTTTGGAGGTGCCGCTCTAGGTGGCTTGTTAACTCTTCATCGAATAGAGATGTACCTTTTGAAAAGATTCCCGAAGCAGTGGATTCTTCACGGCTTCATAGCTGGACCACCTACAGCTACTGCGGGAATGTTAAGCTCCGGGATAGTTCAGGTACCGAATCACATTTTGTCTCTCTACAACAGCTTTTGGTTTGACAACTCATCGCATGTAGGGTTTTGTGAGAGGCTGTTTTCCACCCAACTATGCAGAGAAAGGCCCTCGTTGGTTAGAAAGCGACTCTTACGCGGGTTTACGCCTAGCCCGTATTGAGAAGACTCCGGACATCTCTTATACGAAACAGCACTATTTACAAGCTGTTAGTGCCGAACTCTCGCCAACTGTAAGTATGCTGGAATTTTTATGTCTTATTGTCGACTACCGATGTATTCAATAGATCCCCAGTTATATTGGTTTCTTCTCTTGTGTTGGTTTTCCGTTAGCAGCCTATGAGTGTGTTTGATTGAGTTTTGAATACAGTTGTGAGTAATGAGTTGTCTTATCATTAGGCCTCTCCATAAGAAATGTAGAGAAATTGTATCCGGACACTTGAATAGGCATTCACAACGTAGCATTGTTGTGTTGGCTTCTCTCTTGAATGGTTTTGGATTGTGTCTTTTGTCCTTATGTGGTTGGTGTCCAATACAAAACAAAAGAATCTCTTTTCGACTAAGAGACTGTTAGGTCTTTATTTGATGCCTCCATTTACTACGTTTCTTTTGAAGAGTCGTCATGTTATTTCAGGTTTGAACATTGATTTATTAGTGATTGTTTATTCTAATTGATCTTTTTACTAGAAACTCTAGAAGGTGTTGGATTTGATATACAAGAAAAGTATCACGATAAAAAGTCTCAGAGTTGAATGCATGTTTCCAGTTAGTTTAGACTTGAGTAAATATCAATTTTTGGCCACATAAAGCAACTGGCATGTTTTGTATATCTTCTTATGAACAAAACTGTAGCAAATGTTGCAAAAAACGAGGGAAGCGTGATATATCGACACTTGTTGTTGAATTTCCTTGTTTGGATAACTTTATTAAGGAATAATTTTCTCCCAAAACAGTGTCTCCTTTTAGTGATGTGAAACATGTGGAGCCTTGTAGTAACGCAAATTTTCACTCGCGTGATAAAAAAGTTGGTCGAGACATCACCTGGTAGTTCTGAAGTTTAGAAACTTTGGATTCAAAAAAATTTTTTCTTTGTGATCGAAGCACTTATTTTTTGCTTGGGAGAAAGACAAATTAATTGATCGGTTAACTTTCATGTCAGTTTTGCGTTTGCCTTTATTGCTTGCTTTATTGTACTCTGCCATATACTTTGGTGTTGTATCTGGGATAAATATGTCTTGTCCCACGGAGGAAATTTGTTCTGCTCTAAGAAACGAGTGTATGCTATTCCTTAACTGTATTTAATTTACATTGAATACTCTTAGTGGATCAACTTCAGGACTTTGATGACTGCAAGTCTTTTTATGAAACTGGAATATGCTCCCTTTTATGCTTGCAGAGTTTAGAGGAAATCCGACAAAGGAACTCGAGTCTATGGCACATATGTTCTTCCAATTGCTGGTCTGTGGCGTTTGTCGAATTTTCGACAACACTTTATGATATCTGTCGTGAACAACACGGGTTCAGAAGAGAATCCGTCTCAAATAGTCTTATGTCATCGTTGCTTTATTTTTGCAAGAGGATTTGCTTGACCGTCACTATCTACTTTTTGATGAGTTTTACATGGAATACCACATATCATTGGTTTCGTCAAAAACCTTTGGTTTCGTGTAGTCAAAGAAGAGATATCGAAAGTCAAAATTATATATCGAGAGGTTCAAGAAGACACCTTTTCAGTCTTCTAAGGAGACAAAGTAGTAGAAATTTCTAGCTCGAAATACAAAGAGAAAAATGACCAAACAACACTATTAGTTTGCATGTATAAAACGATCATTCTCTACAAGTGGAAAATGTTGGATACTTCAAATTCCTTTTGAAAGAGATTGGAAGGTTTGATTTAGATGAGTCCGACAACTGCTACAACTGCTATTGCTTCGCTTTCTCGTCGAAGACAACGCTTCGTGGTGCTTTTCTTTGTGTGAGTCCACAGTTGGAACTCTAGAGTTCTTTAAGTGACTTGATTTATCTCCACTGAAATTCAAATAGTTGTTTGTTTACTTTTGGTTCTTATTTCTGCTTCGATACTCCAGGCGCACTAGGAAGCCTATTAGAACGTGGACCTATGAAACTTTCTGCTACAGAATTCAACCTTCTTTATAGTGTATATGCTTGGCCAAACGTTGTACTGGTATTTCTAGGAGGCTTCTTTATAGATACTTTTGGAAGTAGACCGTGTTCTATTGTCCTTAGTTTAATTACGCTGACGGGTCAGCTGATTACCACCACAGGAGTGTTTTACAAAAGTTTCAAGTTATTGTTAATAGGAAGATTTCTCTTTGGCTCGGGAAGTGAAAGTTTGAATGTGTGTCAAAGCACAATTGTTTCTCATTGGTTTCAAGGAAATGAGCTTGCAATGGCATTTGGCTTTTCTTTAACAGTTTCTAGGCTCGGAAGCATTATTGCTTTTAATATTCTTCCTTCCTATAGCCAACGTTTTGGTCTTTCCTCTGCTTTTTTATTGGGTGCTTTATTGTGTAGTGTTTCTTTTATAGCTACACTATGCTTCGTATATGTCGACAAGAAGGCAGAAGAAGAGCTCAGTTTTGCTATGACACAAGTTGATCAGGGAAATACGTCACTTTCGGATGTTGAGCATAAATTTTCTTCGAAAGGAATTTTTCCGCTGAGCTTTTGGTTGGGATCCATAGCAGGAATGACCGCATATTCCATATTTTTCTCATTTATAGCTATAGGAACGGACCTTTTCCAGCGAGAATTTGGTAAGGATTTGTATCGTCGTTCTTTCTTGTTGAAAGATGTTCTCTAGATATAGCTGGTTCTACCGCTGGCTTTCTTGTTTCGTTGATTTATAATATTTCTATGTTTCTAGCACCTGTATTGGGAAAATTGTTGGACTCTTATGGTTACAGAGGTATAACGATTGGGTTAGCAGTAATATTGACCAGTTTATCATTACATATTTTATCGAGTTCATTTCATACTATGAAAATATTTTATAGTTTGAGTCGTCTGCAGCTTCTGTATTCTTGTTCTATATTGCTTGGCTTGGGTCTATCGGGAATTTCTTCAGCTCTTTGGCCTTCTTTGGCAATCTGTGTCCATCCGCAATCTTTGGCTACTGCTATAGGTGTAGCACAAGCGTTGCAGAACCTTGGAACATCACTGACAACATTTTTCATGGGAATCTTGATTGACCGCAAAGGTTATCGCCAGTCTCTCAGGTTTTTAGAAATGATTGGAATATCCTCTTTTTGTGTTGTTTTCGTTTGGAATGTTCTAGACAGGTTTGGAGAGGATAGAATCAACAGACCCACAGAACAGTTAGAAGAAATTGAAGAGCTTCGACAACCTCTTGCCTTGGAGAGTGAAAGACAGTCACGAGGAAAGCTGATGATTGTACCGGTCACTCCCCGGGTCGTCGTATTAGTTCGTCAACGACTTTTAGGACCACAAGGCGAAAGTGGTATTGTGAGACGGAATTATTATGCCAAAATTGGCATCCAATGAACTACTTTTTGTTGTATTTCCTGATGACCATAGTTTTAGAAACCATGTGACATGAGTAGTAATTAAGATTATTGTAAAGTTTTCTTAGTGATCACAAGCGTATTTATTATAAATCCTTAATAGGGTCTCGACTTCGAATTCTCTTCTTGGATAACAATTACAGTTGATTTTTCTGAATTTTTTATATTTCACATGAAAATGAACATTTTACAAGAAATAAAGCATTGAATAGTTCAGACAGATAAATTTTCAAAGAAAATAGCTCAAATTTGTTCTACAATAAAAGAGTTTGGAAAATGAAGCCTGTCATGTACTGAAACAGGCAATTCAGGAAATAACGATTGTCCAACAAAGTGAAGCACATTAGGCAACGTATCTTTATAGATATCAAAAAGAAATATTGCAAAACAAATAGGATTTGGTTGAAAAAGAAGATTGTTATCTTCATTCTAAAAAGGTGCTACACTACATTTGCTTCTTTCTATACGCTTCGAGACATTTTTCAACTTCATCGACACTGAGTCCTCTAGGGCAGTATTGACACGTTACACCTAACTTGGAAACATCAACAAGATTCCGCATCCTAATAGTCAAAATGGATAAATAACAAGATGTTGAAAGTATGGAAGCCTACTCGTCATCAAAAAATATCATTTCATCAAAGGAAATGCCTGTCTTCTTCTGTAGACTTTTAAAGTGGGGTTCTTTAGAACCTGGATATATTTCACATAGATTGTCAACTATGGACAAGAGATCAAACGTCTCGACAACTTTCCTTGGGCAAAATGTAAAACATTTTGCTTGATAATCAGTAAGCAGTCAAACTACCGTGTCCACTTTGGAACTGGGCTTCGTGAAGCAAATCCTACAGAAACTCGCTCTTTCTGAAATTCTTCCAGAATCATTCTCGACTGCGGGTACATATGTAAGACTTCTCCACTTCGATCAACTATAGTTAGTGAACTCTGTCTTCGATAAGGTGGTCCTGCAGTACAGTCGTTCCAAAAAGCCCAAATAGTATAGTCCTAAGTGTTGTTAAGTCACAACGCCACAGACATATTATTCTGTGATACCAAATCAAACACAGCCAACTTTGGAAGCTTCCCTGCTTTGAGAATCTCTTTCAAACGAGCACGTTGGCCTTCCATAATTCCACAATATTTCAAGTCTTTTATGGAGTCCATTGATGAAGAGGGCAACTTGTTGGTCAAGAACCTTGATACCGTGAGAAATATAGTTCTGTTTGAAAGGACTCACTTGAATAAATGACAAGTTTAGGGTGAAAGAACATCCATCAAGGATATCGAGAAAGCTTTTGACCCTCTATACTCTCAACTGTCGAAAAATTGGGATAGACAATTAACCGGAAGTGAAACTTCTGAAAGCGAAGAAGAGGAAGAAAGGAGACTTCCAACAAAGGAGCAATCTGAAGACTATCGGAATTTGAATAGAGTTGCTGGCTATGTGAAGGTCTGCTTTGTTTACTAGTTTTGCTTCTTTGTAAGGATAATGTTGGAACTTTTTTAGGTGTTCACTCGTGGAAGACCAAATAGAGAATTGACCAACTTATTTTTGATACAAAGCATACAAGCTCACAATGGACCTATTTGGTGCGTTAAGTTAAGTAAAACCGGAAGTTACTTGGCTTCTGCTGGTGAGGATAACGTCATTCGTGTCTGGAAACTATGTATGTATTCCGTTTTAAGATTGAAATTGTCTATTGAGTTGAGTAGCTTCCGAGAATTCAGATTTCGAGTTGAACTCGAAAGAGGATATTGAAATGACACAAAGGATAGAGAAGAATGACGATATTGTTCCGAAGGCTCGTGATATAACTATAAATTCCTTGTATAGGAAGGAATACATAAAGCCTCGTCCCTTTAGGGAATACAAAGGACATCATCGAGATATTCTTAGCTTGGATTGGTCGCAAGTCGGTAAAGTAAATATGAAATAGGTGCATTACTTAATCTTCTTCTAGAACGATTTCTTACTCTCCGCATCAATAGACAAAACAGTGAAGCTATGGCATATATCAGTAGATACTTGTCTTAGAAGCTTTCAACATGCAGACTTTGTAACATGTGCCTGTTTTCATCCGCAAGATGAGCGTGTGTTTTTAAGTGGTTCACTCGATGACAAACTTCGATTATGGAATGCAATAGATAAGACTGTGTTATCGTGGACGGAAACTCCAGACGTGATAACTGCATGCGCTATTTCAGAGGATGGAAAACAGGCTCTTGTTGGTTCGTACAGAGGACAATGTAAAGTTTATTATTTGAAGAATGAGGTATGTTTTGGGTTAGAATAGAATGGTCTTATCTGAGTCAATGGTACTATTAGAAGGGTGACTGGTGTATTCAATACATTACTCAGTTTGATGTTCGCTCTAGGAGAGGAAAGAATAGTAGAGGCAGTAAAATCTCCGGAATTTGTTTTTCTCCTAATGGCGAAGAGGTTGGTATAGATATGTCTTGATGATGTTTTCTCATCTTTTTTAGTTCTTAATTTCTTCCAATGACTCACGAATGCGTTGTTACCGACTCGATGACTTTTCACGAAGTTGCAAATATATTGGGCATCACAATCAATCCAGTCAGATATATGGAACCTTTCATAAGAACGGTTCTTTTGTTATTAGTGGCTCAGAGGATAAGGCAGTGTACATATGGAGATCTTTGGAACAGGGTTCGACCACTAATGGTGGACGCAGCAAGTCGGAACGTTTAGACTGTGAATACTTTATGCAAGACTCGAACGTAACTTGTGCTATATTTGGTCCTACTAGAAATAGGACACATGACTCAACAAAGGAAAGTGGTTTGGTTATTATTTGTTCTTATCATAATGGACAAATCAACATTTTCGAAAATATTGTTTTAGATGGAGAATAAAAGTGATTTTCCAATTTCATTCGGCGTCGTCCTATTTGGGCTCGATGGGAAAACGAACAAGGAAAGTGGGTATTGTCGGTAAATATGGAACACGTTATGGCTCCTCCATAAGAAAGCAGATTAAGAAGATCGAAATTGCTCAACATGCAAAGTATACCTGTGCTTTCTGTGGAAAGGACTCCATAAAACGAAAGGTACTTCCTAGTTGGTTGTTGTGGCCTTCACCTCAATCGTTTTTAGGCGGTCGGTATTTGGTGTTGCAGATCCTGTAAAAGATCAATAGCCGGAGGCGCTTGGTCGCTGAGCACACAGGCAGCTGCAACAGTGCGAAGTACTATTCGTCGTCTCAGAGAAATGACGGAGTCGTAAAGCGGGAGCAAAGACCGTTGTCAAGTGAGGCTAGACAATGAAGGAATGTCGTTCAATCTAAACGGACTTTGCTTTCTTTATCAATAAGAATAAATCCAAAAAAGACTTTGGACTTTATCACGTCAAGCTATTTTCAGTTAAGTGGACACTAGCGATTCCTTCCCATAGTTACGTGAGGAGTTCTCTCCATGGGCTCCTCCCCTTGTGACGAGGTTGCTTTCTCCGGGTTATTACCTTCTTTGACACTTAAGTTGGCCAGAGAATTGTCAACCTCCACAACACCTGAGTGAGCTGGTTTTCCAACAACTCCTTGAGCATATTGTTGACCGAGTGCGTCAGAAGCTTGTCTTATTTGTTCGTGATACATATCGTGCATTTCAGACAAGCGCTCTCTTGGAAGACTACTATATTGACGAGAGTCCACCTTTCCCATGGACTGTTTCCACTGAGAACGCATCAAATCTGCTTGTGAAGGCATCTCATAGTTGCTACGCTCTTGCAATTGTGCCAACTCTGGATGGTACAAAAGAATTTCTTTCCAGAAAAGAACTCTCATATCAGCGGCAGAAAGACGTCGCCTCTCAAAGTCAAACTCTGAAGCATCACAGACTTTTTTGCAAGCAAATTCCTTATTTCGGTCCCTAAACTTTGCAAAATAAGGATCATCTAATACTTGTGCCGCAGAAGGTCGCTTCCGAGGGTCAAACTCCAATAGTCTCTTCAACAGCGAAAGAGCTTCATGGTGCGCTCTTGGAAACATTTCTTCCAGTTTAGGCGTTGTCCTAGCAGGCATCTGCATAAGAAGTGCTCTTGCTCTATCGCTTCGAACCTAATATGCTATGGAGTCGAACAAGAAGAAATATAAGGGTTGACATACTTGTGATATTGCTTCAGCGGTAGGTTTCCCGAGCAATTTGACGATGACTTCCAACTGATTCGGTGAGTTTGTACCTCTAAATAAAGGAACTCCTCTATTCAACATTTCACCTAAAATACAACCCGCCGACCTGAAAGAATAAAATGTAAAAACTCACTCCAAGTCATTAGAACAGGTACTTGCCATATATCTATTGACGTAGAATATCGTGTGTAGTTTGTTAAAATAATTTCAGGAGCACGATACCATCTAGTTTCGACATAGCTAAGGAAAGTTACTCAACAAAAAAGTTACAAGAAAAATTCCAAATGTATACCCTGTCCAGTTTACGATATTCTCCGTATCAAATTCTGCTCTCGCCAAACCGAAGTCACAAAGTCGCAAATCACAGTCTGAATTGATGAGAATGTTGTTTGGTTTCAGGTCACGATGAAGAACTTTCGCGCTGTGGATGTAATTTAGAGCACAAAACACTTGATACCTTGATAGAAAATGCCATACTTTAGTTTGTACACGGGAGTAGATGAAACACGTACATTATCCAGCGAATATGATCATCTGATAGCTCATCTGGCATTTTGGTAAGTACGCGCTTCAAGTCCGTAGGCATTAGTTCCATAACAAGGAATACGTCGTCAAAGTTGTCTTTGTTACTAGGTACAAGCACTAAAGGCAAATAAGAACTTTCTACAATAGATATTTCTGTCTGACGAACCATCCACCAGCTTGCAAACGTTCGGGTGACCGTCAAGAAGTCTGAGGAACTTGAGTTCCCTCAGTATTCTTACGGCTTCCGAAACCTACATGTGAATAAGAAATTAAGAAACAAAACTTACAAAAGCTGTACCTACATCTTCGAAGACTTTAAGTACTCTCTTGATAGCGACTCGTTGACCAGTCTGGTTGTCTTTGGCAGCACAAACGACACCATATGCTCCTTCCCCAATACATTTTTCCAGTGCGTAGCGGTGCTGCATAAGTGGAGGCAGGAAGAAATCGTGCTTTATCTTTTCCTGTCTACTTAAGTTTCTTTCTCCCATCCTTCCAAGGTTCTCGAGATGGAACGTTAGTCTAAGCGGAGACCCACCCTATCAAAGAACAATTTGACATTTCTTCCATTTCTCAATGTCATTGACCAGACTAAAAGCATTATTATCATTGTTCTATATTTTTCAATTATTTCCTCCTTAGATTATTATACAGGGAGGAGAATTTATGCAACTAGAAAATTGAACTTGACAGTTTCTGGATGGAAAAATTTGAACTTGACGATATTGGTAAATGCATTTTTTAGTGTTTAAAAATGTTTTCTGTTTCATGGGGACGTGCTGTATAAGCAAAGGCATTTGATAATAGGCAAGCATTAACCCAAACAAGTCATTCATGTATGTGTTGATCCTTTATACTGTTTGAGATACTGGATGAACAATTTGTTGACGACTGCGCTGTCTGCCAAAATATGCTTTGATAAAATGCCAGTCATCAATAGCTTTTTGCCAATTTCTTTTGGCAATTTCCACATGGCTAAGAGAGAACGTTTGCTTAATTTCTTCCAGAGTGAGATTTTTCGTTTCAGGCATAAATAAAACAAGGTAGATCCAACCAAGAAAAACTATCCCACCGTAAAAACCGATGAAAACTCCAGGATCCGTCATGTGCTTCTCCATTCTGAGAAATTCATATGATGTGAGCCAATTGCCAAAGAAATTCATGATTGTGCAACTGGCTACGCCGTAAGTTCTGATATAGGTTGGAAATATTTCCGAATTGATAGTCCACGGTACCGGTCCCATTCCAGGACCCCAAAACAAATAAAACGTAACAACTCCCCAGGTATAGAGTCCCACCTTTGAACTTTTATCACTTGCGTAGAAAGAAAAGCCAGTTATGATGAGACCCAAAATGATGCCAGGCATGGTTGATAATAACAACCATCTTCTACCAATCTTATCGTTAAGGTATATGGCAGGAATAGTTGCAAAGAAAAATACTCCTTCTCCTATCATTCCCATGTAAACAGAATGACTAGGAGTCATGCCCAATTTCTCGAACAAGGTTCCAGTATAATAATTAATAGTTGCAACCCCAGAGAATTCCTGAATAAACATGATTCCCACACCTAACTCAAACGCTCTACGACAATGTGGAACACGCAAAAAGTCCATCATGACTATCAGAAAAGGTTTTGCAAATTGTCTCTCTGTCTCCACAACTTTCTTCATTCGAACAAATTCTTCAATTTCTTCTCCTCGAAAGCCTCTTAATTTTCTCCAAACAACTAAGGCTCGCTGATATCTTCCTCGCTTCATTAGCCAACGAGGGCTCTCAGGGAAGAATATTGCACCAGTCATCAATATAGTTGAGAAGACCAGGGAAGACCCAAGCATGTATCTCCAACTTCCATCAACGTTGGTAAATATAGCATCAACCACATAACCACCGAGTAGCCCAAATACAATCATCACTTGATATAAAGACACCAAGCCTCCCCTTCGTTGTTTTGGTGAACATTCAGCAATATACGTAGGAACTGTCATGGCTTCCATTCCAATACCAGCTCCTAAGATGAGTCTTCCAGGCAACAAAACACCATAAGATCGGGCTGCTGCACACATTATTGCACCAGTTGTATCTAAAAGACAGGCAATGATGATTCCGCCTCTTCTTCCAAGCGCCTCGTTGACTGCAATAGCTCTATTATTATATGTGTTAATATCTTCCCATTCTAGAGAAAATAGTTACTTACGCTATGGCTCCAGGAATACCTCCTAGAGATACTGCACTAGTTATCAAGGATTCCTGCTCAACATTCAGCTTGATATCCTTCAAGAGATACAACAAAGCTCCGCTAACTAAGGTTTGGTCCACTCCATACAAGAATCCACCAAATGAAGCGTAGATTGCCAAAAAGTGCAAATAAAATTTAGGGTTTCCAAAAGTCCCCAGTGGAACTTTTTCTGCTATCTTATCCACATCTTCTTGAACTTCTATTTTATCTTCTTCAGAGACCTCAATGTTATCAAGGAGTGCCTCCAAACTCTGGTCTTTAGCTTCTTCTGAATTCTTGGATGATGTTCTTTGTGTACCATCATTTGTTTCGTTGCTTGAAATAGTACGATTGACCTTCATTTTCTCTTGTGTAGCCTGAACACTATCCATTCGATTGTAAAGTAGAAATAGAAAAATCAACTACGATCAATTGTTTTAAACCAATTTTCTAATGCTAGCAACTTTCCTCTGGAATGCAGCAATCCTACAACTGTCCAAGAGACGTCTATAGTCGGATCAAGGCGAAATCGAGCAGAGACATTTCGTAGTATCCCATGAGTCTTCGCTCTCAAACGTCTAAGAAAACATGAAAAATCTTGGACTTCACTTAGGAAATGACATCACCAACACATATAAGCTTGAAAACTGTCAATATTTTCTAGTGTCACTTTTCACAAACCTATACTTGAGAAACATCAACTTTAGAATGTTTGCTCCTTTTCAAGCTTCAAGAAAACGAGAATTTTTTAAAATATATTGAAGAAGTTTCGCTTTTGTTGAAAGCAACATACTTGTAAACGGCAATGCATCATCGAACATAGGCGATAACAGGAGGCGCAAAGTCATGAAAAGTTTTGCGATCACTGAAACTCTACTATGGGCCTTGATGTGAACGTGAATTAATTTTCAAAGATGACCATTTCCACAGTTCAAATAACAAAAACTCCAACAATATCAGTTGCAGTAGCCAGAACAGGGCTTGCACATTGTGCAGGGTCCGCACCACAGTATTCTAACAACAACGGAACCTGGGCACGAGCAGCTACTGCCCATACAACGAAAAGAGCAACGGAAACTTTTAATGCATCTTTTGAACTATGTACAGTAAATATGACACGAGAATGCAACAAAGCTGATACATGTTGCAATTAAAAGCCCAGTAAATAGTTCTTGCTTAAGGACCCTGCTTTTGAAGTTGGGTAAAGAAAAGTTCGCTTTCAACAAAAGTATATAACAAATACCTGAGTGCGCTCCAATATTGTATTTCACAGTCGCCAAACCTCGGATTGCAGAGGATTGTGAGCCAGCATCTCCTCCAGTTCCTAAAAGCATGGTAGGAAAGAGAGTTATTGCCAGACGCTTTTCGATCAATTCTTCAAAACTATTTAGAATAAAAGAAGAGACACTTTGTAACAAAAACAACATAAGCAGTCATAAAAATCTTTCTAAAACTGACGAAGCAAACAACAGCTTAAAGTATGAAAATTTTGAGTGAGAGCGAAATGAGCTTAATGGCTGAAAAGTACATGTATTGGACGCCGTTAATCGTTTTTAGACAATTATTTCGGGCAATGTGACTTTCAAAGCACGCTTCTGCTCTTCGATTTACGTCCAGAAGACCAGCAACACCAATGAATGTACCTTCACCATCTGCAACACGGATATATGTTTTCAAGGCAGTCTCCAAACTTGTACTAGTTCGGAATACTACATCACAGTTTCTCAACAACGACTTAAATGATTTTTAGGACACAAATCATGACAAATTTGAGCTTCTTACGATAATTTTAATGTCTACTGGAGAAGAGAAAAGATCTTGCACGGTCAAATAGCCCAAAAGCTTCGGACTGACAACATCCGAAACAAATAAACGGTCAGGTATTTCCAGGCCTGAGCCATTCTCATTGACAAAATGTTCTCTCCCATTATTTTTCTGTTGATTAAGGAATTCGAAACAGTCCATAAAGGTAACTTCAGGACGTCTTAAAGGGGTTTGTAACTACTATCGATAAGGTTCAAGTCCTTCAGATACCTTGTACTTGGGCTTTCCTCTTCTTTCATAGAGACAATGTTGATATCTATTTCCGTGAGAAATTCATCTTTGGCAGAAGCGAATGCATTGATCTGATCATTATTTTTATTTTCTGCTCTACTCATAATGTGCGGCTGGTTGAAATAGTGACAATTTTTCATTTAAGAAAGGCAAACTTATAAGCCAAAATATAGCAACGCTGCCAACACTGTTATAAACGTACTTCAAGCTCACGATCGATACTAAAGTTTGTGCAATGCCTTATCCTTATCAGTTATTGCTACAATCCAACTAACTGGCAAAAATCTTATCGCCGTCGAGTGGACACAAATCAACTACACAAAACAGTTTCAACTGATTGATTTCGCATTAAAATTCGAGCCGCTGCCATCTATACCTTTTGAATCGTCTTTGTTTATTCTTGAAGAGAATTGTTTAACTGATTATCTGAATTGAGTATGCAGCATTGAAATATTTTTTAAAAGCTGCACTAATTTTGCAACTCATGTATGCAGCGATTCTCAATCCTTTATACCTCCAGCGAATACTTCTTCTCTCCCATTCTTTGATCATGTCATCGGGTTTATGTTAAAAAATAATGGCAGAGTAAATATAACAGAGCATAAAAGTGAAATGCCATTATCCATGAACTAATCAAAACCAGAATGTACGTATCTCATTATTATTGCTATACAAAACCAAGCTAACTCAACTACATCGATATCACAACTGGTTCTAATTATTGATTATTCTCAGATGATTCTCACAGGTACGCTAACATCGTGATTCTTTCAAAGAAACTCAAGTTGATGTCACAGAGTTTCCCTCATACTAACATTGTCTACTTGATAGCGAATCATGGCATGTCATGGAAAAGCTATGCTCAGAGAATTCCTTCAGCGGGTTTTGGGCAACTTTTATCCAAAAAATTCTTGAAGCATTATATGCAAAGAAACTTGTTGCTTCCGCATTTTGTCCGCAAACAACAAAGAATGCAGCCATAGCTCGCAATATCGTACCCACTCAGAGCTTTTAGCAGATCTTGCAAACAATAGACTACGCAGTAATTCATTTAAAACACCAGACATTTGCCATGACAAGCATGGACAAAGTGGAAAGCAATGTCCATCTTGGAACTAAATGATGCTCCGGACTTTGGGTGACAAATATGTTTGAATGTATCAAGAATATATCTTCTTCTAACATATGAAATAAAACAAATTCAGTCATCTTTCCGACACGGGATCAGGCAGATCATGACAATAACAAGTCCACAGGTGGCTGAGAATATATATATATATATATTCAGCTGTTCCTGACAAACCAATTCTAAAGCCTGTTACAAAATTAATTTCCACTGGTGATGTCTACGGAAGTGGTCCTGTTTCACTTATTGTTCTATGGAGCAAACTACCAAACAAGAGTATGATATTAAAAAGGACGAGCAACCATTTGAATACACTCAAGATCATCCTAGAAGCTTCCTATTTGCCAATCTTTGGTTACAGTACTGAGAACAAATTCAAGATTTCGAAGAGTTGGTCCAGAGAAAGATTGTATGATTATTAAAGGAGAACCCATTTGACTTGTATCGTTGTTAAAAAGCGTCTTGTTGAACCCAGAATCAGGATTATATTGACAGCCTCATAAAGTAATCTGAAGCTAATTGTTCCTGCTGAAAAGTCGTGCAGGCTCTTCCAAAGAAAACTAAAGAACACCAATTTCTCTTTCCTAAAGAGTAAATAACTAGTTTGCAACACCACTAATAGTCTGTGGAAACAAAAAAACAATTAAACCACTTAAGGTTGAAAACAGCTTCCCAGTGGGCTTTCGGAAAATTATTAAACCACCTTTGGTATACTCTGAAGTATTCATAACGAAGGGCATCATTCACTCAGTTTGATATCAACAACCTTGTCGTACTTTTCTATTCTGGTTTCGCAAGATAGGATCGTGAAACTAGAGATAACAACATGAATGGGATGTATCTAGGAAAGGGTTGTTCATGAGAAAAAAAAGTTGAAGAAGCCAGACAAGTTTCTCGTCCAGAAATAGAAAATCTGACTGGAAGGATAATGGAGGATAAGAACCTCTTCAAAACTTGATGCAGTGAAAATCGAAAGAATTTCTCCACAGTTGTTATGAATACAGCAAGTTACTACGTGTATAAGAGTATTAGGAGCTTTGCAGAGTGAGCAAATCTAAGGCTGCCATTCTCGCTCTTGTATTAACTGGAGTGAGAACTTTATTGGACAGCTGCTTTGTATACATACTCCATAGCAAGACTATTTCAAATAACAATAGAAGTAAGTCTCTTTCGACAAACTTGATCCTAAACATTCTGTGAAAATCATTTGTCTTGGCTTGATTGTTTTAAACTTCTCTATTTTATGCAAACTGAAGAAATGACAGCCACTTGAATGATTTTGAGAACTTCCGTATCTATTTAATTGGTTCTCCAAGGCATAAAGACATGTTCTAAACTGTTTCTGTAGCTAATATTTCAAATAAAGAGCTACGAGCTTAATCATCTCAGAAATAACCTTTTCTATTTAAGAAAGTATTGACTTCTTCGAAGTAAAAGAAGTATCATCTAGAGAAAAGAAAAATGACTTTTCGATTGGAATTAAAACTAACTTGGATCGACGGCAACTGTACAGATTCATTCAACGCTTCGTATGACAAGTCCATTTAGCACCAATGGGCTTAAAAGAGCAATATCTGAACCGTTTCATCTAAATATTTTCGCTATTTTTGCTATTGAAAAAGATTATCAATACAACAATCAATGCAAACAAAAGCTTCTTTCTCTAATAGTTACTATATATTTTGTCATCCTATTACCATGCTTTCCCTTTACAGCTGTTTACTCAATATAATTACCATCAAAGGCTGCTAGTATTTCTTCTTCTCCTTCTTTTTCATGAAACTCATCCTCTTTACCATTCTTTGACCATGTAGTCATTATTATGATGGAAAATACCGGAAGACCAAATATGACTGGTAAGATGGACATGCCATTTATCAACAAGTTGATCAATGAAGAGATGTATGCTGATCATTACCATGGATACACCAATCCAAGTCTACCAAACTACATAGCAATTCCAGTTTTGGTAATTTTCTGATAACCCTGCTCAGGTATATAGATCATTCCACTTCTTTTAGCTATATGAGAATAACTTTCTTTGCTTTAGGAGTTTACCCACACAAACATAGCGGGTCTCCTCGATGAAAGGGAAATGACTTGGAAGAACTACACCCAAGCTATTCAATACGTTGGTTTCTTAGGCCATTATTATCCAAATAATTCAGACTTTGCTGTTTATGTCAAAAGACATGTACCGTTTGCATTGTATTCTCAGATAACCAGCAACACTACAAGGGTTAAGAATATTGTGCCATACTTGCACATTTTGGATGATTTAAAAAATAGCAATCTACCGAATTTTAGTTTCATAACTCCTGGTGTTTGCCACGATATGCATGGACAGTATTCGTCTCATGTAGAATATGATGCTTTGCCACAAGGAGGACCAAATGATAAGCATTGCCCGTTTGTCCACAGAAAATGATAGTTGTTGAATGGAGATATGTTCATTCAAGATGCAATTACTAATATAACATCCTCAGATATATGGAAAAACTCCAACTCTGTCATCTTTATAACATGGGATCAATCTGAAGTTGACTTTAAGAAGTCTACCGACAGTTGGCAATTTGTAACTGCAGGACCAGACTCACTCAACTTGTCAGTAGGAACCAAATTATTACCAGCTGAAGGTATCTATGGAGGAGGCCCAATGCCTCTCATAGCCTTGTGGAGTAAAAAGCCAAATAATCATGTCGTTTATTCGGAAAAGAGCAATCATCTGTTCACTTTATATACTCAAAGCATGGAATTTGACTTATTTGGGATACACAACAGAAGAAATACAAATCAAAACCTTTGATAGCTTTTTTAGAACTAGTAGGTGATCTATTTCAGCTGCTTCTCTTTGTGTGTTGTCATGTTTCCTCCTTGCATTAAACCGCTTGCTGTTCATGCTCTTACAAAAAATATTCGTAAAGATTTTGCAAGTCCCAAGATTAAAGAAGACGTTTCAAGCATGGTGATTTGCAGATATGAAAAGTTGTCAAATTAAAGACAAAAATTCGTTCAACAGTGCTTCAACAAGAAAATGATTTTATTTGAGAAGCCATTTCTTGCAAAGATTATCATCTCGCTCAAACAAAGCCAGTCTTTATTCAAATAGCTCCTTTTTGTTGAAAACAATTCAAGAAGATTGAAACCAATATAATAATATTTGCTAAAGGAAGGACGATGACACACAAAAACCAAAAATCTTTGTCAACTTGTATTTGTTTCCTAGCCGACAACAGTAAAAGTCTGCTCTAAGAGAAGAAAAGATAGGCATCTAAATAGAGAATACGGAACTATTAAAAAATTTCCAGCCTCTTTGAAGCATGTTTTTACATACAAAACTTTGGGATGAATAAGTTGCTTACTAGGACCAAAATGTCGCGTTATGCATATCTCAAGGAGACTAAATCATATAACCATATAGAGCATGAAGATAAGAGCTCGGTTAATATATGGTAGAACTATGACAATGAATTCAATAGCCATGCAAAGTTTTTCGATGCTGCCATACTATTTCCTTTCAATAAAATCCAGTCAACATTGTATATTATCACAAGTATGACGGAAGTTATATTGTGTCGTAAAAAGAAGCACAAGCAATGAAACTTGAGAAAGTTGCAGGAGTGACAAGTTTAAAGGTGATGCCTCGAAGACTCATATTCTAAACGAAAAAAGGAAATCAGTGGTAACTTTTATATGGATACAATCTTTAATTTAAAACATTCAAAATGGTTTGTACTCTTTAGCAAACGGCAAGCTGTTTCTAAAAGATTTGGCATCCTTTCATAATTTCAAGAGAGAAATTTCCAAAATCCCTGATGGATCTCAGCCTTCGTTTAATGCGAAGTCATTTAATGCTATTGGTAACAACTTCCGAAAGTTTTCACTTTTTGTTATAATTATGGAGCCTGAGAGAAATATATGTGTCATTGGTAGCCTCAACGTTGACCTTGTTGCAACTGCAACCAAAATTCCCGTGAAAGGAGAAACCATACTCGCTAGTTCGTTTGCCATCCGCTATGGTGGCAAGGGAGCCAATCAAGCTGTTGCTTGTAGTAGGCTTGGCATTCAGACTAACTTGGTGGCTAAGATTGGAGATGATGATTATGGTCGTCAAGCTATGGAGAAATTGGCAGAGTACTCGGTAAATACAAGTACTGTTATCAAAGAGGAACTTGAATCTACTGGACTGGCCCTGATCGTTGTTGAAGAAGAAACTGGAGAGAATGTTATAACTGTTGTTTCTGGGGCCAATGCTCGATTGTCTTCGGAAGATGTGTTACGACATGAGGAAGCCATTGTATCTTGTTCTATTTGTTTGTTACAACTGGAAATCCCTTTAGACACCGTCAAGAAAACAAGTAAGCTAAATGAGTGGACTTTGACAATTCTTTCTGATACAGTTTCAAGTTGAAATTGCAAAACGAAACCAGATCAAGGTTATTCTGAACCCTGCACCTTTTCAGTTGCTAAATGATGAAATACTGTATGGAATCGACATTCTAGTACCCAACGTGTTAGAGTTAGAAATCTTGTTGGGTTTACATATTCCTGATAGTACATGGTATTCGAATGACGATAGTGAAACTGCGGTAATATTTGGTCTTGTGGATAGACTACAGCGAAAGTTTCAGAACTTGGCTTTGGTCATTACGCTTGGCAAACGTGGATGCATTGTTTGTCCACATATGGAAAACAAACATTTGAATGCATTTCTTATAGAGCCTTACATATCAACACATCATACAGTGGACACTACTGGAGCTGGTGACTGTTTTTGTGGGGCTCTTGCAGTAGGATTAATGGAATATGGTAATCTTTTGGAAGCAGCTCGGTTTGCCAACATTGCGGCCGGAATATCGGTGACAAGACAAGGCACGCAAGAATCGTATCCTTCTAGGGAACAAGTTGAATATCTGTTGAAGGACAATCAGGTTGCAAGGATCCAAAAGCTTAACCATATCAAGGAATGAAACAAATTGTGAAATTGCCATAGTAATAATCATAGTTAAAGTTATAATATTTACGCTATAAGTTTCCTATAGAAAGTTTATTTGAGTTCATCTCCCTTTAGTTATCCTGACTAGGCATTCCTTTCATCCGTTTCCATTGGCACTGGCTCTTCATGAACTTGTTGCGAGTTTAATTTTTCTGGCTTCTTCTTTTTCTTTTGAGCTTTCTTTGACACAGAGGTTTTCAAAACTGCCTTTACTGTCTCGTCAGACAATGTCTTTTCGCTTTGACACGAAGGCATCGAAAATTCAGTAATACGAAGAGTTTGCGACGGTAAAATGAGAGCAGTGAACTTTGCTCGGCATACAAAGACACCTTCTCTTTCATATAAAACAGGATATGAAACAACAAGATTATGAGTCAGAAGCTCCGTAATACCAAGCTTTGCCTTTTTTTCATCGGCAAGCGAACGCAAACAAAAAGGCAATGTGGGATATTTGGTATTAATCTCATTAAATACTGCACGAGAAGTTTTCATTTTCAGATTGTACTCTATATCCACACGACGTTTATAAATGGTGCAACGTGTACCTTGTTCTCTAGTTTTTCCTTCGCCAGTGCTCATAGCAATGTCTATCGCATAAACTTCATTCTCTTGAAATTCATATATATCCACCTTTTGATCAAACGTGGGTTTGGCAAGGACAACTTTGTTTCCATCAATAACGTGTCGTTTCATTTGATGACTTAGGCAGCCTTCCACAATTCGGCAGTCATAAGCATCAGCTATCTTTGCGAATATTTCTGATATTTCAGTATTGGTCCTTCCAGGTCTTAACATACGTAAAGCTGCTTCCGCTGCAGTGTATACTGCGACAACTAGATCCGCTTTTCTTCCCGTTAGTGTCTGTGAGGATGAATCTATTTCAGTACCATTGACAAACAAAGTATTGCAAAGAACTGCACAATATCCGTCAATGTGGGCACCCATCTGGATACTTATCAGATCACCTTCTTTTAAAAGTTCAGTGTCCTCGTCGGAAAGGGGAGAAAAGTGTGAAACACAGGCATTCACGCAAACACAAGTAGGAAAGGCAATTCCCTTATCAACCTTCTCACCAGTTGCAGTCTTTGCCTTGTTAAACACTCCTGAAGTGTACTCCAAGATCTGACTATCGCCTAGCTTACACAACTCCAAGACAGAAACATTGGGCTTCACGGCCTCCTTTACGTGCAAAAAAGCCTTGTTTACAGCTTCTGCGGCTGTTTTATATTTGGTTACCACTTCTGGACTTTCAATGGACTTGCTCTCTCCAATATCCTCTAAAGCTCTATCATTACTCAGGTCAACTTTCTGTGTATTCATTCGTTCAAAAGATAAGATTAAGAATAAATACGAACGACTACGATCTTCGAAATCCAATCACCAAATATTGTTCCACGGCGACGATTCTTATTGTTACGTTGTTGATCAAAAACTTCAAAAAACATGTTTTCAATATCCGTGCAAGCAAAGGCAGCAATTTACTTTATTTAGAATATGTTGGTTGCCAATTGTAATAATACAACAACCAATTGTATGGTCTACAGTTTCTCTACTCACCAACTGGAAAGAATCGATAAACTATCAAACCAAGTTACTCGCTCTTTGTCTGCAGCTTTCAACGGATTCACATAAACTCAAACAAGAGATTATCCTCAATATGATATTCTATACATAAGAAAGAAGACCAATTTCGGTAGTTTCAAACATACACGCGAGTTAACAGCACCATAAACAAAATCCCCGTACTGCTTATCGTAGTTTAAGTTATATACTTTTTTAAAGCTATTGGCAACTTGTTTGCTTATATCTTTCCGTTACTCGTTCACTCGTGTAACAGTTATTTGAACACCTTTCCAAAAGGCAACTCGGCGACCAAGAAGTTTCCATTCCCCTTTTAGTTCCTGTAGATAAAAACTCTTGGTGAAACAAGTCGCCCAACAAATAGAAAACAAAGTTACCCCAAATTTCCAAGCAGCAGCTTTCTTAAAATGACTATAGTTGCCTTGTTGGACGCATATATCGTAATACGTTGCCATACCAATTGGATTAAACTGGCGTACTTTCTCACACTGGCGCAGCAAACTCCAGTTGACGTCCTCTTCACGAAAATAGACCTTGGAGTCTAATATCTACAAAAGAGTAGATAAATAATATTGAAAGGCAAAAATTTACGTTACCTCAAAGTCTGTTCCCTTTGCTATTATTATTCTCATCCAAGTAGCTATGGCAACTTGACTTTGTTGTCTGAGCCTCTGTATGCGATTCCTTTCGAAGAAACGCCTCCTCTTTGATCCAAACTGCGACATCTGCGGTTCAACTACTTCTTCCACCCCGTTCACGATTTGGGGAGATTCTGGATATACTCTACATCTTCTCACTTGTTTAAATAGCAACGTTAACTGAGATCTCTTGTTCCTAATTGCACCCCAACTGCTTTGGAACGCATTCAACAACATTATCCATCTTTTCGTCGTGGGAATTTGGGCAACGCCGTTTAAGCGCCATGCCGACCAGAAAACTGTACGTTGGAAATGTTTCGAGACATGCTACAAGGAGAGACTTGGAAGACCTGTTTTCAAAGTATGGTCGAGTCAGGGACGTTCGGTTACTGTCTGACTATGCGTTTGTTGAGATGGGCGATGAAAGAGATGCCGAGGATGCCCGGTATTATTTGGATGGAAAGAGGCTAGAAGGTGAACGTATAAGGGTCGAGTTTGCTAAGAACGAAAGAGCTCCCCCAAGACAGCCAAAGTGTTACAACTGTGGCTTGTTGGGTCACTTTGCCAGAGAGTGCCCAAATGGAGACTGGAGTAACCGTTGCTATCGCTGTGGGGAAAAGGGGCATACGCAAAAGGACTGTACTGCTCCTCGTCCAAGAACACCTTCTCCTTCTGGACTCCCTTCTAGAAGGAAAAGAAGCCCGCGTCACAGTCCTTATAGGCACAGTAGCCGCTCGCCTTCTCACTCGAGGTCTCCCCCTCCAAGGCGAAGCCATCGCTCTAGAAGTAGATCGCCTCCTAGAAGAAGATTTCGGCGCTCTTCTGTAGACAGTCCGAGGAGGAGAGATGACTATTCTCGAAGCGCAAGTAGGAGCAGGAGTCCAGTAAGAAAGGAGGAAAGTAGGAACAGAACCCACTCTCCCAGTGTGGAGAACAACTATCGTGACGAAAGCAGTTACGAAGATCGTCGTAGATCTCGTTCGAGAAGTATTGAAAGTGTTGAGAAGAGGAGAGGTGACAACTCCGCCAATGAGTCACCTAGAGGTGGGTAGTTTTTGAGAGGATATAGAATAACTCAATCGTAAGTAGGAGAAGAGGAATATTAGCTGATGTTTCAAGGTAGTGACTCGTTTGGGTACCTTGAGACGGTATTGCTTATTTCGTGATTGTTGCGCATGTTCGGTTTATTTGTCTGATGAAGCTCTGTTCGACGATAGTGGAGTGGTTAGTATTACGCATTGTGCGACCACTTGTCTGGAGTTGTTTTCTTGTTAGCATGGCCATTTGGAGTTGTAGCCACTAATGGCGCATATGATGAATAAACGGTATATCTCTGTTTGTGGCGCTTATATCAAAGGAAGAGGATATTGGAAGGATATATATATGAATGCCTTTTTGAATTTTGGGAATGGACAAGTTGAACGATATTGGTTGTATATACACTTAGGAGCAGTTACTGATGGAGTGGCTTTTTACACACTTGTTACACGTTTGATATTATATTCACTTCAATTCTTGTTCACGGCATGTCAATGTGAGGATTTGATATTCTCTGTTTGTCTCAATTGTAGCACACGCTTTCAGACTCTGGAAAATGGAGTTGCAAAGGTCCTGCCAAGAAGATCTTAACAGACACCGGAGTTTGTCCATTCGAAACTTTCGCTTTAGATGCTCTTTACTCTGTTACTGGAAAGACACTTGTGAATGTCTCGTCGCAGTAGGAATTTTGCCATCTACCAATGAGCTAAGGCTTCCATTTATTCGAAGTCCCTGATACTTATGGATAATAGTTATCCAAACTTTATTTAGGAAGAAACTATAGATACATATAATTCAGACGCTACTTAACATTGGTAACATTTGTTTCAACGAGTGACTTTCAACCAAATATTGTCGAAGGTTCAAATGTATGTGGTGAGAAAAAGATGCAATATTTATAATGAAAATGATTGTTCTGTCACCAGCTTTCCGATTGTGGCTCATGGAATCGAACTTAAGATGATATGTTTCTTTGCTAATTGAAATATCGCCCAAAAAAATAATTCGTCATTTACGACAGAGCCTCCCAAGTCACCAGCTGACTTGTTACTTTCATTTTCCATTGTTCATTCGACTTCCATCCTTTCCACCAACTATTTCCTTCAGTATAGTCTGCTTTTGAAAAATGATAGATCAAGAAAACACTAACGCCATTATTATCATTGTCTTCTTCCTCTTTTTGTCGAAGTGTAACAAGTTTATGAGTCACCAACTCTTTCCAAGGCTGTGGTAAGTATTCTGGAATAGAATGAGAACTTTCGCTGTTCAAATATATAGATTTCGACCGAAATGGCAAAGACATCTGCATCTTTACTGATGCTAAGCATATAACAGGAAAATTGAATAACAATCTTTTAAGTTTCATAAAACAAGCCTGCAGCACTGCCACTTGACTGGTAAAAGAATTCCAGTGTTGCCAGCCTCCGATTCCGTCTATAAATATAACGTAGGCTACAAAACTATCAGCCTTATTTATTCTATTCGAGGAAAAAGAACGCTTACAATGACCACTGGTCTCTATTTGTTCTTGAAGGTCGCTCAAATACAACAGCAGCTGCCAATCATCTTGTGGCTGAGAAATCTGCAGCTTGTCAAGGATTTGAGAAACTTGCGCTTCATCGTACGTAGTACTGCTAGCAAATTAGAACCTCACCTCATAATAAGTGACTAATGTGACAATATTGCATACCTGCTGCTTGACTGTAGAAGTACCCGTATCCTTGAAATATCAAAATTCCAGTCCATGTCAATCCAAACTAACTGTAGCTCTCTTCGGTATGATTCTCTTTCTAACTGATATAAAATAAAATTTGCTGTGCACTGGTAAAGGAACTGAGTTTTGCCACATTTGGACAGTCCAGTGATCTCTACAAGATCACCCGCTTCGAGGACGGCGATAGGACAGAAAAACTTCAAACGTCATTTCTCGAGTAGAAGGGAATGTAAACTAGACTTACGGAAGTTTGAAAATAAACTGGAGGAAAATATTTGCGTTTCAAGCGATGGAATATCTGAAATCCAGTTTCTGATACGAGTTCCATTCTGACACGGTCAAATGCTCCAAGTTAATCTTTTTTGTAGGCAATCGTTCTACGATAATATCGATGTAAGCAAACTTACTTTGACATATTGCAAAGTTTTCATCTCGAAGCTACTATATTCCAGAATATTAAATTTCAGTTACGAATCGTATTATATTTTGGGAATCGGTAGTGCCTGATATAATGACTGTAGACAGCAATAGGAATGCACAATCGCAGTGCCTAGTCTTGAAAGATTTTGAACTGGAAGCCAAAAGAAAGCTTCCCAAGCATATATATGAGTATGTTGCTAGCGGTGCTGGTGACGAACAAAGTGTAAAAGCCAACACGAGAATATTTCAAACCCTGTTTATTATTCCAAGAGTTCTTTCCTCCTGTTCTGAACCAAAGACGTCCTTACAAGTAGGCAAAACAACTTTGTCTTTTCCTTTCCTTGTGGCACCTTTTGGAGTACACAAACTTGTACACCCGCAAGGGGAAGAGGCAACAGCTCTGGCCTGTCTTGATGAAGGAATTACACTCGGTGTCTCGCAACATGCTACTGTACGACTGGAACAAGTGCGTAAAGTGGCAACGAAAGGATCACATTGGTTTCAATGTTATATTTTGAAAGACAGGGATATAACTTTGCGTTTGGTAAAGCGAGCTGAAGAAGCTGGATATGAAGCCTTGGTGATTACAGTGGACTCCCCCATTTTTGGCTATCGACCGATTGACACGAGAAATGGTTTTCAAAGACTACCAAGTGGACTCAATTATGAAAATTATAGCGATGAAGACAAAAAAATTTATGCTTTTGCAAATGAAGGTGATACAGGCGGTTTTGATGACCACATCGATAAAATATTTGATGCCAATATTACTTGGGATGATGTTCGTTTAATAAGGCAACAAACTCGCTTGCCAGTATTTCTCAAGGGTATTCAGTCAGTAGAAGACGCCTTATTGGCCTATAAGTATGGTTTGACAGGGATAATTATCAGTAATCATGGCGGAAGACAATTAGGTAGTGCTGTGCCAACTTTGCAATGCCTCCCTGCTGTTGTCCAGGCAGTTCGAAAGTTGAAGCTACAAAATTTTCCTATTCTCATCGATTCCGGTTTTCGTTCCGGAGAAGACATCATAAAAGCGCTGGCTCTTGGAGCTGACGCAGTCTGTATTGGACGGCCAATATTATGGGGTTTAGCTTGTAACGGTATTCTGGGGGTGAAGAAAGTTTTGGGAATATTGAAGAGAGAATTTATAGACGGAATGAAACTTTCCGGTTGTTCGTGTTTAGAAGATATTCATAAGTTGAAGTTGATTTCCAGAGGTAAACTTGCTACCAAAAGACGCAACAATGCTCCTCACATTCGTAACGGCAAATTCTGCAAATTATAAAAATTGCAAATGGGCAGAAAAACGTTCCTAAATAGCATTTCCAATGTTCAAATGCTGATTGGATAATTTAGCTGGTCCAATGGACTGAGGGACATGATCCCATCAGAAGAGGGAGGCTTTTGTTTAGGTTGTTTTTGATTACCTTCCTCGCGTTGTGAAATGGTTTGTGTTGGTACTGTTGCGTCCTCGTAGTTCTCGTGTTTTGCACGAGAGAGGAAATAAAGTTTTTCTAAATGGAAAGAGCACTGAAGAGTAGTGCACGTCTTGTGCCCATACGTCCAAAACCTATTGTGCCGTCAAAAGAGTATGTTGCAAACGAGGGATTTCACAGTTTTCGTTGATGGAGTTTTTAGGTCTGAAACTTTTTCGATGCAAGTTGTTGTGACTAGCTGGGAAGGTGGTTGTACTTATTACATAAAGGGAGGGGGAACGTATTATTCGAAAGGAGGGGTTGTTGTGCCCTCAAGGACTTCGAATCCTATGACGAAAGACGAGTTCTTCTTGTTGGGTACTTACTCCAGAGATAAGTTATTACCGCTATTTGATAGGACGCTACGAAGTCCGGAGGCGCACTAGTGGGCTTACAGGGGAGGAGATCGTCTCAATTACTATAACTTAAAAGTATTGAAAGAAGGGTCGTCCAAAACTGTTTATAAAATGTTCTTAATATTTTTACTGTTTATTAGTTATATTATGTTACATACAAACTTGCAGCAAAACATATATCGCGACGTATCCTTTCATCAGCTTCTACAATTTTATCGTGTAACTTAAAGTCCCCAATAACTCTAGCAAAACTCCTAACTTCCTTAAGAAGCTCACTAAGTCGATTGATGACCCGAATTATAGTTCCCTCAGGAACTTCCGTAACCTCACATATTTCCACAAACTTAACTCCTTGTGCCCATAGAAGTACCACATCTGAAAGTCCAGTTCTTATATTCTGTTGTGCAAATTCTTCCGCTGAAATGGGAAGTCCGCATTCATTTTGAACATTTCCAACTCGATGAGCAATGGTTCCCAGGGCTTCGATAGCATTCAATAAAGGATCAGTTAAACTGGAAAGAACACACTTGGTTGAACCTTCAAAAACAAATGAAGACAGAAAGGCTGCACATTCACAAGAATCCAACGGATTCAGAACATTTTCAAAGATCACTTCCGTTGCTAATACACAGTCACAAATATTCAATTCACAAGCTGCTCTTCCTTTTAGTTGGATGATGTGTTCCTCATTTATAAAACTGCAATGTTGTTAGTTGATTCTTGAAAACCTAAAACCCAAACCTACCCAAGTTTCTTGAGGACTTCAACCCGCAGATTATAATCTGGCATCAGCTGGAGACTATCATCACTTAGAGCCCATCGAATCTTTGCCAATTTCCACTCTAGTTCATGATAGAGCTCAAACATTTTCATCGCCGTGAATTTTCGAAAGCTTCGATTGACAGGACTTTTTTCTATGTCTTCAATCAAAGCTTCACGACGTTTCCAGGCGTCCTGAATCTCTGGATTGCAGTAACCCATATCTTCTGTTGGTGGAATTCTCACAAATGGAACGACTTTTCCATTTTCCTTGAGAAGCCGCAGACGGTCTACCATTCGGTTGAGTTCTGTACGAAATGCAAATGAGGCAGCATCATAAAGATAGAACAAGTTCATTTGATGAATCTTCTCTGAAATGGGGGCTACGATACGATCCAATGAGATTCGTTCTACACGCCACTCATACCTTCCAATCTTACCAGAAAGAATCTTTGTTCCAAGTTTAAGTTTGGATACAAATTCTGGTTTGCACTTTGGGTGTTCTTGATAGACTGGTACTATCCAGACGACTTCCAACATATCTGTATTGCAATGTGTTGCCTCATATGAACGAGTTTTCTCCTTCAAAAAATGTTCTAAACGAGCATTCCTTGTAAAGCCTATTATCACAGCAAAATGTATATCAAAATCGTCACCCAAAACCTGTACTATACGACCCAAGTCAAGATAGTTTTGTAAACACTGAGTTTTGGCCAATGTAGTTTTGGCCAAATACTGCGTCAACTGCTCACATTCAACATAGACAGAGTAAAATCTTTTGAAGTCAACCGTAGTTAAATGCAGCGAGCGGTCTTGGATTCTTGCAATCCTCTCCTCCAAATGTTTTAGTTTCAAGTCGCCCTTCACGAGAAGCTTTGACATTACACTAACATCTCTTGCGTATGGAGCCTCACAAAAAGAATGTCGAATCATATCTTCTACTTGTAAATCTTCAGTTCTCAGCAAGTTGAGAATCATGTTATAAGTGAGACGAAATTGAGAAAGCAAATTCACCGGTTGCCCTATCATGACTTTTCGCAATATATTCATTTCAGGCAAATCTTCTTCCAAAAACAAAAGCACAGTTCCTACTGAGTCGATTCCTCTTCTTCCAGCTCTCCCTGCCATTTGAATATATTCACCCTATAATAAATTTTCAACCTCCTTCAAACCTTTATTTGAAATATGAATAACTTACGGGTTGCATCCAACGAAACTTTCTGCCGTCATGCTTTCGAATAGACGAGAATATTACAGTCTTTGCAGGCATATTGACACCCATTGCGAATGTTTCCGTAGCAAAAAGAACACGAACAAAACCTTTCTGGAATAATATTTCCACAACTTCTTTCATTAGTGGAATGATTCCAGCGTGGTGAATTCCAATCCCTCTGCTTAGCATTTCTCGTAATCTCTCAATCTGAGGTATGATTCTGTCTTCAGCTTGCAATCTTGATATTGACTTGTCTATGAATGAAATGATATGAAACTTTTCCGACGAGTCTATTGTCAGGTCTACATTACTCAGCAAATTAGCCAACTCGTCACAACGTTTCTTAGCAAAACAAAAAATGACCGCCGGAACTAAGTTGCTTTCATTTAGGTAATAAACAAGTTCGCGCCATGGATGTGCACCACTTGTCCTAATGTCACTTGAAGGAATCATCTTATACTTTGCAAGTTCTTTTAGTTGCTTATAAACGCTTGTCATAAATTTTCCCTCAGCAGTCACCAAAGTATACAAATGTTTCCTAAAAAAGATACAGTGCTGCAATGGGACTGGGCGAAGATGAGTACCCACAACAAAAACTTTTGATTTTCTTATTGCTCCAACCCACTTGGCAAAATCCATAGCATTGGGAACAGTGGCACTCAGCATAATAAGTTTGATGTATGAAGGAAGCATAATGATGACTTCCTCCCAAACAACCCCTCGTTCCTCATCATTAATATAGTGAACCTCATCAAAAATAACAAACTCTATATCTCTGATGAGATCTGCTCCTTTATAAAGCATGGAACGTAATATTTCTGTCGTCATGATAAGGCAAGAAGCTTCCGGATGAATACTTACATCTCCGGTTACAATACCAACATCCCTAAAATTATCTAAAAAGTCCCGATACTTCTGATTGGAAAGACTCTTAATCGGGGAAGTATAAATTGCCCTTGTTTGATGTTGTATAGCCAAAGCAATTGCATATTCAGCTATGACAGTTTTGCCAGCTGAAGTATGTGCAGTGACAAAAACATTTTCTTCTCTTTCCAAATGAAGAATGCCTCGTTTCTGAAAGTCGTCCAACTTGAAGGGAAATGTCCTGGCTGGATATCTCACTTCCTGTTCAAAACTTTCTACGTCTTGTTCATCAAGAATAGCATAGCTTTTACTGTCCATTGTGTCTTCTCTATTGTTTTCATCTACTCCCAACTTTGGTTTGTTTCTTAAAATATCATTAACCCTTTCATTCGACAAAAGTCTGTCGATTGCAACATGAATACTTTGCAAGTCGTCCCAATTTTCAATATTCTCAACGACATGTTCTTCTTCTTTATCTACAGCAAGTGACGATGGATTGTCCAAATAAGTCGACGATATTTGGCTCAACTTATTTCCTTCCTTTGAATTCGACAAATCACGTGAGTCTTGCAGTTCCTTTCTCGTTACTCCAAACATATTTAGTTCCTTTGTGGTAAAGGAAAAGAATTTTTTCCACTCAAAAGGATCTTGGCGTACTGAAGGTAGAAAACGTAACGGTTTGGTGTTGGCCTTTGTCGCTGCTCCTTTTTCCTTCAACGAAGATTCAACAAAGGCGGAACCTTTTGAATTCATCAGTACAAGAGAATTGTTAACCAGAAACTCGTTCTTGCTCTCAGTGGCTGCATGCTCTTGGCTAATTCTACTCTGAGCAAGAGACGTAACGCCACACCATTCCAATAAATTTTCTCTCGTTATTTCGTAGTTGTTCATATCTATTAAAGATTTATCTACTTGTAAATATTCAAACAGCTTCTGTTGATAAGTTTCCCAAAAAATGGTTTCCTCCTCTATACAACCGTTTTCTGGGGTAACTGAAGTTGCAAAAGGCTTATTACGAGTTGAACCTGAGTGGTAGTCTCCTTGTGTTTCTCTTTGAAGGGAAGTTGACTCACTTGCCGACTTTCCAAAATTTCGGTCATATTCTTCGAGGATTACGTTTGAAGAAGAAACCGGTCCAAGGTAAAAGTCACCCTCCTCAGAAGCTCTTGCAATATATAAACTCTCTGTTAGTTCACCAAAGCAAATATCGTCAAGTGACGAAATATAGTATGATGGCTTTGGTAACAAACCATGTAAAACCTCAACAATGACGCTTTCCATTGTAGTCACCAATTGACATATCCAACTTGGAAGAATATTTTCGCTTGTTCAATATCGCACTTTCAAACACAAGAATATCAACACCAAACTAAGAGTGAAATTGAATTCAATTAGTAGTGATAGATATTGTAAGTTGGGTTAGAATCATTTAAATACTTCGTTCGATGTTTGAGAATTTCGTAAGTTGGTTTTTATCTTTACAACTCATGAAAGATATTTAGAGTATTTGCATTACATTTGCCTTTGCACGGAATGGTTTTACGCAGGCAGGATCTTTGTTAAAAAGTTTCAAGAGGATGGTTTGAAATATTTGAAGATTATCTTGGTTAGTTTTCTTGTGGAAATTCTTGCCATCGTTTTGAACTCAATGAAACACATACTATTTTCAATGTCGTTGCTGTAATAAAAAAAAGTGCAATGATTTTATAACTCTATATGTTCTCAGCAGTTAAACTGAATATCATCTATTCAGGTGAGAATTGTTTTCGAAAATCTTGAATAAGAATTCGAAACCAGAGAGATTAGACAGCTGAAAAATAAAAGAGGATACAATCCAAAGTGCGATTGGCTATAAGCAGCTTTATAAAGTCGAAGAACAGTTTGAAAAAGCCTTTTTAAAGATCTTTTCATTTTGTTGTTGCTTATTCTGGAAAGCTCGATACACATTGGAAACCGCCCATTTTTGAATGACTATTTAAGTATTTATTATGGAAGAAGCGGAAAGAGAGTCAAACTCGAAGACTGGCCAAAAACAAGCTATTGAAGTTGGTCATAGAGTTGAAATACTTAAAGAAAGAGGTTTTGTTCGTTTTATTGGAAGTTTACAGTCTTCCAATCAAGACTTGTCCTCCACTTTATGGGTCGGAGTGGAGTGGGATAATCCTACCAGAGGAAAGCACTATGGAACCTACAAGGACAAAAATTATTTTCACTGCAAAAGAAACAAGGGAAGTTTTGTAAAGCTGATAGATGTTGAAAAAAGCTCAAGGAATTGCTTTGTGGATGCTCTGATGGATAAATATTGTTTTGATAATCTTGAAGAAATTTCTCAGAATTCAAACGTGTTCCAAGGAAACAAGATTGCCCAGTTTGTTGGGTTTCAAAAGGTAGTTGAGTACAAATCTCTAAACTTCAAATATTATTCAAGCAACTTTTAGGCAGCAGATCAATTTAGAAAAGTTTCCTACTTGAAACATATTGCTCTACCCAATTTTGCAATCTATAGAGCTGGGAACGACTTGGATTTGAAGAGTGGTATTCTCGCGTCCGTTGAAGTATTAGACATATCCAACAATCTCTTCTCAGAATTCTCCGAAGTTCTGAACATCATACGTCACGCTCCTTCTCTAAGGGAACTCATATTATCTAACAACCGTTTTGAATACATTGAGACTGCATCAACAACTATCAGCAATCCAGTTTGTTTACTTGTAATGAACGGATGTTTTTATGATTTTGAAACTCTTATCCATTCTTTGGGATATTTTCCCCGTATAGAAGAACTGCATATTTCTCAGAATGCTTGCAACTATGATTTTGTGAGATTAGCAAATGCATGTTCCAAGTTGAAAGCACTATATTTGGATTCATGTAATATCCCAACTTGGGAGGAATTGGCACCGTTTGGAACATTATCTTCTTTAAAGAAACTATCATTAGCTGGAAACAATATAAGTTCCATAAGTGTGACAACAGATGAGCATGGAAATAATGGAGCATGCGGTTTTCAGCAACTTGAGTTGATCAACTTGTCTGGAAATAAACTAAAAGGATTGAGAGTGATTGATGAACTAGCGAAACTTCCGGCTTTGAAGTCTCTTCGTATCGATGATTTACTTATGGATAGCGGCGAGTTGGTTCCTCGCTTTCAATTTATTGGTCGACTCAAGCATTTATTGTACCTAAATGGATCCTTTATTTCAAATAGTGAGCGTCGTGATGCCGAAATGACGTATATCAAACACATTTGTGAAGAAATGATGCGTCACTCTTTACAAGATTCGGAAACTGTCTTTCCGAGACTGGAAGAACTAAAAAAACTTTATTCAGATTATTTTTTTGAAAAATTGAATGAATTGAAGGTAGTTTTGCCTAAGAAACAACTTATTATCACATTGGTGAATGAATCGAGCCGTGATAGAAACGAAGAGTGGACTAGGAAGTTGCCTTGCTCAATTTCTGTGAGAAAACTAAAACAAATTGCAGTCAAACAATTTCAATTGAGACAACTCGATCAAATTGTGCTTTATTTTAGACGCAAGAGCTCAGAAGAAGACGATAGCATCATGAAATTTTACTTGGATGATGACGCTTGTTCTCTCTCATACTATGGGATAGAGGATGGCACAGTTATTTTTATCAATGAAGCAAGGGATTGAAACTGCCTTGAGAGTTGACAAAGTATAATATTATTCTTTTCCAAACTCGAATTCTTCTTCACTGCTATTCTCATCTCCCTGTACTGCCAGTTGTAAACGTGCTTCATTATTTCCCATCCAAGCTTTTTCTTCTTCACTTAGAGAAAGCGTTGAAAGAATTCCTTCATGGTATAATTTTCGAAGAGTTTGTTCACCTGCATATAACTCATTGGACAACGAGCTACGTTTCATGGTTTGAATTACCCAAGGAATCATCCTTTCCAATAACGACTTGTTGCTAATCCAACGAATAGCTGTGATAACCTCGCTTCGAACCTGTTCTGAACTATCTCTCTGAAGTTTTGCTATAACTTGCCAGAGTTTCATCTCAAGTTCCAATGTTTCACATCCCTGAACTTGTAAATGATGCAAGAAATCTAAATAAAGGATACCAATGCGACTGCAAAGTACTCGCTGAGACTGTGATTCGTTTTCACAACCTTGAATGAGATACTGGAATAGCTGCGATAGTGTCGAGTCATGCGATATCTTTGGCAGGTCCCTTTGATGTGAGTTTCCAACAACGCTCTGTGTCTTGAGTATTCCTTTGAAAACTTCCGATATGGCGAGTCCAGCGCACAAAGGCAACATGTTGCCTTGGATGGATGACAATAATGAAGCCAATAGTTTAAAGACCAACACTGGGTCTCTTTCATATATGGACTGCGCCCAAATACCCAATACCATACTTAATCTCAAAATGAATTGCTTTTCGCTAGAGCTACTTAGATAGGGTAACAAGTTAGATTCAATTAGATTCCATGAAGCGAATTTTTCGTTAGGACCTTGACTGAAAACATTCTGAATGGCGTATAATCCAGAAAGGCGAATATCTAATGACACATCATTTTCTAAAAGATGAAACAGTTCGCCCCATAATACATCCCATCTGACGGACGAAAATGTCCTCACTAACCATCCTAAGCTCTTCGCTGCAAAGTGTCTGGTAGCGTTGTTTTGTGTATCTGCCAAGGACTTTGTCAAGACACTTTGTAACTGTGGTACGAACACTTTGACTTCCATACATCTCTTTTCGAGAATTTCATAAAATGACCTCATGATCGATGCTTTGATAGCTGCAGCATGACGTTCTGATGATAATCGTATCAAAGCACCGACAACTTTAATGATAAGAGGAGATAACGCTTTGGAGTCGGAATATTTGACTATCAACTGGATAGTCCTTGTAGCTTCGTGTTTAATAGAAATATCTCCATTCACTAGGCCTTCCATACATAAATTCATCAATGCAGCAGGAGAAAATGGAGACGAAATTCCTCGTAAACTAGTGTGCTTGTCCAACGAACGAACAGTAACTGGCGTAAAGGCCTTACGTATAGTGCTGAGAAAACGAATGAGCTGTTGCTTTCTATCCCGACTATCTAACTTGAGCATTTGATCAAGAGCACGAATACAAATTTGTAGAATGCGATCGTCTCTACTATCCAAGTGCTGTATCACTGTAGTTAGCATGCTAGAGAACAAGGCATCTTGCCAATCCTCCACTGGTAATATTACGGTGCCTAATAGACCCATTAAATACAAGCAAACAGCCTTCTTCGTGGGATCCTTTTCCAAAATGAAACGCCATCTGTTACCCAATGTTGAAATATAAGAAGATGAACAATTCATCGCTTCTATGATACACAATAGTGCAGACTCCAATTCAATTACACAGTCTTGTTGCTCTCGGGAAACTTCTGATTCTTCACAAATGTGTATCAACTTATCAGCAACTTTTGTTATAGAAATCGTCGCAATGCAACCTTGAGAATGTCGAACAGCACAGGCGAAGACTTGAGCCATTCCTCCAGTAACCAAATACGACGAATCAATCATGTTTCCGACTATCCATTGTACTAAACGTGTGCCCCCAACCTCAAGCAGATTTTCAAAGGCATTGAAACCTAACTCTTGAGTAGCTGAATCTTGCATCAACTGTAACAGCTGTGGGTAAATAGCCTCCAACGACGCATCTCCAGTTGCTTTGTATAAATGTACAAAAGTTGCTGCACCATTTCTACGTATGTTATTCTCTCCATCTTTAAGAATGCACAAGGTCAGCTTCAACAAGGGTTCTGTATTGTTGAGGAGTAGTTGTTTAGAACAACTCTCCACAATGTGCAATAGACCATCACTCACAGAATGTCGTGTTACTACTGAGGGAACAGAGAAATTCTTCTCCAACAAGGGAAGCAACTCTGGCATCAATAAATTGCCTAGCCTTTGTATCAAATCTGTCAGCGTGTCGCAGGCACGTTCATGGAGATCCTCAGCATCCACAGAAAGTTCTTCCACCAACTCTTCGATAATCAGAGGTAATAATTCTCGGATATCTATGCCAATAGAGTAAACAATAAAATGAAAAATTCGAGACCCACTTACTTTTTGGAGTATTGGAAACCAATGCCTTCCAAACTGCACTAGCAGAACTACGTACTTTACCATTTACATCACCTCGATTAGCAATGAACAATAGTGTAAATATTTTTCGTCTTCTTTGAATTCCAAGAACACTGTCTAGCTTTTCTATTTGCTGCTTTTCACGTTCAGAAGTCATAAAACTGGCAATATCCGCCTTTTCTTGCAGTGTTCGAGTCTTTCGTTCCTCATTCAGAATCAATTCCTCTTCTTCGTCTTCTGAAGGCTCATTTTCATTATTTTGGGAGCCAAATGATCCCATTATTTGTGACTTTTGTGTATTCTCATATCCTAAAATACTGAATAATAAGGCGCCCAATAACTGAGCAGATGCTTGTCGCCTTCGCCAGTTTTTATGCTTCAAACCTCCAATCAACAAAGGAATCAGCATTCTATAGTCTGTCAGATTCGAGCCAAACCTAATTTTAGAAATACTTACTCAAAAGAGGATGTAGAAAACACAGAAACGAGATAATGACCAGCATTGAGTGCTGCTTCTCGAACAGTATCCGACTCATCTCCAAAACCTTCCAATACTACAGGAAGTATTACTGGAATATATTTTTCAAAGGACTTCACTAAAGTCAAAGCCAAAGTTGCCAACACTAAAAATGTTCCTTCTCTTTGTGATACTGTAATTCCACTTCTCTTTTTCTTCATCTCTTGGAGTTCCAAATAGACTTTGTAAGGCTTTAGAGATTCCCTCACAATCCACTCTAGTTCCTCTGAATTGGCAGCTGTTGATATTTCAGCTAAACCCATAGCAGCACCCAGTCTCTCTGCAGAAGACTTTCCATTTTGTGACATCTAACATGAAAAAAAAACAGAAATGTCATCCTTCAGTTATGGAACAAAACAAAGAAATAAACTAACCTCTACAAGCTTTTCGGATAGACCACCAACATTTGCAGTTCCGACACCTCGAGCAAAATATCCCAAAGCACGAGCAGCCGCAGCTCGAGCGTCAGGAATCGGGTCTAAAAGAACAGAGAGGATACTTGGCAACAACAAATCCAAATAGGGTTCCATATCCTATACAAGTTATCCATTCACATTGAGTACGTCAACGCACTGCAAATAATACTTACTTTTGGTGAAGCAATTTGTGAACACATGGAACCTAAAATAAGAGCTGCCTTCTTCTTTACTTCCGTACTACGCTCTCGAAGTCCTCGATGTAAAACAGGAATGAGCAACGAAATAGAAGCAGCATCTACTACATGAGTAAATTCGGTTGCCATCATAGCATCTAAAGCAGCATTTGTCTTCGTCGCAGGATTCTTTAAAGCTTCCATAATAAATGATGATAGGTCTCTAACTTCAGGGTTTTTGGTAACCGATGCAATACGATATAAGGAAGCTTCTGCAGTCTCCACAACTTTAGGATGCGAATCAATCAAGGCATCTGATAGTTTTGGTACAATTTGAGGAAGGCATTCTGCCAATTGTCTAGGGGCGCAGTATGCCATTGTACCGAGCATTTCACAACTTGCAACCTTTACTCTCCATGAACGATCTTCCAGTCCTTTTAACAGGGATGGCAGTACAATACGTACACATATACCAGATATACTGGACATCAATGCTTTAGCAGTTGTGAAACATGCCTCTCTTACTTCCGTTGAAGTGTCACCGGAACAAGACAAAAGAAAAGGCAAGGTTTCCATCACGTAAGGATCCATAACTCCTTTAAATGACTTGGACAAAACTTCTAGAAGAAATAGTCTTCCTTGCTTTGCCTTAAGGTCAAACTTTTGTTGGTCGAGGCGACAAAATAGACTGTCTAAAATACCCATTTCAGATAATGAGCCAAGTCCGATTCCTTTCAGCAAACCAGTCAATGCATAAGCTGCTCCACGTCTTGCACCGTAACTATTGTTTTCAACAAGTTCCTTGAAGAGCCTTGTACCCAATTCTAACGACTTTGTTCTCGCCTTTAAGGCTAAGGAACTAAGACAGTCTCTGACTCTCATTTGAACAGGCTCTGACGGTGTCTCTAAACATAACTTCATTAACCACTCCATGCTTGTTTCTATTCTAGGATCATTATCCGACAAATGTTGTGCCAAAGTTCCAAGTGACACAACAAGACCTTCTTTTGTCAAATCTTGCACATGCAACTGAACCCTATCGTTTGGTTGATTTGCAGCATCAATATCTTTGCTTAGTTGCTTTTCAACAAGTGAAAGTAAACTAGAGACACAGCTAGCACCTTGAGAGTTTATGAGGGCTACTGCTGCGGAGACATTTCGAGTTCGAACCTGATCATGGATATCTCCAAAACCTCGAGCAATAAAGAACGTAAAAATGATAGCAAGTTCTTTTGTCTCTAAAACGGAACGTTGACCCATTGCTTCAAAAACTCTGGCAACTCCATCTCTTACTTTCCAATAACTATCTCTTGGCTGCTCTTCTGAAGGAGGGTTCTTTTCTGCCTCTTTCGGTTCCAAGTTCTCAACATACAAAGAAAATAACTGAGCCAGAAACTGACTCTTCTTCTTATTCCACTGTATCTTGAGAAATTCCTCTTCCAAGTCATTATTATTCTGTAATAAGTGCGCCATGGCATGAGCTGCTGCTGAACGTATATCTTGTTCAGCATGAGACAACAATTTAATATATTCTGCAACATAGTCTTCTAAAAATGTCTTTCCATTATACAAATGAAACAAATGTTGAGCAACTAGTGCATTTTCCTCTTCTGGATCGTGACAAGACAGCCATAAGAAACGACATAATAAGACATCTTGAGTATCATTTGCTACACTAGGCTGTTGTGCATACATGGTCAAAATTGGCAATCTAGCAATGGCATCCAATGCTGCTCCTCGTACCGAACTCTTTCCTGACAACAATCCTGATATCAGAGGTACGATGTTTTCACCCAACTCTTGCAAACCTTTCTCACTCCACTCTCCAAGGCAGGATGACGCAATATTAAAGTTACTGTCTTCTCTTTCCAAAATGGTATACAACAACTTTGCAAACTTATTCTTGTTAGAACAATATAATGCAATACTTGGATTCGTTTGGAGATGCAGTTGTAATATTTCCAAAACATTTCGAATGAGATTACGTTCATTCGAATGAGCTTCCAAAGTTGCTTCAAACAGAGGATAGAAAATACAAAAAGATTCCAGTGATAATTGTTCAGATGAAAAGGCATCAAGCCACTCGAATTTGTTGCGTTTCCAAACACATTCTTCAAAAGCACGTGCAATGTGGTTCGCTCTTTTGGCTATTGAATTTCCACAAACTTTGCAACAAATCATTACCGTAGATAATACCAGATTTCTAAGCACACCATATTGAATCAAAATGGGAATCCAGTCCATGACATTACTTATATGTTCCTTCAGCTGGTCTTTAAGACAGTCCAAGTATGGATTGAGACCAACGATATAAGAAAGTGCAGTTTCTGCTTGTTTGAGAAATTTTTCGGTCTTCTTTGCAAGCTGCACACGACTCAATCTCTCCTCTATTTCTTCCATTCGTTTCTCCATGATAGTTTTTTGTTTGTCTAATTCTGCTTGCACTTGTTGTTTATTTCGGGAGGCAACTTGTGATTTTTTTCTTTCTATAGAAGCCTTCTTATCTGAAGATAACTGCTGTCGCAAACTTTCTAATTCGCTCTGTAACTCACGAATTTCATCCGAACTATGTGAAAGAATAGGTAGGCATTCAACGAATACCTGATAGTCTATAGTTGAACAAAATCGCAAACTAGAAAAACACATTTCAAATAGACTTTCCCAAATCCAACTATGGACAACATCACGTGGAAGAAACAAAGTAAAGCTAGCTAGTGCGTAAGCTCCACAATGGCCAATCATACGCTGTTCATTAGCGATGCCTTGTTTACCCTTCAATTCTTCAACCGTAACTCTCTTGAAATCGATTCCTTGTACAATGTCTGGAGGAAAAGTGCTTTTACAATGTCGATGAATACGATACCACCACTTTGAAGCCCTGGTAATTGCAGTCTGAGTGCTAACAAATAGAAAAAACGAGGAAACTGGAACGGCTTCCATTAAGCATTCACAAACACTATGAAACGTGTTGGTTATCAGAGTTTCGACTGCCTTTCTTTCTGCTTCCGACTGCCAAGCCTGACTAGGATACCAATAAAGAAAAGTACCATCTATATGATTATAATGACTATTCAGCTCATATTCCATACAGCACCAAAACAATCGATGAAGAATGATCTGGAATCCTTGATGATAACGCACTTCTTTCGACATTTCTACTACTCTTTGCACAACTCGAATAGAATCTTTTTGTAAAGTATAGTTAGTTGAAGGATCCAATATTAATCTAGACAAACATCGCAATATCAAATCACACACATTTTGGGGTAGAGACGCCCACAATGAAAAGTCTATCAAAGCATAATTACAAAGTTCACTCATGATACCTAACAACTGTTCTGAATAACGTTCCCAGGAAACTACAGCTAGAGCTGAGCCATAACAACTCAATATCCATTTTTCTATATTATCAAGCATCTGATTGTTGTTCTCTTCAGACTGTTGCTTCAAAGCAAACCATATACCCATTAGGACTAGGCAACATAATAAGTTATCGTGCTTCAGAGGGAAAGCTCCTTTTTTTCGTTGGCAAAGTTTGAAACCTAAAGCTTGAAGAATATCAGAAGAAACGATATTCCAATTCTTGCTTTTAGGACTCAGAAACCCATAAAATAACATCGACAAAAGAGAAGTCCATTCTATTTGATCTTCCTTGTGTTTGGAGTCCCAAGTGTCTAGGATCCATTGAATAAGAGATTTCCCCTGCTCTTCCGAAATTCTATGCCTATAAAGCCAACTAGACAAACAGTCATATATGCCACTTATTACTTGAGGGTTTCCATATCTGGAGCCTTTTAAGGACTCAAATAAATGTGAAAATATTGTGTTCATCCAACTTTGATCTTCGGAACATTCATCATAACCGGACAGCACTTGAAGGCATTGCAATACCGTACATTTACTTTGTCTCGAATAGGAAGCACTGTCTGTGGAATTCCAGCGCTATCAAGAATTATTTTGAGTCTACTTTCCATAAGTTTTCTTACCTTCCACAAACTATCCAATATTGACTCCATACAAGCTCTTCGCTTACATCTTTGGACCAATATTTGACATATGTCGACAATACTTGATCGTATAGTATTTTTATCAGAATCAATATTTTGTAAGTAAAATTTCGACCAAATATGATCTATTATTACTTCGCATTGTGTTGTATGAAATAATGACAGCAGTCTCGGTATTTCAGTTATTGCTGTTTCCTTTTCAAAAGAGTATATGGACTGAAATCCTGAAACAATCTCACTCTTACCTTTTCTCTCATCATCCAAGTATCCAGGAATGGTATTATGTTGCAAATCAAAATATCTTCTTTACAAAGTTCGAATAAAGGAGAACAACGCTTCATCAGCTGAACTCCAAAAATATTGGGATATTTGCAAAATATTTCTACAATATAGCTACACATCGTAGACATCCTCTCTTCTGACTCTTCTTTTATGCATTGCTTATATAACAAGATGGCATCCAAAGCAACCAATTTCCTATCTGCTACATTTTCTGGTAACCAATCAACTTTGTTTTCAGTATCTTGGACTTTTTCACCGTAACCCATTAAAAAGCTTATACAAACCCATAGTCCTTGGATAATTGAAGCGTTCAACGGAGTAAGTTTGGATAAATGAAAACGACGAAAGACCACTGAACGTTTCCTTTCGACTTGCGCTGGCAAGTAAATTTTACGTAACACGGATCTATTGAAGGATAACAGAAGGAACACTTTGTTCACGATACTCAAAGTCTCTGTAGAAAAACATTTTGCTTTAGAAACGCTGGCAAATAAACGATACAGAAACCAATATGTCAAAATAAATTCTCTTGTTTCGAAGCTCTTTTGGGCGTTGAATCCGGAAACAAGCTTCTTCCCCAACTTGTTCAAAATCTTGTCAAGAGCCTTCCAAACCTTGACAGGGTGCAGCCCACTCTTTTCTGAAAAACAAAACGACTCCTGAACAATACAGCTAACCAAATTACCCCATGAACGACGAATAAGTTGATCAAATGAGGCTCTGTTACTTTCACCTAGAAGGAATCGGCAACAAACATCGAGAACAAGGTGAAAATCCTCTTCGAGTTTTTGGCAGTCCTGTTCTAAAGCCGCCTGTTTGCTTATAGAAACAAGACTTTTGTAAATGGAATCACATATTTCAATCCTTTCCTCTTTTGTGCAGTCACCAAGTTGCTTCAACTGTTCTTTCAAAGTTTCCCTATTCACGTAAGTCATCCAAACCGATAAGAAATATTCGGCCAGCCAAATGAAATGAAATGAATTCAACTACGCACATATTCTGCTTTATTTGAATGAACAGATAGTCTATAAATTTTCAAGCAAAGGAAGACTGAAGACTGAGTCGGGGATACATTGCAGCTTTATAACACGGTCAAAATTGAATATACTTCTGAGCAATATCTCAAGTCTTTGGTTTACCCTTCAAACAGCTACTCAATTCCTCGAAGTCATTCTTTTCATTGAATACTTCAATTTTTTTTAACAATATACATAACTTTTCTTTCGCCAGGTTACGAATAAAATAACCAACGTTTCTATAACTCGTATAGAAACAAACAAATTCAAACTGTATTTCCTACGAACACAAAACTACCGGTCCAATATTCCAACAACAAATTTTCTGCTTGTCAGCTAAAAATATCTTTAAATATTTTTTGGGGATTGACGCGGGTGGAAGGAATGGTGGATTTGCTGCAAAATGCTTTGGTTGCAGCATTGTAACTTTCGTACTCTTATGTTTGTTCATAATATGTTTCCGGAAACAACTCAAGAAAATGTTTCCAATTTCCCTGAAATATGTAGACAACAAGGAAAGAACAAAGTTTGTGCACAGGTGGTATGCCCAAGACCCCAAAGAGTATCGAAAGCTTTGAGTGCGTTGGAGCTTCAAAGTTTAAAGGCGGGAGAGTCTTGTTTTCGGATAGAAGAGGTGGAGAAATACAAAAGGGAATCCACAAGACCTTTTAGCTGTCCATGGTCCAACAGAGAGGATACTTTAACTACCACAGAACCTTGCGAAGACGAGGCCTTTCAAGACGTGACCCCACCGGAAAGGACGGAAAATCCTATGGTGAGAGACCATTGGTTTTTATTCTCCAACCGAACAAGGTGTGGTTGTGCAAAACTTTCAGAATGTCCAGCAGGCGAGGTATTCAAGCACAATGCAAACCTAAGAAGAACTGGCAATAAGAGCCCAGCGCTATCTGTGTAGTATCTGTAAGTTATTCAACACAACAAAGTTGTGGCTGTTGGAAGTTTTGAATGTACATATATATAGTATAAATAGAGCAGTAGGATAGTACGTTATGTGGGAAAAGCCACAAGAAAATGTAAATATAATAGTAAATATTTAGAGCGCATGTAAAGTGTTGGAAAAATTGTTTTACAATTCATGTGATATTTCTTGTATATATTTGATATTTTCGACTGATACGAAAACTGTGAGAACCTCAGACACCTCATTGTCCAATGGTCAATGATTCGTTTCATCGTCAGAGGATTTGGTAGTTCTGGAAGAATCAGACTCTGAACCTTCAATGCTTTCCTTGTTCAATCCATTATTTTTGTGTAGTTCTGTAGTAGAACGACGACGATAAGACGTATGAAATGCTCTTGGTTTTCTATCTTGAGTTGTATTCCGAGATTGTAAATCGCTTCTTATACGAGAACCAGCTGAACGTCCGCCTCCTCGCTGCCCCCCTTCCTTATCTTTGGACTCTCCTTCACTAGAGCCTTCATTATTCTCTTGTTGTTGCTTTTGTTCCAACTCTTGTTTTTCCAATTCTTCCTCCACTTCTTCTCCTAACAAGGGAAGCCGACGACTCACTCGAACTCCTCGCTTTTCATCAATTTCGATTACTCTAACCTTGCATTCATCTCCAACTTTCATAATCTTATCAATAGACTCTACACGTTCTACTCCAACTTCTGAAATATGACACCAGCCTTCCTTGCCTTGGAATAATTCTACAAACATTCCAAATGGTAGAATACGAGTAACTCTTCCAATGTATTCCTGTCCAATCTCCACACGCCTCACTGAATTCTCCACCATATCAACAGCCCTTTTAAGCGTGTCCTCATCGGAGGATGTTATAGAAACCAAGCCATCTTGACCAATGTAAATGGAAACTAGAGCTTCTCCTCCACAAGCCTCAATAATATTTCTAATGTGCTTCCCTCCAGGACCAATTAACTCACCAATTGACTTTGTGGGGATTTGTAAAGCACAAATACGAGGAACAGATGCCGGAAGATTTGGCTTTGGCCTCGGCATGATATTCAGCATGCTCTCGAGGATTTTGCCTCTCGCTTCCCTTGCTCGATAAAGTGACTGACGAAGTACATCCATTCCAATACCTTCCATCTTCATATCCATTTGTACAGCAGTTACGCCATGTGCTGTTCCAGCAACCTTGAAGTCCATGTCTCCCAAAGCATCTTCAATGCCTAAAATATCTGTGAGAATGGCAACCTTGGAACCATCGACAATCAATCCCATTGCAACTCCTGAAACTGGGTTTCGAATAGGAACACCTGCTTCCATTAGAGCCAAACATCCACCGCAAACTGAAGCCATACTAGAACTACCATTACTTTCAGTAATGTTGCTTTCCACTCGAATAACATAAGGAAACTCTTCTCTTGAGGGAATAATAGGAGCCAATGCCCTTTCAGCAAGTCTACCGTGGCCTATTTCTCGTCTTCCCGGTGGTCCCAACTTGCCGACTTCTCCAACAGAAAAAGGAGGAAAGAAATATTGCAAATAGAAACGCGACTTCACTTCACCATCCAAAGTCTCATAATGCTGCGCATTCTCTTCACCTCCCAAAGTAGCCACAACCAAAGCTTGAGTTTCTCCTCTGGTAAATAATGAAGATCCATGCGTTCGTAGTAAAGGGCCTTGAATAATATCGATTGGTCTTATCGTATCAAGATCTCGCCCATCCGGTCTTATCTGTTTATCCAAAATAAACTGTCTCATACGTGAAGACAGCACTTTCTTCCAACTCATCCTTAACTTGGCATCAAAGTACTCATCATCATCTTCTATAGTATGAGCAGTACAATCATTCTCCTTCCATCTGGAAATAGCAGCATCTATCACTTGTGTCCTTATCCGTTCAATTGCTTCATCTCTTTCTTTCTTGCTAAAAACATTTAATGCTTGATCCAGTTCTATTCCAGCCAACGAGTCAACTAGCGATATCATCTGTTCGCTAGGAACTATGATCTTTCCTGGAAACTTGGCTTTCCCGGCACGCTTTACCAAAGAATCAATGGCTTCACATATTTTGACAATGGAAGAATGTGCTGCTTCTACTGCAGTCATAAGAGTGTCTTCCGAAACAAACTCGGCGCCACCTTCTACCATTAAAACTCCATCTACAGTACCCGATACTACTAAATCAAGTTTTGCTGTAGACAATATTTTATTCTCCGGATTGATAACAATGCTATCTTCCTTATCGATAGCAACTCGAACTGCAGCTACGGTTTTCTTCATTGGCACCGAAGACAGTGCAAGAGATGCAGAACATCCACAAATAGCCAATACATCAGGTAGATGAACGCCATCATAAGAAAAAACATTGGAAAGTACTTGAGTTTCATAAAAATAGCCTTCAGTAATCATAGGACGCAAAGGCCGGTCTATCAAACGTGAAATGAGAATTTCCAAATCTGAAGGTCTCCCTTCTCGCTTATGATATGCTCCAATGGTCTTTCCAAGTGATGAGAAACGCTCGAAATAATCCACTCGGAAAGGTAGAAAATCAGTGGTCTTGATGTTTTTGGTTTCCGTACAAGCCGTACAAAAAACCATTGTGTCTCCATCACGAACGACTACTGCGCCTCCTGCTTGCCTTGCAAACCTTCCAGTTTCAAATGACCAAATTCTATCACCTACTTGAACAAATACTACTTCATATGGTAGAAACCCCCCTTTACCACTACTTAGCGGAGCAACTGGAGCCTCCCAATAGACTGCCGAGGTATCAGCGCCATTCTCCACAGCTTTATTATTGGTATTCTCTTTTTCGATTGCTGGCTCAACATAACTAGAGTTTGATTCATCAAAAGTGGGTAAAGACGCAAGAACAATTCGAGCAACACCCCTTTTGCAACTTCTGTCTGGACTAAAAACACTATTAAAGAAACTACTATAACAAAATTGTGGTAGGAATCTACAAGCACCCTTTGTCCAAAATGTGTTTTTATGCAAAAGTGACTGTGGTGAAATAAATGACCAGCAACTAGCAACTCTGGCTCGTTGGTGGTCACAAGTTGGACAAACAACTCGAACGGGCATCCCGTCAATCGATTTTTCTAAACGTAACAGTTAGATGGCTGCCATCCACCATCTTTCCTTTGCAAACAACAAATCATTTAATAAGACAGCACACAACTAAAAACTAAAGCTAATATCTTGAAAGTACTCCTTAAGAGAGCTTCCAGACCTGATCGAATTGGAAATGTAGTAAATGATGCCAAGTTTCCTTGGTACTTCTCCAATTGATCTTCATAGTTTCCATTGCGGGCCTCTCAAAAACTTCGTTTATCTCTTCCAGCGTCAAATTTTTTGTTTCTGGCATAAATAATAACAAAAGTATGCCGACTAAAATGACGATACCACAGTAGAAACCTGCAAACACTCCTGTGGATGTCATCGCTTCAGACATTTGTTTAAAAGGGTACGTTGTAATGAAAGTGCCCGTCCAATCACAAAGTGCCGCAATACTCACTCCATAACTACGAAGATAAGTAGGATAAACTTCGGAAGCAAAAACCCAAGGACCAGGACCAAGACCAGATGACCAGAAGATAGTATAAGTTATCATTCCCCAAAGATAAATACCCAGTCGAACTCCCAATGCTGTGGCTTGGAAAGAAAAACCTGTGATAAATAAGCCAATGCAGACACCAGGAATCAGTGTCAGCGTCAATGACCTTCTTCCTAATCGATCCATCAAATAGATTGCAGGAATAGTTGACAAAAACATCACACCGCCTCCTATAAGACTAGAGTTAACTGCCTTCTGTGCAGTTAATCCAGTTTCTTCCATCAAAGAGGCTTGATAGTATTCAATGGAGTTCACTCCTGACATCTGCTGACCTCCAAGTTGATAAATAACTGCAACAATGAGGGCTCTAAGACATCTAGGCCGTCTTAGAAAATCGAGCAATACAAGTCGGTTTCTTGCTTGTTCAAGTTCATAAAGGACAACTCTCTCCATAACAAAGAATTCCTTTCGTTCTTCGTATGTGTCAAAGCCTCGCGCATGTTTCCAAACTAGAAATGAATCAAGTTTACGACCCTTCCTCATAAGCCATCTTGTACTCTCGGGTAAGGTAAACATTCCAAAGAATAATATTGTTGAGAATAACAAGGAGCTTCCAAGCATCCAACGCCAATTTCCAGAAACTCCATCAAAAATAGCGGCAATAATATAACCACACATAACGCCAAAGGCAACCATGCATTGATATAGAGATACTAATCCACCTCTCCATCGAACAGCACAATTTTCAGCAATATAAGCGGGAACTGTTCCAGACAATAGACCTAGAGCAGAACCAAGTATCATTCTTCCAGGTAGCAATACTCCAAAGGAATGTGCATCCGCTTCTAATATGGCTCCCACTGTAAACAGTATAGAAGCAATGACAATAGCATATTTTCTTCCGAAGAGATCATTTGTTGGCATGATTCTGCAAATATTAACGTAAGTATATGTATCTAAAATAACACTTACATAAGTGCACCAAATATAGCCCCCAAAGGTGTAAAACCAACAATCATGGACATCCTAGAGCTATCAATATGCAGATCTGAAGGGATATATAGGGATGCTCCACTAATAAGACTTTGGTCTACTCCAAAAAGAAAGCCGCCAATACTGGCCAAAGAGGCCAAGAACCAAATGAATTTTTTAGGCTCTTTGAAGAATCTTGCTGCAAAATACGGCTTCTTTCCACTTTGCATCAACTCCCTTTCTAACTGCTCTAACTCTTCTTTGAATTTAGCATCATCGGCCTCAAAATAAACGCCTGCATCAATGATATGAGCTTCAGTTTCATCGAACTTGTCTTTATCTTGAGAAGGTTGTTCATGCGAAAAAATCTCACTTGTTTCTGTTGCTTGTTGTACTTCCATATTTGTAAATTTTCAAACAAAAATCTTGGCGTAGTCTTATTTTAACATCTTTCATTTGCGTAATTTCTCCTCATTACAATTTCTCTTCAACGGAAAGAGCAAGGCGTTTGTTGCTCAGGCCTGATTCAATTGTCCATTGGATATTTCTATCATTACCTCTGGACAAAATGCACAGCTCGGATTTCTTCACGAGTGGCAATGGAGGCTATCAGTAAAGAGCCCAGACCTCCTGAGACAAATACTCAAACAGGAACTTTCGACATCAAACAAGTCTTACAAGATAGTACAAAACGTCAGGTACATGCTGATAATCAACTCAAGAAACTGGCGTCCACCGATCATTTTAGGACATGGGTTTGCAATATCTCATAAACAAAAAATATCGTTCAAGATCTCTGTGTCCTTCTACAATTATACCTGAAATAACTGCTGCCACATTATCACAAACGTCCTCTATCGCCTTTGGTTTAGAGGCAAACTAAGCAGCATTATCTTTACTAGTTACTTAATAATGAGCCTTAACTCCAGCAGGATCTCTTCCAGCCAATAACAAACCACTTTTCAAGTCAGCTACACAAGAAAATAAGACTTTACATAAAGGAGTATAAAAATTCTGATGATCATAACATTGACTAACGACTAACAATCAGAGTGAAAGCATAGTGCTTTCCCTTCATCTTAGGCATAAGTGATTGGCATCTCTTTAAACAATCAGGTTCTCATTATCCAACTCTTTTTCTCAAATTTCTTCGTGATTGTAAAGTTCACCGTAGGTTACACCCCAGACCGTCGGTTCGTTGTTGGATATAGAGTTAAAACGACGTTCAGGAACAAATAACTTTGAGATGGTAAATGACGCTAGCCTTCTTAGTTGTACTCGAAATAGCTTCTTGTGCATCTTTTCGTCAACCTGAAGAGTGCTCTATTAGAATTCTTATTGAAACGATATATAAATATACCCACGAATAAAAATATCTATTCTTGTGAAAGATCATCAATGTTCTGTCACTTTTTTATTTTGTTTCCTTATGAACTAGATCACTGACAAGCGAATCACAGTTTATGCAATCAACAGAACAAACATTCATCTATCTTCTATGACAAGTTTTGGACACATTATCCTCGTTGATAAATCCAAACCTTGCTCCATTTGCCATGAATGATATTTTCAAATGCTTCAATGCCATTTCGAAAATTCTCACGACAAACATCCCAATGAGATCTACTGTAGATTATATTAATTTCTTCCAAGGTCTTTCCTTTCGTCTCAGGAACAAACAGAAAAGAGAAAATCCAAAGCAATACACAGATGCCGGCGTAGAAACCACAAAAGAGACCAGTTGGAGTCAAGGCGCTCAACATTCTGGTAAATGGATAAGCAGTAGCGAAATTGGACAGCATATTGACCACTCCATTCAACATGACCCCGTGACTCCTCAGGTAAGTGGGAAAGACTTCCGATGTTATCACCCATTGGGCAGGGCCCCATGAGCCCCAGAAAAGGTAATAAGTACAGATACCCCAAACATATATTCCTTCCTTCACTGAAGTCTTCGTTGCAAGGAATGAAAATCCTGTAATGAAGTCCCCTATCACAATACCGGGTAAAAGGGTAAGAATCACAGCTCTTCTTCCCCAGGCATCCATAAGAAATACAGCAGGAATTGTGGCTCCAAAGTAAACAAATCCTGGGCCCATACTGGTATACAAAGCATTATTTGGAGACAGTCCAGATTTTTCCATTAAAGTGCTCATGTAATAGCTTATGGAGCTAATTCCTAAATTGGGTGAGAATCATATAAACCAAGGACACAACAGCTGCTCTTCTACAACGAGGCTTTGTAAGAAAGTCTTTCCAAACAACTCTTCTCGCAGCTTCGTCTCGTTCCTCCGTAACAACTTCTTCCATGTAGAAAAATTCTTCCTTCTCCTCTCTATCCTCGAAACCACGAATCTTTTTCCAGGTAAGGTATGAGTCTATTTTTCTTCCTCGTCTCATGAGCCATCTTGGGCTTTCTGGGAAAAATATCATTCCTATTAGTAAAATAATAGAGAAAAGGCAGCAAGACCCCAGCATGTATCTCCAATTCCCTGAAACTCCATGAAAAATAGCAGAATCTGCATAGCCAAGTAGCATTCCAAAGTTGATCATAAGTTGGTAGAGGGATACCAAACCACCTCTCCATCGTTTCGTAGAACACTCAGCAATGTACATAGGGACAGAGCCCAATTCAATGCCTACTCCGATTCCCACAATGAGTCTAGCGCTAATAAGCATGCCATAGGATTGCGATGCTGCCTCCAATATTCCTCCTACCGTATAAAATGCTGCCGCTATCATAATAGTTGGTTTTCTTCCAAGAGACTCATTCAACAAATAAATCCTTTTTAAAAGGCTCAGAAATGATATTCTATGCCAAAAAGAAGACTTACATCAAGGCTCCCAAGACGCCTCCTAACGGCATAAAACTAACAACTTGTGATTCCTGTCCGCTAGACAAATGTAGGTCTTGGGGGAAGTAAAGATTGGCTCCACTGATAAGAGTAAGGTCTATACCATACAGTAATCCACCAGTGCTTGCAAAGCATGCTAACACTGCAGTGAAAACCTTTGGATTTTTCCAAATGAATAGACCGAACGGCTTATTAATACTTTCTTCTTCCAGACGGCGTAGTTCCTTATCCATCATCTCCAAAGATTCATGACTCTTAGAAAGCTCTTGCATATCCATTGTCTCTTCGATATCATTGTTTATGGTAGAAGACTTTAAAGAAGACGTCATATCTCTTTTCTATAAGATTCTGACGGTGCTATTTGCGAATTCAACTTAAACAACGAAGAGAATAAAATAATTTTTTAGAAACTGCGTTTCCCTCATTTAAACAAATCCAAGTTGCCTCACAATCCAAGAAATCAGAGAAGGTCCAGGGGACATTACTATGACCAATGGAGCAAACCAGACAGATTTCTCAGGCCACTATTCGCTGAGAATTTACGAAGGATAGACTTCTTTAGATTCAAATTTAGCTATTCCGTTTCCGTTGCCCACAACCTCATTATCATATCACTTCTATTCTCTAGTTAGAATCAAGAGCGTAAGAAGTGAAGAGGGGTCGTTTAGAGTAGCCCTTGTTGTGAAAAGATAGGATCGATGGAAGAGCTCGGGTCCATCCCAAGTCAGCTGTATTAGGCATTTTCCTAGTCTTCAAAGAATCTTTTCATAGCATGCTATGGCATAGTCATATAATCAACGATGAGAACGATTTCGATGCCCTTCTTTTTCTTTCTCTTTCTTTTCGTTGGAGTGACAAGAGAATTGTAACTACTGTATTTAGAATTTCACATTAAAATAATCTAATGTCTATTGCCATAAAAAATTTCACAGCATAACTATTTTCCATGCCGAGTCTACAGATTCGACACTGCGCCAGCAATGAATGCACATTATTAAGAATGAGAGGCAAGAAATGAATTCTAGGTAAATCTAATAGCACTGTCTACGTCAAGATTTTCGTAAGAAACAGTGATCTGACGCAAGGAAAGAGTAAGTTGAGACAGGTAAAGTAAGGCAACAGGCCATGTACCCATGAATATTTATAAACGTTTATAACGGTTAAGCTCAAACAACAGTAGTCCAAATGATAGCATCCAGATACAACCAAAGAAAAAATAGATAAATAGCAAACGAGTTCAAATTACTGAAACTGTAGCTAGTTAAAACGGCGTTATCTTTTATGATGTCATGTAGGCTAATTATCAAGCAAAGCATTTGAACCATCGTTGATACAGAGAAGTAAACATTGAGTCAATCACCTCTTGGATGACAAAAAAGTGTTTTTGTCAGCTTTCTAGGTAGAATGAGCAATCTATCAATGGTTATGAAGAGTTTCTGTGGACTCGAAGGAGCCAAACGTAACCAATTTTTTAAGATTGAAACAATTTTGCAATAAAAAATGTATTGTTTGCGATGCATCGAAGCATCATTTGTAAGTCGAATTCCTACCTGCTAAATAATATCCTTAAACTCCTTTTTTCGTTGCCAAAAGCATGCTAGATTCGTTATGCAAGCTACTGATACCTGAATACAATTTTTCTAGGCCTTTCGCTACTTGAAGATGTTTCAAACAATTGAGACCGGAAAACTCTCATTCGAAATAGTTCACAAAGGAATAAGCTGCTTTATCTTATGTATGTATGTATATTTGTATCTCAGACTTTAATATAATTATCAAGGAGTGCTGGCATTGTGCCCAAAAGTAGAAATGCAAACATCCGAACACGAAGGTCTTATTCTGAATTCTTCATGATGCTCGTTTTAAGTTTGATACAATGCAAGAATGACTTTTACGTGTTGTGACCAATGCATCCAGGAACAAAATCTTTTTCAACGTAGCAAATGCAAGAAACATACACTTGTTAGAATAAAACTCGACATTGCAGCGAACATAGTTCCATTTTAATCTATTGTTGGCAGACGAGAAAATTTTTCATTCCGAAGACATGTCCAAACTACATTCTATTTATCACTGAGAATATCCTTTGTAGTATAAACTCTAATTTAGTTATTATCATTGTAACAGCCACATTGATCCGCAACAGACTGCGTAGATTTCTTTTTAAAACCAAAAGAAAGATTTAGGAAACACAGAGAGGAGAAGACTCAAAGAAAAGCACAAATATCTAATCAAGCGAGTAGCATCCAACATTCTGATGACCAAATAAGGGATGGAATACCTGGATAGCATAACGAGTACTCCAATGTAACGCCATTAGTTCGAAGATAAATAAGAAACAATTCCGAATAATTGCCAAATTAGCAAAAGTTCATGAACCCAAAAGAATAACAAAAGCAAGTATCTCATGTATAAACTTTTTCATCGACAGAGATCTTAGTCGAAAAAGAGGCAAGTTCCGGAAATAGAATACGAGGGAATCATGTTAAGAGAGGGTGCCTTTTTTTAGAATGGTCCATCCATCGGAGATATTTGGAATACTTCAGAACAAAAGTAAACAGAACCCAGATTCGTACTAATAATGTACATAAAAAGTTGCTACATGTGCATGTCCTACCATATGGCAAAATTAATTGTAACTCGATACATGGATACAAGAGCCTCTTCCATCTTTTATTTAGAATAGAACCCAGGTAAAAACCAACGAAGCAAAGCCAAACAAGGATTCCATTGCATAATACTACCGAGCAGTTTCCAAGATTCCTCAAGTAATTCTAGGCGCTACTATCCATCATGCTAGTTTTCTGCCAGAAACTCAGTGAATAAATAATTCCTTTGACAATTTCCAGAAGACTTAATATAATAGAACACTAGGGTAACTGCTCTGAACACTCACGAATTCCACACATAGAAACCTTGCTAGTAAAACAGGCAATGAAAAATGTAAATACTTTAGGGTCTTTTTCAAAAGATGAAACTCGATAAAGTAATTTCAAATTTCCTGGCCTTTCTAGTTGACTTTTTAATTTGAATATTACTTGTGACAAAGGAATTTCTAAGCGAACTTGAAACAATTCTTTATAATACATATATAACAGTTTAATAACTGGACAAGTTCGAGACAGTTAAGTATACATGCTGATCTAACTCTTAAAACTTCATATACGACTCTCTCTCTTTTGATATAAGAATTCACTTTGCTATAATATTCCTTCATTTGCGATCACACATTTCCATATATATATATATATATATATATATATATATGCACTTTGCAATACGCAGTCAATCCCACAACTCTTCAAGTTTGCAAACTGCTTGATTTAAAGCTAGCTATCTGAATCTTTGCAGGGATTTTAAAAACAATTTTCTCAAAAGCATTCCACAGAGAGCTTCTGACTCCTTGTTTTTCAACAGATAAGATAATTGAAGAAAGTCAAAGACAAGAAGCTGCGGTTCCGACAAACACCTTCTAGATTAATACATTTCCGACTAAATCAATTTGGAACGGTTAAGCACTGGTCGCAAAGGTCCTTGTATAAAAATAAAAATACAATGTCTTTTTGACTCTCTGAAGCTTTTCTTTGGGCTATGCTAAAGCTGTCACATCAAAACTCAATCATACAATTTCATTCGTTCAAAGATCAAACTTCTCGATGCGGCATATGTACGCCGTATCCACATCACAAGAAGTTTCGATAAAATGAACAAGCAACATTCTTTGACCGAAAGACAGCCACAGTCCAACCACTCTGCAGATGACCTAAGAAATATATTCGTTTAGAATCCAAAAAAATACACCAGAAAAGGATAACCCAGTGGCTCAGAGGTAGCGACATAGTCTTTCTTGTCTCTCATATTGAAACTCAGCGAGATTCCCAATAAGACAAAACATCCTTGCAGAAACAACTACACTCTATCTTGTGAAACTTACCGAGGTTTTTCTTTCTATCAATCATACAGATGTGACAAAGGAGTAGTCCCTTTTATGATAACTATAAATATATGGGTTAATAATATGAAAAAAATTTTCTAAAAGAATAAAAGCTCAGAGATTCGGAGTTCTTCAAAGCTGTCCTCAGTAGCCAAGCGTTCAAACTCTTGTTCTCATCCTTGTTATTACATACTAGATTTGAGATACTCACGTTTAGTCCCCACTTATGAATTAATTTATCTCTTTGTGACTGTAGAATCATTGCTTCAAGTTCTCATGAGAGGCTAAGTAGCATAGTAACAAACCGTCCTCTCGGATGGTTCGTCGTCCCAAACATGAATTACTCTCTAGCTGAAGGGGTTGCCAACGTCCTCTTCATTAGAATGGAATTACAATCTACTATTTCCTTCTCATAATAAAAATTGTGTTTTATACAATGAAGACCGTCAACAACATCTATCTATCTGTGTTAATATTCGAGAATAAGCAGAGTTCATCTCTGCATATGGGTCTCTCTGTTAACAGCAACAAATTATGCTAGTAAAGTGAATGATGTCTTAGAACGGATTTTCATTCATGCTCCGAAAGCACTCTTTCCATTCTAAATCTGTACTATCATCCAATGCAATGGTTTTCAAATTCTCTTTTTCTTCAAACAAATTGACCACTTTCTTGTTTTGTGTGATATCTTTGAACTTAGCAGTTCTGTTCTGCGTTGGATTGAAATCATCTTCCGCATTGAAAAAACCAGACTCGTCAAAGATCTGTTGTAATGGATAATCATTCTGTTTCTCAGCACATAGAGCTTCAAAAGTTGATGTACTACAGTGGTCAGAGTCATTCGTTTCAGCGGGTAGTATAGAAGCCTTATCTTGCTTTGTCTCTTTATGAAGGTTCTTCTTCATTTCCGAGAAAATCGAATCAAAATGAACAAATATGTCCTTCAAAAGAAGATTCAACTGTTTCTTTTTGCTTGATTCGAGCTTCTTAAAGGCTTTACTGCTTTCTATGCGAAGGAAACACCGTCCCAAGTCAAAAATTAGCCTAGCGGAGACATTTCTACCACAAATTGTTGACAGGAAGATTTTCTTTAAATAAAAATTCAGTTGACAATAAAACTCATTCGGAGAGATATCTTCTTGTCTGGTGACAGCTTCCAATATACTTAAAATGTAGGTAGACGAGCAGACATTTTCATTTTCTTCAGTGCCCTCTGTTTGTGAAAACCTCCGAATATTGTTCTCAAAATTACTAGCATCCTTATCGACTTTTCTTGTAAGAGGTTCCACAGCATGCTCAGTAGTTACCGAACAGACATGTTCTCCATTAAGATTGTGCTTAGCATTTTCTCTCATTGAAAGCTCAGAGGTAGGCTTGAACTTAGATTGAACTGACTGCAGTTGTAATTGTTGCTGAGGAATGTCAATATCAAGGGAAAAATTTCAAAGTTATGTCTTACTGTGAGGGTTTCTAATCTGGTTTCTATCGCTTCCAGTTTTCTAGACAGCGCTTGACACTCTGTACAAACATATTGACTTCTTTTTGAATAATAATTTTCACTATTCTTTCCCGATTCTATATTGTAAGTGGAATTTCTTTCTGACCGCAAGTCTGCGACGTCTGTCTTTCATTTGTATTCTCAGTAGGAGTCTATTTCCCTTCAATGTTGCCTACCTCAATTCGTTCTAGAGCGCCATAAACTTGACTTCTGGTCACAGCTTCTCTGGAAGCTAGCTTTACAAGTGCGCTTTTCAAACCTTTATTGGCACAGAGTTGTTTTTCGATGTTGTACTCAGCTGTTCTGAGTCGTACAGCGAGGTTAGCTAGACTACCTGCTTGGGCTTCTAATGAGCTTCTTAAAGCAAATAGCTCACAGTTGTTGTCTTCCCAGCTCATACTGATTCTTTTCAAAGTTCTTCGAGCAAAAGTTTTCAGAAGCTGCTTCGTACCAAAAACTTCAAATTATTCAGCAATCCGGTTAACCCGCCAATGATTTATCGTATTTAATTAAAAGTTGGGTTGATAATGGAAACGACAATAATTGTTTGACTTGCCAGCTAATTATAATATTCTATTTACTCGGAGTATGATCAATATATTCAGAAAGAGTCCAGCCTTCTTCCATTAACTTTCCATGCACATGATGACTACTCGGAAGTATATCTTTTTGGGCAACACTTAGTCCTATGCAAGAAAGCAAGTTCCCACCGTTGATAGGGAATATCACCTACAACTCTCTTACTTTTCGAAGAGTTGCAGGTTTAGAGATACCCCAGTCCAAAGATATCATGGTTGAGAAGTAGCATGAAATTTGCTTGAACTTGTCATGCACATTGAAACTATCTTTAATATATTTCTATTCAAAAGAGAATAACACACACGCATATATATATACATATATATTATATCAAGCTGTTTGTTGGTCTTGTTTTTACTGTATTGTCTAAATTCGTACACTATTTTCATTGTTTTCAATAAATTACAGGCCGACATCGACTGATTCTTCTTTCCGACTCATGAAAACGATCAGAAACTGCTCCACAAAGCGAATTTTCAAAGTTCTATTATTCCGACTCATCACAGAGAATCGTGTTTGGAACCATTTTCAATCGCAAGTTCAAGCACAAATGAATAAGAAATTGCCGCTTTCGGTCCTTAAGCAAAATGAAAATTATCTCATCGTAATCTTCTTCAACAATCGTGTCAGCTCAACTTGCTAAAGTCTTATTTGAGGGTTCATTGCATCAGAACTTGCATGTTTCACTCGTTTGATCACTACTCTTCTCATTACAGGAAACTTTGTAAAACAGTCTATTCACTCTAAGATTGGTTTCTATTGCAGGCTCTACTTACTATAAGCAAACTGCCATTATAAGGCGAAACAATGTGATTTCTCGAAAATCATCGACCACAAGTTAAACAAGAAAATAATGATGACGAGACCATAAGGACTTTCAGTAAGAAAGTAAATTCCACTTTTTAATAGTTTCGCAAATTTTCTTTCAAACAACAAGTGAAATAGCCGCTAATGTACTTCACAATTTTTGCATCTCATATGATGATGGCTTTTCTTTAACAAGTTTTACCGAAAGGACGTTAAACAAACTTTCTGGGTGTTGAAAGGATACCACTTTGGGGTCATAAAGAAAACATCACTAGAAAATATTCTAGGCTAAGCCGTACTACATAAAAAGGAAATTTTTCGTAGCCATCTCTCATAAATATACGTCCAATTAACTCCTTACGAAATATTCCTCTTGAGGTGCTCTTCAGTATAATAGCAGACGACTCGAAAGTCTGACAAGTAAAGTACTCAAGGACTCTCTCCAAAACTGCTCGGTGTCTTGGGTTCTACCCTTGCCTTTTTGGAAAACAGCCCATTACCCTGCTTATTCACGTTATCTGGACTCGAAAGACTAGAAGACGAAAAAATCCTATCCGACTGTCTTAACTTGCGGGTTGGTCTTTGACTGTTCTCTGAGTCACCACGGTACTTTAAAACGTTGTCCCAACCGCGAACAACGTTTCCAAAATGCCAAGACTCTTCCAAGTAGGATGTTTCCAGTTCATATATTTGTATCTCCACCTTTTTCAGCTTTGCCTCCAAGTCCCTTTTGCCACGGAGAAGGGCTTGAACTTCCGGCGAAACGGAACTGGAAGCGACGTTTTTACTCTTTTTTGAATTATCTATTGAAAATAAAGCTTCTGAATCACTTTCCACAGTTGCAAGTGAAGGACTTTCAGGGTCCTCGTCATAGCTTTCAGATGGTATCGAACCACTTGCAAAAGATGCCATTCCTGTAAAACAAGGACAGTGAATCGAAAAACGAGCTATATCAAGGGAACGATACAGAGAAGCGGATCATTTATTGCCAAGATGAAATAATCAAAATGTTGCCTTGAGAATATTGTGGAAAGTGACAAGTGTATCTTTTCATTCTTTAAGAAACAAGTTCGCACGTGCATGGATGTCATTACAAATCCATGCGGTTTTTTGTATTTGTATATATGTGGTATTGAGCATTGAACAATGAACGTATTTGAAAAGGCGTCAAAGAGTTTGCAACGTATGGGTTCTACTCCACATAAATACCTTGTGGAGTTTGAACTTAAAAGGTTACAAGGGTTGATGGAATATTTAGCTATCAAAAGAGAAAGTGCTCCAGTTAGTGTCACTGTGTCAAAGGGCGGGAAATCAGTGTCAAGTAGACCTAGTAACAATGGCGTTTGGAACGAGAAACTCAGTATGCAAATAACCCTCTTTGAAAAGGCTTCAGGGAGTGAAACTTATTTGGAACCGAAGAAACTAGTTGTAGAAGTTCACTTGGTAAAAGCAGGGAACAAAGTGTCAGTCGGGCGTGCTGAAATAGACATCGCTTCTGTCGCAGCCATCAGCGGTGAAGTTAGCTCCAGAGAACTTGAGTTGCTTTTAAAAGGCTCTTCTTCCAACTCCTTTCGAGGCACGGAGCTGAAGCTTTCCCTTCGAATGACGACCAGTGGTTTGCGTGCAGATACCGACGGTACTTCGTCACCAAGGAGTTTAGGTCGAAGCTCTACGCAGTCTTATTCAACTATGGCTAGTGATGCTTCGTCTCCACTCTCAAGTAGCACCCCAGTTGAAACCCCCTCTCCTAACTTACACGGAGAAAGGTCTTTACCAGTCCTGCCAAGGCTGTTTACTTCTTCAGACGAAAGAAGATTTAGCTTGTTCTCGAAAACTGCGAATTCGAAAGTATCTCCAACCGAATCTATGAAGCATCTTTCGAATAGTTCTTCTCGACAGTCAGCAAATGATGAGAGGGTATCATCTACACAAGACAAAGTCGCAATAGAAGGAGAAACTTCTAAGAGTCCCCAGACTAGAAGTTCTTCAAGAGCGAGTTCTTTATTTGGTTCACTTAGGAATAAGGTGAATGCCGAGGCAAATGAACAAAGGCGAACTCCACAAGGAAGGAACGATAGCTTTAATACAAATATATCACCGAGTTCTCAAGAAGTGTCTGATTCATCTGTATTGCAAAGGAGTTTTTCGCAGTTGTCGTATTCAGGAGAAAGCCAAATGAATGATGTAAATATTTTAAAAGAACAACTTCGCAAGGAAAGAGATCGTTCAAAAGCTATGGAAGAAGAATTGAAGCGTAAAGATGAACAGATGAGATTGAACAAACTATCCTATCAAGGTAAGTTTTGTCCCGTAAAAGTACCTTCTTCTTAAATTGTAGACAAAGAGGAACTTCAGCAACTTACCTCAATGTTGTTTCAAGAGAGGAATAAGCTTTCAGTTGTTGAAGAACAGCGTCGAAAGCTTCAACAGGAGCTGAATTCGATGAGAGAGGTAGGTAGTTGATCCTTTTTAATTTTGCTATGTTTATTATTATTTGCAGAAAAATGTATCAACAGATGATAGCAAGAAAAAGGCGTCTTCGACAACATCGTTATATGAAGAGAATTATCGGTTGAAAGAGGAGAATCGTGAGTTGAAAGAGAAACTTGAGTCCCTGGATAAATACTCTTATTCTAAAATGAATGACTCCCCTGTGAATGTTAATGTTACGCCTCTGCTTGAGAAGAATGATACAAATGGAAAGTATGATGGGTAAGTAACTTGATGACAGCCTGCGAATGATGCTTGATTGTTGTTATTTAGGCCATTTACAGTAGGACAGCTAATACAAGAACTGGTTTCAATGAAAGTGAAATACGCCGAGTCACAAAGTGAGTTGGAAAGAGAGCGGCAACGCATGCGAAACGTTTCTCAGATGTTGCAAACGTCAAAGCGGCAGAATAATACAATGGCGTTGGAAATGTCACAGTTACAAAAGGAAATTACGACTCTTCGACGAGAAACAGGAAAAAATATAGAACAGCATAATGTAAACTCGCCTTCGAGTAAGCGCATTGCTGCTGATAGAAGTCTTGACATGGAATATCAAGTTCAAAATGATGATGTTTCGTTACGAAGGTTAGTCAAGAAGAAGGCTAAGGGATGGAAAAAAGTTTTTCATTAAGAGTGAAACAGAGACTATTTCATTTGTATATATTTTTGAAATGAAAATATGTATTATTTTTTGTTATATAAGCTCTGTCGATTAGAGGAACACAACTAGTAAAATGATTTCATGAATAACAGCCTAGTTTTGGATTTCATGTGAACTTGAACATCCTTTTTTGTACATTTGTATTTTTCTCCTTTGGGTTCCTTGTATGAGGTTATTGAATGCTTACACGATGCCTCGAGTCTTCAATAAATAGCTCGAGTTGGTACCGAAAATCTTTCAACCCATCAAATTGGGCGATTCACGTCGTCATGTCAGAAACAACTCAAGTAAGTTTGGCTTTTTTGAGAACAAAGTTATTCTGACGTAATTTTATCAGAAACAGGCCAAAAATGATGATGAAAATGCTTCTGAAAAAGAAGGAAGACGACAAGATAGACCTGCCGGAATGATTCCTTCTGCACAGGAAGACGAAAGGGCCGTTGAAGCTAGCAGTACGCTCACAAAGGAACAGGAAATTGAAGAAGCTTTGAACGTAAGTACGGAACCTAATGACCTAGAAAAGATAACTATATCGTTTTATAGTGCCCTTGTATACAGAAAATGAAGGAAGGTTCTTGTGGTGAACAGTTTATCGCAGCATATCGTTGTTTCCTCGAAAGTGAGACGGAGCCCAAAGGCTCTGGTAAGAAAGTTGTAGTGTATTATTTCGATAATTTTATTAAAAACTGTTAGATTGCGTGGAATACTTTTCTTCGATGCAAAAGTGTATGGTAGAGCATCCGGAGGAGTACGACTTGGATAGTGACACAGATGATTCGGACGATTTCGATTTGGGCGATGAAGAGGAGCCTGGTCATCAGTAACTGGAGGGAATGAGCTTTTTTTCAGAATTGGAATGTAGTTTTTACAGTTTTAGATACTTGTGATTATATCTATCTCCAAGTTTCACATAGTATGTTGTATGCATTGGCTGTAGCACGAGCTGAATGTTTTTGAAATAAATGTGCACCTAATAGGTAATGGCTTCCATAGAGGATTGTACAAGTTTCAAAATATACATAGTGACACATTGGAGCCTCAGCAACAAGAATAGCATTTCCAAAGGAATCCATGAAGAGATGAAGCTAGTTTCTTTCAGTTGCTCTAGTCACAAAATGAATCGGCTCAAGTCGAATAAGTTCTCAATGAATCGAAAAAATACTTTACGTCAATTCGGTGGTGGTCCATGTTCTGTTTGTTTCAAGTCTTGTTACGAAACATATAAATGTTCCTCTTGTCCTTCTGTCCAAACGCTATTCAAAGCCACTTTTTTTCGAAGAAGGTTACTTTTCTATCTAAACCAGTATACCTAGAAACTTGGAACAAGGACCAAAGACTGGTCAAACTTCGCGGTTTGCAGTGTGCCGTTTCGGACGAGAACGATTGCTGTTCAAACATCAAGTCTTTTGAAAAGAGAAAGAAGAGACAATTTACGTCAGAAGAAGATAAACTAATTATACAGCTGCGTGAAAAGGACAAGTTATCTTGGAGAGAGATTGGCAAGCGACTCAACAGACACGGATATGTTTGCAATATAAGGTAATCTTTGCCCGGAAAAATAGCGTGTTACAACTTCAACTTGTGTAATAGATATAAATACAATCTACGGAGTCGCAATTCCGTAACCTCTTTCGGTGGTGACAAGTGGAGTCACTTAGAGGTGCTGGTCAACGAACTGGGTCCAGACTGGAAAAGAATTGCCGAAATATTACAGTTTTCAAAACCAGAAGAGGTTCGAAATAAGTAAGTAACTTTTGTCTTTTGTTAGCATTGGTGACAGGAGGTAGATATTCCGAACTTATGGCGAGAAAGAAACAGTATTCAGTTATGCCCCTGGCAAGTGAAACAAGCAGTGAAGAGCAGTGTTGGGAACAAGTTTCGAAGGAATTTCCTCAAGGAACTACCAAACAAGCCAGACCTAGGTATTTTCATTGTTTTGGTCTTCTCAGACCCTTGCAAACGTTTTCATAGCTCCTTGGAATGTTTAGTACCTGTAAACAGACGGCAAGGTTCTTTTACTGTAGAAGAAGATAAGTTCTTATTGGAACAGCTGAGAAAGTATGGTTCGGATTGGAATCGCATTGTGGAAGATTTTCCCTGGAGAACTAGAAGGACTGTCATGAAACGGTATTATCTCATTTGTCGTCAACAAACGAAATATTAATGTTTTTCTTTAGACTTCAACAGTTGTCTATGAAGTCGGGCAGTTCACGCGGTCGAAAGTTAGTTTGGACTGAAAATGAGGACAATTTATTAATTGATTTGTTTATACAACACGGTCGCTGTTGGTCACTAATTTCTAGAAGTTTGTTTGGGAAGTCAGCTTCTCAGTGTCTTCGAAGGTATTTTTCTTCATTATGCACTTTAATGAAAATGGCAATTGAGTAGCGTCATTAGATTTCTCAAGTTGCGAAAGGATGGGAAAGTAACGATAACTGAATGGACTCAGAGTGACGATAAACGACTTGTTTGTAGTGTTGGTTTATACAATGAAAACTGGCCTTTAATTTCAAGGGTTCTTAAATATTGGTCGTATTCAGAATGTGAGAGACGGTAAGCTGAAAGTAGCTCTAAGATATACATTTAAACAGGATATGGTTTTTGATTAGATATCAAGTGTTGCAACGGGAGAATAAGGTTCGCCTGTTGGAAAGAATGGTAATGAAAGAAGTACGTAGAGGGAAATCAAGTGAACTTTTATCATCATGTACCATTCATACTGATGAATACGGCTTCTTGAGTGAAGGATGTTCTTCATCCTTACAGGAAATATTTTTTGGTTAATAGCTCTGGAGATGTGTAAATAGAGAGAAACAGAATTGCGTTATTCTTAATTGAGAGTTGGTTTTTGTCTAATGCAACAAGTGTCATTTTGTAATGGATCGCTTAGCCATTGGGTTGTATACGGTTGGGAAACAAAAGAATGTTATTTCGAAAAGTTTCACAAGGGAACATTGTTTAGTAAAGAATGTAGTGACTATCTTAGTATGTTTGTAGTTTTGATTCGAGTTTGGAGAGCTACCAAAAGTTCGCTGTGAAGCTTGTGTTCTTTGGATTTTCTTAGAAAGTTTCTATTGTCATGGAGAGTAGATCAATTAGTGTCATTTATATGTTTTTCGAACTGTACAACATTGAGGATGAACAATTTTGCTACTTCTCCTCCATTTGGTTGCACATAGCAAGCTTTGTCACTTTTGCAACGAACACACACACAAACATTTGCACGTGCGCGAAAGAAGGCTACATCTAAAATATTCTCGTTTTCAACCAACGACCTGTAAAAGTTCCTTCTAAATAGAGCTAAGATGACGGAGGCAATGACGAGAAAAGTTTACCGATCAAACCTTCATATGTCAAGTTTTTCATTTCAATAAACCTATCAATACAAACGGACTCTTTCCATATGACAGTCTCGATCTTATCGAGTTCCACTGCGTTCCTTTGCAACTATTACAAGGAACTCCGTCTGTAGGAATTTCCAAAAAGTCCTTCAAGAAGACATCAGGAATAAAAGCAAGTGCTATTCAGCCTGTTTCAATTATGGTTGTGGTTACCTTCTCAAAGAAACCATCAAGCAGTGTGGCAGAGTTTTGCCCCCCCCCCTTTCATCCATTGTCCCAACACCAAAATAATTTTCAGCGTTGTTTTAAATTACGCCCAGTTCCCATTTTTTTTTTTAGCGTCTTTGCGCACGGGCAATGTCTCCCAAGTGAGGTTTTACCGATGGGCGACTATTGCTAATTGAAAACTACTCCAATTCCAGCGCGTTCACCTCTCGTAGGTGACCGTGCAATTTTTGAAACCTTTCTCCTTTTGATAATAAACGCTTTTTTAATTAAACAGTTCCCTGGTTGTAAACTGCCAATAGATAAAGTAACGAGAATAAACTATGTTGCTTGGCAATTACCGCAGGAATATCTCGTCGATTTTCTTTTTGAAATATCAAAAACGAGTGCCAAGCAGACGGGATGGAAAGCAAGGGGGCCAAATACCAAGTGCTAAGAAAGCGCGCTTGCAATACGCAGAAAATGTATGGAAAAAACAACAAGATAAACATAAACAGAGTAGATAAGGTATTTCCTAACAAGTTGGCAACAGTTATAGCACCATTTCTTCTGTCTGACTCAAGGTCTCTGTGATTGTTGGCATGCAAGATGGCTTCAACTCGAAGTCCCACTGGAATGGAATACCACACAGGTAACCAACTATATTCACCACACTGACTCAGATAACCAAAAACAGCCATCATGGGCCCAAAAGAAACGAAGATGGCGAAGTCTCCCAAAGCAAAGTACTTTAGAGCGAAACCTTTGATGCCTCCATTATACATATACGTCAAAATGAGTCCTACCCAAAACAACTTTCCAAGCGTGATCAGGTTTAAATGAGTTACTACTTCTAGAAAATATAAAGAAAGGCAAGCACAGAAATACATTATGGATGCAAGTATCCAGACTTCGAAAATGTTAAGTAAACCGCGAACCAAAGTTGGATCGCCATAGGATTCTTCGGTGTCATAACCTTTGACATAGTCAAAGTAAGTATTTAAAAGATTAGCAGCTCCCTGAAGACTCAATGTTACAGCAAGTGAAAGAAATAACTTGGAAAAGTCCCATCTATCCTGATACTTCCAAGACAGCAAAGAGCCTAAAGTAACTGAAGGAATAGCCGCTTGAAACGACCAAGGTCTTAAAGCCTATGAATTTCAAACTTAAATACTGAGAAGTATGATTTTGAGAATGTCAATTTACCAGGAAATAATACCACAACTTGCCTATCATCAGAAAGAGCGTTGACGAGAACTCAGCTGAGCTCCCAATGATCTTTCATTCTCAATGAGTGATTGACAAGCACTCCTTAAGACATGGAATCCGGATTCGTTCATAATCCTTTCTTTAGAAAACTTTCGTTATTTGTATGTTCCAGATCTACAGAAACGTGTAAGACAGTTTCTCGACCCAACTTTGGGACCTCGCTGCACTTGAGGAGTCCTTGTTTTTTCAATCAGGAATCGAAAAGTAGTTGCGGGAACAATAAAGGATTTCTTTGTCTTGGAGGAGAAAGAAACAATCAACAACTTGCTGATGGAGATGGGGTTACCGTAGGAATAGCAACTTGTATTTTATTTTCCATTGTTGTGAATCGATTATTTACCTCCGAGTTGACTATATCTCAAGAAAGAGCAGACTTATTAGGAGTTATTTTTTCCGTTTTATCGTTGGTTCATGTCTTATGGAGACAAGACTTTAAAACGAAGGAGGGAGAAGTTGAAACACTTGTAGGAAAAGACTACCGAGAAATAAATGTTTTTTTGAATCATCAAAGCTTGTTGAAGTTGGAGCACTTGTGTCGTTGGATTCAAGAAGTCACTTGTGCTAAAAGTATTGTGATTCAAAATGATGACTTAACTTTAGTTCGACTGGGTCCCGGTCAAGAAGGACAAACGGTCGCTTTGGGGGAACTGGCGAAACAGTGCTTAACATCAGGAGAAGCATCTTTTTTAGCAGACTTGAATATTGTAGCAGGAAGAAATGAATTCAACTATATGCCTAGCAATTGTAAAGTAAGTTCAACCGATTTCTTTATCCTATGGAGTTGTAATATTCCATTGAAGTCAATCTACATGGAACCCTTGACAGAAAATATTTTGCTTATTCTGGGATGTGGAAAGGTGCGACCTTTCACAGAAGTGGATTTGATATGGATACGCTCCATCAAAGTTCAACTCGTCGATCTTTTTTCAAATATTGAAGTAAGTATATGTTTTCATTGATCCACTCGAGGAAAAAGTCTAAAGAGAACAAAAACAGAAAGTCACTAAAATTCGTTGAATATCAAAATAGCTAACTGTGTCGTTTAAAAGCATTTTTACTGTTTTGGATTGGATGAATCTTTCAAAGCATTGGATGAAGAATGAGTTATCAATAATTTCTCAAGTTCTTCAGGTTCTAATCTCCAGTGAGCTGGAATAACTAGTCCACTACGACGAGCAATATAAACGTATCCGAATCGCAAAATTGCTTTTCGAAGATTGTATTCACCACTTTCAATCAATTCCCGTTCAGTCGGCATTCTGTCTTGGAAACTTTTTTCTCGTACGAATTTCTTCACTTCATGCAGAACATTGGTTACATTGTTCCAATACCTTAAGCAATCAAGTCCTAAGCGTTCTCCTACAATTCTTATACCACCAAGTGCATGAATCTTTTCCAGTAACTGCATTTTATTCTTACGAACCAATTCTTTTTCCGTTGGCATAATTTTCTTATTGCCCTTTTTGTTCGCAAGATATATCCTCAGTTCTCTCCGAACAACTCGCCAAGTTGTTTCAATACCTGGCGTACGTTTCGGTCGCTTCTGAGTCTTTTTAAAAGGCAGATTTAAACGCTTTGCAACTTCTCCAGAACCGCCGTGAATATAAATAGCATGAATAATATCATAACGACCTGCTGCTCGCAGTGTCTTTTGGGTAGGCATGACTCGAGGCAGATGAGAGTTCTATACACAAATATAATAACAATTTCATCAGTCCATCAGATAGTCATTCAGTTTTCTATTCATACCTCTACAAATTCAACCAGTTCGCGTTCCAAATGCTCAAAATTTTTCCAAAACTTATGAGGCTTTAATATGACTTTCCATCCCAACTGTTTTGCAACCGCCGCTGCACCTCCATGTTGAGCAATGCCTCTCCATAAATACAATCGGCCTAAAGAACGCAGCTGGGATTGAGTCGGCATTACTTTATCTGGCAAATTCAATTCTCGAGCAGCAATTTCTAGTTCTTTCTCAACATGATGAGTGTCGGACCAGAAACCACAAGGTTTCTTGAGTGAAACACAGGGAATACCCAAGCGTTTAGAACATTCCCAAAAACCTCCATGATACTCAATGGCTGCAAATAAATCGCTTCTTTTGTATTTACGAAGCTCTATCGGAGTAGGTAAACGCATATGTTCTTGCACACCCATCTCTTCTCTATCCTTACAAACATACTCTTTAATAAACGAAAGGATTTCTTCTCGAAAAGTATCCCAGTCACCCAGTCTCTCCTTGTAGCTGGACAGTTTTAACTTAGCTATCCGGGAAATCTATCTTTCCTTCAGTTAGAATCTTTCGAAAATTGTCAACATACCATTTCATAACCTCCTCGCTTCAAGATTGCAGCATCAAGGTCCAGTCGCGCACTATCTAAAATATCATTTCTACAGGGCATCTCGGAAATATCTTCACCTCTACTCTTACGAAACTCTTGAATTTCTTTCAAGAGATTTTCAATATTTCTCCAGTAACCGTAGGGTTTCCGAGTGGAATTGTGACGATGTTGTGGAGCTTCGACTTTCTCAGGTTTTGTCTCCTTACTGGGGTCACGAGAACTGTGACAAGCAAGAAAAGAAGTACGACGGTGACTTACAAAACGACAGGTTTCCATATGGCTTGGTGAAAAAAACGAAACAGCAATCTCCATTGCTAGAGGATTGTTGAGAAAAGGAACCTTGTGTTTTGCGTTCGCAACACTGTTCCATCCAACCTTTCTACAATAATACGACTTTCTGCTTTCCACAAGACAGTACAAATTGATACTTTGACAGTGCAGTAAATTTGTTGAAATGAAAACACAAGATGGTGGAAACCGAAGACTATGACGGGTTTTCATTATCCATCTTCTCGAAACAATGATAGGAGAGATTAAAATGTATCTCTTCCATTGTTCAATTCATTGTCCCACAATGCTGATCATCATTTCGAGAAGAAATAAAAAAAAACTTGTGCCCAAGAGATGAATGATCTATAGCTTTGAATAAGAGGATAACAAAGTATTGTTTCTCTTGCAAATTACCACCAATGCGATTCTAAATGTTCTCAATGGAATGATGCATTTTTTACCCATTTCGGTATACTCAATGTTTACAGTATTTATTTCTAATTTTAACGTTTTTGAAGGACATAAAGTCATCCATCACAAGAAATGCCCCTTTCTCGTTTTGCTTTCCAATTCTTGGTTTTTATACTCTTGAAAGAAACAACAAGAGAAAACAACGCAATGCATGAAAGTTGAAAAGACGAAGATTTTTGTGAGAACAGAAGAAAAAAGGAATCATTGTCTAACTCTAAAAGTGTAACAAAAAGTCGAGATTCCAAAAATAGTTTCTTCTCTTCTTCACGTTCATTCAATGATAAAGACACTTACTGGTAAATAATTGGTTTCGATAAAATTTGGTTTACTTCAGCACTTACTAAAACACATGAATAGTGAATTTCATTGCTTTTCAAAAATAGATGCAGCCTTAACAATACAGTACTTGCACACTGACATTGTTTGAATAGAGAAGCTCATACGATAATTGTTTCATACATGTTGTGACATTCTGCTTTGTCTTTATTTGCAAGACAAGGATAAAATTTTCAAATGGCAATACTGGTATCCAAATTTAGTTATTACAGTTCGAAAAAGAGTAGTTCATCTTGAGTCCACTAAAAAAGCACATTTTGCAATGCTGGACAGTTTAATTGATGGTTGATGCTCTCTTTCTATTCATGCTTTTCCGTTATTCATCTGAAAAGGTAACGATACAAGCCGAATTGACTTCATTCTGAAATAGAAATAGGAACAAGGAAACCGAACCAACATGGTTCCGATAAATCAAGAAGACTTAGTTTACCATCAAAGCATAAAAGTGAGTGTGCGAAACGTACTTGGGATATCGGCATCACGTTTATGAAGACGCTCATTCCTTTCTCAGGCTAGTATGTTGACATGGAGTCGTGATTTTATAAAATCACTCAACATAGACATTATTCAAGGACCTTCCTTGTCTAAAAAATTTTCCATCTTTATACTCGGTTATCTGCTGCCTACTTCTAGATGTGAGGTTAGGCAGAGTCTCTTTTGCTGAGACATCTTCTCTCCAATGCCGGGCTTAGACTACAGGACAGCAATCACGATATGCGTTCTATAACCTTAAACCCTGCTCAGCATCGTACTTTTCATTATGTCCTTTTACTTTCTTTTCTTTGTTTTCCTACGCTTTTTTGTTCCTTTAGCGAAAAAGAAGACTTTCTGAAACGAGAACATCTTGTTCTTTTCCAGAAAACTGTTGAGAACAAGCTTGACAGCATTGCAAACCGGGAAAAGGACCCTTTTTACTGAATTTGTTCATGGGTCTACTTTCTCTTATCAAATAATTCTCTTTCTGTTAAAGAATATTTTCAGCAAAGAATTCAGTCCAGCCAAGGTTTGCAACAAGCCATTTAAGTCGTAATTCAGCAAGCTATCAACTCAGCATCTGATAAAAGCAATTTAATTCCCTCATTCTTCGAAAAACAAATTATAAACTTGAATAGCTCATAAAGCTTCTAAGAGTTCATGAAGTAAATGAATTACAGACCATACAGAAGTGTCACTGGTTTAAGCTCTTCCCTGCACTTCTTCAACACTTTCAAAGTTCACATGAAGGATTGACTAACTTTTCCACAAACAACATGATGTAAAAGAAATTCTATCATTATCACATGCGATACTATTTCTACTATTTTGAAGCTCTTTCTTGACTATTTATGGCGACAAATTCAGAAAAGTATATTTCAGAATTCAAATGAAGGACAGTTGTCCTTAATATGAACCCTCATGTACATTGCATCACAAGTGATATGATAAATGGGCGGAAAACAAGCTCTTCATTTTTCTCATGTTATTACGCTATTTTTGAAACGACTTTTCTGCAGTTTCTTGGAACTCAAAATGTTATGTTGAATGAAATTTGCTTTCTTTTTTGAGTGCCAATTGGTCTTCAGTTTCTCTGAGTCTTTAAAGCAATGAACAAAACAAGCTTAAAAATTTTCCTGGTATTAATTCATCTTTATATTCTAGTAAGAAAGTTTACAAAATTTTTGTTTCTGTCATTCTCTATCTTTTCAGATCTGTGGGGAATGTTGAGTTGTTTTTCGACATTTTCGTCAGCTTAGCTCTTCCCAATCTCATCCCTTTTCTAATGGACAATTAAATGATCCATATTGTCGCCGTGAATAAGATTTTTCATAGAAATTTTTAGCAAGACATGCGAATAAAATGTTATAGCATGAAAGAATTTTCAGAAAAAAATCTAAATACTCTCATTCAATGATAACTAAATTTTTGAAAAGCTTGAAAATCTGATTGATCAACATTGGCAAAGACCTTGACAAAGATTGAAGAAGGATAGGGAAAGTATCTATCTGATTTCTCAATGTCGATGGAGACTTCATTTCCAGTCCTTGCATTAGAAGAACATTCTACATTACCTGACAACCTATTTATGAATAGAAAGAATGAGAAGGAAATGAAAGCTTAGGGATTAAAGGATAGGAAACGAAAATGAACAACAGAGCATTCATTTTTCATACAAATGCTCTATTTAATGAACTTTAGAACACAGCTTCCATGGAAGACTCCTCAGCAGAAGGAACTTCTATAAAGAAGGGTGAGAAGCCTTGTGTTTACAAATAGGCATTGACTACCAGAATACATATACCCAGAGAAACGAATCTCCTCCCTACAATAGACAACTGAAAGACCTTCTTAGACATGATATCGTTTGGTTAGGTTGCACAGCATTGAGACCTTTTGTCTCAAGATACCAAAATAGGTTGTAATAACAAAATAAATAGAAAAATTCTTGTAATGTAGGTCTCTAACAAATGACTAAATCTTTTTTTTTTATGTTCAACATAGATATATCTGTCTATTATTTGTTCAAATCTCATGCTTGAAAATTAAGATAGCCTCCTTTTTTCAAGCAAAGATATATATCTGATACTTTAGAGGTATTGAACGCAGGGATTTTCAGATGAAATTTTCCATCGTGCGACTCAATCAATCGAGTCCCCTCTTCTCTCTTCTGGGCACCCAAATTTTTACACTTCATCACTAACAAAAATTTCTCTTTCATTCTTTCCCGCCTGAAAAGAACATCCGAAACATACCTCAAACGAAATTGAAACAAATACGTGGGTTAACCGTCTAGGCCTCGCGTAAGACTCTGGTTCGTCACCAAAACCTCGTTGACTATGAGTGAAACTAGCAAGTAAGCATTTCCCCCAAATAATATCCAACTTTTGAGTTTCTGTGGTAGCCCTATGGCCTCTCAGTTATTTTTCGAAGAGCGTAAACTATTGTGCACCTCTTTACTCGGGTCTGTCTTAGTGAACTATGGAAACTCCATCAGTATTCAAGCTCGTCACTTGCTAGAGTCGCTGTTGGGTGCTGACACCTGGAATTTCCACTGTGAGCAGTTTTGCTCTCTTTTGGAACATTGGGACACTCTAGGAAACAAGGAAAGAAATGCACTCGTTTTGATAGCCTCGCGAGTCGTTCTCTTCGATTATGTGACCGATGCCGTAGCAGAGAAACTCTTGTTGAAACTAGTTCGTGCTGTCGTTCGCTTTCGGGATCTTGTAGAGTGTAAGGATCCGGTGGATGAGAGTATGATGAACGCGTGGTTGCTTTTCAAGGAATATGTTGCAAAAAAGTTTGGGAAAGCTGAGATGTCGAATACTTGTTCACAAATTATTTTTTATATTTCCTTGAAGGCAGTTTATACAGCAAGTACAGTTGAAACACCAACCCATTACTGGAAATGTATTGTATCTTGTGCTGAAAGTATTATTTCCACGTTCCTTACGGTGGGAACTCTGGAGTTGGGGTTCTGTTGCTATCAAACGTTGGAAATGCTAAAAGATACCATTTCTGACCGTTTCTCTTGCAAGAGACATATTGAACATTTTTGGAACAGACTTCGCGACTGTCTTGTGTCACTATCCTCATTTTCGGTCATTGCTAGTAGCATTCCTTTCGAAATTGAAATGAAGTTACGACAGTTATCGATAGGACCTCCGAAGCCTTCCACAGAATTTGAAACTTTCTTTGATACAGTTACCAAAGAAGGAGTCGTAATACTGGATTTGATTCGTTATATCATTCATCAAATTTCTTTTGAGGAGAAGGCTAACCAAAATATGAAAGTTTTAATTGGACTGGTTCAACATTCGATGACAAGTATGGGAATTCGTCCTACTTCCAAGGCAATAGTTGAGCCATTAATGGTTGTTACGCAAGCTTATATAGAAGATAGCTCAGCAACAGCATTGCGAGCTTCATTGTATAAGTTTCTACATGTTTTGTTTCGTGAGCACAACGATACATTGCACGCAATCTTAATGGACTTGACAAATATATGTGAAGAGAATGCTGCCTATTCTTACCGTATACATGAGTGCCTTCACTTTGATATGTACAACGATATCCGTGTAAAGAAGGTGTTCACAGATCTTTGTAAGGATGCCAAAATCTGCTCGTTGTGCAAAAAACTTGGAATTGTTGAGTTGCAGTCTCCGTCGACTATTGACTTGACCGATTCAGATGAAGAACTGAAGACAGAGAGGAAGAATGTTACGTCAACTACTCCTTTAACGAAGAATGCAGGACAGTCGAAACAATTGAAGAGAAAGCAGTCAGTTAAAATGAATGAGAAGGTCACTCCTTCCAAGAAAATGAAAAGTAAGATGAATTTTTGTGGTCATGTCTGTTTTATTTCTAAAATTGTTTCAGTCTTAGAGAATGGACAGACTTTGTCATTGAATAATTCATCAACACGTGCACGTGGTCAAGGAAAGTTTGTAGATAAAGAAAGAAGAGTGCCTTTAGAGACTAATGTGCTACAGCAGAATGTGATATCTGAACAAAGCAGTTATGTTGAAAATGGAAGCCTGGAACAAAGGAAGGAAATTGTGAGTGATGAAGTTAAGAATAAAATTGATTCGACTGGGACAGCTGCAATACTGCAAAAGACAGCATCCACAGAGAACAATTTTGCAGCCCTAGCAGCGAACGTAGAACGAGAGGAGGAAAAGCAAAATAATTCGACAGTTGAGGATGTCACAGCTGTGAACGTGCCTTTGTCGGATAAGGTGGATAGCGAATCTACCATATCATCATGTTCTTATTCTACGGCGGTAGAGCTTGACGGCTCAGCTGCTTTAGCTACAAATGAGGAACCGAAAAGTCATTCAATGGACCAAGAAGAAATTATCTCTACGTCGCAACAGAAAACGGAAACAACAAGAGACAAAGAGTTGAAAAATTTTGCCGATGTTTGTAAAAAATTTTTGAGCGTCTCTGATTCTGAAAGTGTTGTGTTTCTCCCAGAAATCGTAAAAGAATATTCTAGAAAGGAGTATTTTTTTCCACTTATTCAACAGGAACTTGCGGAAATCGTACTGGATCATTTAGAGGATGAGGAAAAAGTGCGCAGGATAAAGAAACTTTATGAGTCCATTTACGTGGAGTTGATTCGAGAAAGAGCTCATCGAATGTCCTCATTACTGTCTTTGACTGCTGAATTTCTGTACATTATTCGAGAAAAATACAAACATTCGTTTCAGGATTTTTTCCATATGTCTAGGACTTCGGTTCTAGCGAACTTGATTTCTCAAGGACCTTCAGGCTTTGTGAAGTTGCAACATTTATATCAGCTGCTATGCCTGGAAGAAAGTGAGATGCAGTCGGTAGATGCAAAGGCATTTGCACTCGTTCAGTTCAACCAAGATATGAGAATCCTTTCCTTCTCCTTCTACAGAGACGATGCACTTGGCTTTCTGTTGGATGTTGCATCTATTTTCCCAGAGTTTATTCGTAATAATTTAGAATTCTTTGAACTGCTCACATTAGTAATGAAAAAAGACAATATGAAAACAGCTCTCGAATTATTTCAAAATGGTACTATTCAAATGTTTTCTTTCCATTCTGGTGAGGTGAAATATTTTTATGAATTTCTGAAACGTTCTTTTGAATGGGGAAGTTGTGAACGACAAACGTATTTATGGAAATTGTTGTTGAAAGATATCTCGATTCGCCTTCCAGAAGAGCAAAAGAATCTCGCTTTCAATCTAATTCTAAAAATAAGGACAGAGCTTTCTCTTCTATCATTAGACCAGAGTAGAGCGTATGTTGTGTTCTTTCCTATTTATGAATGAATTACTCACTTTCATCTAGTCTTTTGGAAGTTTTTTCTGACTGGATAATATTGCAGAAACCCGATCAACGATTGTTATTTAGTCTATTTGAATTGGGAGAACCATTTTCAGATATGGTTTCCGATATTGTATGCGCATGGCTTGTCAAGTCCACGAGTCATAATGAACTTGTTCATTTATTCTTAAACTCCTTTATAAGGCTGACGAATCACAATAAGAATAATTATGTATTTGTCAGTCGAGTAAGTGGAGTTTTACGTGCTTGTTGTAGGAGACTTCCATTCTTTCAATTTTTAAATACGAAGGAGGGAAAGCCTCTTCTGGAATGTTGTCAACAAATGTTTCAAGGTGAAGAAATCGTTGATTAAAGAATTGGCCAATTCTCTTTTGTACAGTGATGAAGAAATTGTTTGTCTGATTGGAAAACTTGGCAATGTGTGTCGCCAGAAGAATATTGTTAAGTTCTTCTTTGTATTCAAGTATTCCGAAACGGCGGTTGGAAATTCATCATCCACTCTTTGTTCATTTCAAAGAAGAAGATTTTGGCTTGATTGATCCGTTGACTAGAATATATACTTTTGTTGCTAGCCATACATCTAGTGGTAATTTGAGTAGTATAAAGGAAGACTTTCAAGTTCTCCCTTATCAAAATCGAACCCACGCCTTAGAAGCGGTTTTACAGTCTTTGGTATTTGTTGGCCTTCCTAAAGTTTTGAACGCTTGTGCCACACTTCAGCAAGCTAACCTTTTACCTCGCAAGGAAGATCTTTTAGTGGAGTCCGAAATAGGGTGTCAATTGGGGGACAGTATATCCTCTTTGGATGTTTCGAAGCTTTCAGAAAACGACAAGTTCCAGGTCAGAGGTCACGATACATTTTCTAAAGTTTATTCTTCAGCGGCAGAGAAACTTTCGACACGCATTCGTGCTTTCCACCCGTAAGTATTTGCGTCCTCAAGCACTATACTCAACTTTTCTTTGTAGAGATCTAGAGACGTGGGTAATGGATTTCGGTTACGGTCGTATCTTGAGCAGACCTTTGTTAAGTCTTTATCAGAGAGAGTTATGTGCAATCGCTGCTTTGGCTGGACAATCGGTAGCACCTCAACTTGTAAGTCATCTTCGTGGTGCGTTACAAGTTGGAGCTTCAAAAGAACAAGTACACAGTATTCTGAAACAAACTCACTTGTTATTTTCCTCGAGAGCTCAGGAGGAAGTTGACGCTGTATGGATGACGTTTGAACGTTCTAGAGCTGCTCTATAAAAATATAACTTTACACTGATTCTTTCCTTCATATATTTATCACCAAAAGCCTAAAATGGAAGTTTCAAGAAAGAATCGCATAGACATGGAGAGCCATTCCTCTCTTCCTGAATTTCTATAGACAAATGCATTGTTTTGTCCAATTAGGTGGCTATTTGGGTTCTTGTCGATCACCGTTTCGATTGTTGGTCAGTTATCGCAAGGCATCTCATTCAAGACAGTTACAAATGGCTGCAGTCACGTTCAAGAAACAGAATACTGATGTACCTGGTATTTTGTACGGAGAGAACACCCCTAATCACTTTGGAGTTATTGTAGTACAAGAGTGGTGGGGTTTGAACGAGGTGATCAAAGTAAGTGTTTGACATCCCTATTTGAACAGTATCTGAAACTACTTGTAGAAAAGAGCACAAGAACTGAGTGATGGTTTGCAGTGTAAAGCTCTTTTACCGGACTTTTACCGAGGAAAGGTGGCCGCTCAACCTGATGAAGCCCATCATGTAAGTTATTGTTTGTCTTGTAGAACAATTCTAAGGGGTTGTTGTTGCTAAGATGATGACCAATTTGGACTGGCCTGGTGCCATAGACGATATTGCAGCTGCTTGTCAATACTTGAAGGAATCCAAACAGTGCAAAAAAGTAGGCATAGTGGGATTTTGCATGGGTGGTGCCATAGCCTTGGCTGCCGCAGCGCTTCATCCTGCAGTAGATGCAGCCATTTGCTTTTATGGAACTCCACCTGCCCAATTATGTGATGTGAAGAACATAAAGGTTCCTGTCCAGTGTCATTTTGGAGAACAAGACAAAAGTCAGGGGTTTTCCGACCTCGCTACAGCAAAAGGATTGGAACAGAAACTGAAGGAAGGTAATGTACCACATGAGTTTTATTATTATCCAAAAGCAGGTCATGCGTTTATGAATCCTCCGGATGGTGGATTTACGGATGAGATGAGGTCCAAAGTCGTAAGTGTTTGTTGTTTTTATTTTGGGGTTGAGTATTCATCTGAATAGGAAATGTTACGACCTTATGATGAGGAAAGTAGACAATTGGCGTTGAGCAGAATGTTTGAATTTTTCCGTAAAAACTTGTCTTCCTAATCATTTGTGCACCACTGGTTTCTGTTGTTGAATAAAAAGAGAGCTTGTGATCCATTTGACAATAAGGTTCGAAGCTTAGTTGAGGTTTTCTGATTGCCAGTAGAAATGGCCACTTGTGCAGAAAAGCCTCTCGGACTAGTTCTATTAAGTATTCTGCAATATTTGCAGTCTGAGTTGCGCCCTATTTCTCTTCAAGAACTGAAAGACAAACTACACGTGGACGTCGAAGCGGACCCAGAACTGAAAGAAAACTTGAAAACCAATCCACGCATTTTGATAGAGCCGGATGGTCGTTTGAGGTGGAAGAGCAAATACTTTTTGCGAAACAAGGAAGATTTGGTGGCAGTTATACAACGGAATCCCGTCGGTATCGACAAAAAGGACCTCTTAGATGCTTACAAAGGAGTGGAAGAAGACTTGGAGGTATATAGTTGCTTTGTTCTGGTTTGTCATCATTTGATGAATATCGATTAGAGTCTATTACATAGTCAGCCACCCCAAGTATTAAGTATTCGAAACAACTTTTACAAACAAGAGTTTTTATTTCCAGCTGAACCCAAGTGGTTTTATCCCGTAAGTGAAGACGTTCGACAGTTGTGGTACGAAATACGTGTTCCTGACCCTGTCGATGTGCATCGTCATTTGACTAGTCGAGGACTGAAACAAGTTTCTCGAGACAATAGACAACCAGAACGTGTTGTCATCCGTAAGAGACCCAAGTCTTACGATAACAAAACAAGAAAAGTTGGTAGACGTGCAAGACTTACAAACGAACACTTGGAAGGAACAGCTCTCGATCCTAATCAGATTATAGAAAACCATCAAAACTCAGCCTTTTCCATGTAAAGTATTTTTGTTGATGTAGAAAGAGATCCGATGGAATAATAAGACATTGACGACTCTTGTGTCATGAAAATCATTGCCTTGTTTGTATTAAGAAAGGAAGAGGGAGAAAAGGAACCTTTTATATTGTCTAGTGCTTATCACCTTAACGAATTTGGCTATTTTCAAAGAAACAGGTTCTTGAATACTACTCTTGTTCGTTACTTGTCCCTTATACTTGCTTTAGTATCCGAGAATTCGCAAACTTCTTCGCGAAAACTCTGGTCAAAAGAGTACCTTGTGGTGAAAGAGCCTCTGTGGAACACCAAGGTAAGTGATTGCCGTTTTACTTCATTTCTTCATCAACTTTGAAAGATACTTATGTTTGTCACGTTTACAACGCTCCCAGCGGATTGGCTACTGTTGTATTATGTGATAAGGAATACCCCAGAAGAGTGGCCTTCACACTCCTTGGAAAAGTAATCGATGAATTTACAAAAGAATTCAATGAAAATGTTTGGAAAACGACCTATATAGAACTGACTTGTTCCTTTGTCCAAAAAGCAGTCGATGAGTATCAAGATCCAGCTAAAGCAGACTCCATTGTACGCATACAAAAGGACTTGGACGAAACCAAAATTATATTAGTAAGTTACACAATCGGTGTTAGATATTCTGCTAATTACTCTTATGGCAGCACAAAACCATAGACTCTGTATTGGAAAGAGGCACAAAGTTGGATGCACTAGTGGAAAAATCCAACGACTTGAGTATGCAGTCTAAAATGTTTTATCGTACGGCAAGGAAACAAAACTCATGTTGTGGTTTTATGTGAAAATACGGAACAATATTTCGTAAATAACAAATACTCAAAAGTTTTGCAATATGTTTTAGAAAATGTCATTGTCATCGTTATAAAATAGCATTGCTTGGTTATGTACAAATGACACTTGCGCACATACTCCCAAACAAAGTGCAAAGTTCACTTTACAATATTTCTATCAAGAATAACGACGTCGTCTTCTTCTATCTTTGCTGGACCGCCCTTTTGAACGGTGTCGATGCCTTTCCTTTGAACGGCTTTGCGTGTGATGATGATACGCACCATGTCGTCGATGTATATCTTGATGACTGTCATCCAGTCTATCATTTTCTACTCTATTCTTATCACGAGACTCATTTTGTGGTGACAATGGCCTTTCACTCTTATCCTTCGTTACCTCACTGTTTTTTTCTTCCACTTGATTTGACTGCTCAAGTGCCAACGAAATAGCATCCTGAACAGGTATCCCTTGAAGACTAGCTCTCATCATAATGGCTTCTTGTCGTTGTATTTTCTTGAGTTCTTCGTTTCCACCATTTTGGCGCTTTGGTGGCTTGATAAACCACTGTGAGTCCTTCTTCTTTGAAGACAAGCCCACAGGTGCATGTAAAGAATGTCCCAAGTAATTCTCTCTATATTTATCCTATTCAATTAGTATCCATAAACATATTCTTCTGCTAACAAGCAACACTTACTTCCTTTACTTTCTCCCAACTAAACTGGTCTCTTCCACCTCTATTTCCTTCTCTACTACCAGTAGTTCCTAGCAAATCCATCCTAGTCTCTACGCAAGTACTGATTAACTTTCTGTTGCAACACTTTGTTACCGAGTGTACGCCTTGTACCAATCACACGTTTTAAAGGAACAACTCTCGCTTCTACTTGCGGAATGAAATGGGAAATCATCGAAATCGCCACTTCATGATATGTCGCAATTCTGATTTGATGGGCCAACCATTTGGGAAGATTCCTTAATGTTTCATGTCTAGTATAGCGCTTATCTAACAACACAATCACACCATAATCATTCTTGTGTCGAATACAACGTCCAATAGCTTGATTCAAAGAACGAAAAGCTTGTAAAGCATACCATCGCTGTCCATTCAACAATTTTCTTGATGCACTATATCTATCGTTATATTCTTTTTTCTGAATGACTTGGAGATCTCTCAAATTGGGATAAGGTAAACCAACTATAATTACTCCTCGTGCATATTCATCTTTGAAATCAATTCCTTCGCTTACTTTTCCTCTACAAACTGCTAGGAACAAGGCTCCTTGCTTCTTGTGGATAGCGTGATAATAAGATAGTAAAATATTATCAAAATAAACTCTATCATTTTGACAAGGCTCTATAAATACTTGTTTACAGGACTCCAACTCCTTCCAATAACCAGATTGACGCCAACGACGAACCACACTAAGAAATGTTTATAAAATAAGGCTACTCTAAAATACTCATTACCTTTCCAACAAACGATAGGAGGGAAAGAAACAAATAACTCCATCCGGAATAACACGACAGTATTCTAAAATAGACTGACCCAAACAATCATGATAAGCAATAGAGCTGGACGCTGCAAAGGTAGAATCATAGTCCACTGAATTAGGTCCACAACTGGAAGCAATAGCACAAACTTGATTCTTTACATCAATAACATGAGGAAGTGAGTTCATGATATCGAAATGAATCCCTAATTCGGAAGAGAAGGAATCCATAGGAGTCAAAGTGCCAGAAGAAAGAACAATGCATCTGGAATGGGACTGAAGATAAGAAAATGAGACAGCTGGATTGAAACACCATAAGCATAGCTTGAAAGACCACATAGTTCCTTTACGAGTCTTCATCAACACCAGTAGAAAGTCATCGCTACGATCCACTGAAGAGTTAAAAATGAATTCTAACGGACACATTAAACGTTCCAAAGTAATCGATGCCCATTCAGGAAGACCAACTCGCTTCTTCTTTGTTGAAGTTTCATCCAAATGCTCCGATAGAAAAAGTTCAGTATTTGTAATTCTAGACACACTACGGCGTATTTCAGAATAAATAGTTTTGGTCACTCCACAACACTCCAAAGCATCTAACAACAACTTCCCAGTACAGCTAAATGTTTCCTTCTCAAAATCACTCTTATCTACAACAAACTTTTGATGAGCATCTTGTTCATGACACCAAGAAATAACTCCCGAGACAAAACTATTCACAAGAGATAAATGTCTTCCCATGGAAGTATTCTGATTCATATCCAATGTTTCCAACTCCGTTCTGACTTGTTCGAGTTCTTCGATAAAGACTTCACAAGATGCAGCTTCTCTACAAACATCTTCTATATTATGAGCTTCATCTAAAATGACAATAGAATTGGAAAGTTCCACTTGCATGGCATTCCTTACAACAGGATCTAAAAGATAACTATAAGGACAAAAAATCAATTCGGCCGTTTTCATCAATTCTTGTGAAGAAAAGTAGGGACATAAATTATGTCTCTTTCCTATTCGAACCAAGTCTTCAATATCCCAAACCTGATGGATATGATTCTAAAAAAGACAAGTGATGGGAAAAGATATCATCTATGTAAACTCACATACCTCTGACAATTCTTTAATATTATGAACCTTCTCAACTCCAAAGGCATAAGAGCAAGATCTTTCTTCCAACAATTTTTTGCATTCCTCATTCCTATTCTGTGACCTTATCACTTTGTTGTGTATACAATACCTATCGCGCGAACCCAGAATATCCATTTTAGGTCTATAACTGGTTCGTCTCAATTCTTGTACGACTTGATCTATTTGAGTATGTGTACGTGTGGCAAAGAATATTTTAGGAGGAATTATTTCTTTGTCACTATCCAGGTTATTGTCTTCGTCATGGGTTATCCAATCATCGGAATCGCTATCTATTGTCTGATTTGTACCAATTCCTTGTTGAAAGTCATCGTCACTCGATATACTTTTTTCTTCTAGACAATTATCCAAGTCTCTTTTCTCCATATGCCTATTGGTTTGATTGTCTTGGAAAGTATCTGCCAAAGGTTCTTTTCCTCTTCCGTGCCTATATTTTGCTACCGCTGCATCGAATCTTTGTTTTCCGATATTTTCTTTTTCTATTCTCTCCAGTTGCATTTTATTCTTGGTTTTCTTTTGCCAAGCTAACACTGCACAAAGCAAAGCTAGAGATTTGCCAGTTCCCGTGGGACTTTCTAATAAAGCATTTTGACTGTTCTCACAAGCTCTCAATATTTTTTCCATAAAAACAAATTGTACTGGATAAGGTTCATAAGGGAACTCAATCTCGGTACCATATACTTGGAAAGGCATTGCTTTTTACGTTTCAATGGCGGCCAATATTTCAAAAAACGGAGAGGATTATGGAAGGATTCCCATGTGGCCTATTTGACAATTGCATCAAATCCTTGTGAGAGTCATTTAACGTTTAAAGAAATTATGAAAAGTAACCTATGGACAGCAGTATTATAACTTGTTCAAAAACAAATCCAATTGGAACCATTCATTTATATCTCATTCGTTGAATTTAAAAAAAAAAAAGAATTTGTTGAGGGCGACGTGAATCGAACACGCAACCTTCTGATCTGGAGTCAGACGCGCTACCGTTGCGCCACGCCCCCCGAATTCAGTTAGCAATGGATTACAATTGACTTAAATAATTTTTTCTTTCTCTCTTTGTGGACCATTCTCCTTTCTTATTATTATCAACCCCCCATTATTATTATTATTATTATTTATTTATGAGGCGCTTATTATTTTTGCGACCCTTTCCTGTTCAAACTCTCAAGAAAAAGTTATCCATCATAAAGCCTCGTTTCTTTTGCTCTGTTCATTCTCCATCCACTAGCCTTAGTGGTATATTCCCTGTACGAAAACCTCTCCATTATACTTCCTTCGATGTCGTGAAACAGGTCAGTACCAGTCAATAAATAGTTCACTTTCTCATTCCCTCACTAGATTCGTTCTATCATCTTGCAAGACTATAAAAACTCTGGAAAACCTTGCAAGTGGATCAAGGTATGCACGTTTCTTGAAAACAAAGTCCAACTTTTTTTTTAGGTTGGCCATGGGGGTACATTGGATCCTTTTGCTACCGGAGTGTTGGTGATTGCTGTAGGTTCAACTTGTTCCCAACTAGAAAGATTTCTCCAAGGCTCCAAAAGATACCGAGCCACTTTGAAGTTTGGAGAAGAAACGGATACCTTGGTATGTCATTCCTTGGGTTATTCATCCTCTCTTAGCGTCATTCAAAAGGACAACACTGGCACAATTGTGGATACCAAACCTGTTCCTAATATCTCTATTGATGACATTCGATCTGTATTACCTCGCTATATGGGAGTTATTGAGCAAGTTCCACCAGCTTATTCTGCTATTCATGTGAATGGTAAACGTGCTTATGAATGGGCAAGAAAAGGAGTGGCTATAGAATTACCCAAAAGAAAGGTACTTTGACTCTTTATCCACTTGAAACTGTTGTTGTATGTATAAAGGTACGCATTGATCACATCGAATGCACTTATTGTTGCATGCCGATAGCAGAATTTTCTATCGAATGTAGTGGAGGTACTTATATTCGTCGTTTGTTATCGGATATTGTTCAACAAGAGTGGGTATGTAACAACTCCTTATAACAGACCAATATCTATGGAATATCTTTATAGCAAACAGTGGGTCATTTAGTTGCTTTGGAGAGAACCCAACAAGGTCCATTTCTTTTATCCGATGCCGTATCTTTGCAAGACTTGAAGCAAATGTCCCACATTCAATGCACAATGCAACGATTTGCTCATTTTCTATAAACTGAAGATATGTTGGTACGATATCGAGTAGGAAAGACTACTTTTGAGTTGGTTACCAAAGAGGGAACTGTTCAGAAATATAGGAAAGGAGAAATAAAGTCATTGGAAGATGTATGATCTTTCTTAAGAAAGGGGATAGTCTACATATCACTTGTTATGGAATTAGGTTCTTCTATCCGACACTATCTTTACAAGTTATGCGAAAAGGGAGAAAGCGGGAACCAACGAACTCAAAGCTGCCTTTCAAACAGACTCTTTGCAAGTGAGTTATTTGTTTCGTTTTTATTATATACCTCACTGCCATAATAGAGTTGTGTGGAAACCATTTTGCAAAAGGGAGAAGTACAAATATCCAGTGCCGAACGGAAAGAGAAGTTAGAAAAGAGAAAGAAAGAAATTGTCAACTTTATACACAAATATTATATCGACCCTGCCAAAAAACTTCCCCATCCGATGTCTCGCATTGAAAACGCTTTGGAAGAGTGCAAAATCCGAGTCGATGCCGATATTCCTGTAGAGAGACAAATACCTGACATAGTTTCCAAACTGGTGAACGTTATTCCACTAAAAAAGACAACTTTAGAGGGTCAGTTGAAAGTTCCTCATAGCTCGATAGGTGCAGCTTCCAGTGTGATTGCCAAATATGTAACTGTTGAAAGAGAATCCTATTCTTCACATGGATGTACTTATGATATTGGAATCATACCTGGAGAATATGATTTGTTTATGTCTGAAATCAATAGAGTGACTAAAGGAAATTTCGAGTTCAATGTTTATAGTCAAGAAGGAGTAACAACTGGAAGTAGTCAATCAACACAGAAGAAAGGCAAAGGCAACATTTCAATGATGAAGAATAAAAAAGGAAACAAGTAACTTTCATTTTGATGAAACCTAAAACATAATTCTTATACAAAATACACACAACGTTCCTTTACAGATATTCTGCAATCTTCTTAGCCATATCATCTGCTGAAGTAGATTTTCCAAAAAAGGTTACAAAGTTACCATCAGGTGCAACTAAATAGGTAATGATGGAATGATCAACAAGATAATCATCCGAGCCATCGTCCCTATCTTTAGAGAAGAATACTCTATACGATTTGGCAACCTTTTCAACTTGCTCTGGAGTTCCTGTTAAACCAACAAAACGAGGATGAAAGTCCTTCAAATAGGACTTGATTTGATGGCTCGTGTCTCTCTGTGGATCCACCGAAATAAAAACAGGAACAATCTTGTCTGCACTCGAACCCATTCTTTTCTCCAAAATATTCATAGCTTCTGTCATTTTATTCAACTCTTCTGGACACACATCGGGACAAAACGTAAATCCGAAATATATCAACATAAACTTTCCTCTAAAGTCCTTGTCAGTGACTACTTTTCCATTCATATCTAACAACTCAAAAGGACCACCAATGGCTGGTTGTCCTAAATCCTTTTGCTGATATCGAAGCTCTAAAACACTTGAACACCATAAATATCCTCAATGGGATTATTACTTACTTTCCACCTTCTTATCTTTCATTTGTGCATATAAGAAAAGGAGACCTGAACCTAGTGCAAACGTTGCTCCTACTGTTTTCCAACCTATTGGCTAAAAAAGAGTTAACTAGTTTCAAAACCTTTCAACCACTTACACCTTTGGAGTCCGACTGGCTTTCAGTTTCTTCCTTTTGTACGGATAAATAAGATGAAGAATGGAACATTCGCTGAGAACTTGAATAACGAACTATTCCTTTGCTACTCGTCTGACGACTATGGATACCCAATAAAACACGTCTGGATACGAGTCTGATGAACGACATCGATATCATTCGCCAAATGAAAAAAGTGTAAACCAACTTTTCACATTTCATTGGGATAGAAGAAAAGAAGTGTTGTTGGAATGAAATGTTGAATACTATATATGCGTATCTTTGATAAGTGAATACATGGTTTCCATGACATGCCAAATAAGACAATCTCCCATGCCCTGTTTCTTATTGTGGACAACACTTTCTGTTGAAAACAAAAGACAAAATGGTTTATGGAAGAAAAGGTGGATAGATTCCTATGATGTTTGGTCAAAAAAACTGGCTAGTCGATGCTCCAGACAACAACGGTCGAGGTTACTACACCTGGTAGACGGCTTGGAACAGCAACAGTCGAGTACTAACGAGAGGAAATCATTGACTTACAAACTTTATGTTTTATGGAAGTTTTGCAGGCCGCATACCTTTATTGGAACTTTGACAGCCATCTCATCCCTCACCATCTTAGCCAACGAATATGTTAGTCAGTTTCTTCAGCGGGTTGGCAACAATTGGTGTGAAAATACAGTATCGTACAAAGACACTTTTCTGCTATGGAAATATGTATATCGTTGGTTTCTTCCTTGTAACACTACAAGTTCTAGTGTTGGTATTGGCTCGCGGAAACTGTCGGATAGCTTGGTTACAACTATTTCACAGTCCCAGGGTTGGACTGCCATCCTTGGATTTCTCACTGCTCTTGTTCCTGCGTTGCTCATCAATGTGTATATAGTGGGTTTGAATCAACTATTTGATATCGAAATCGATCAAATCAACAAAGTAAGGTTATATAACTTGGTCAAAGAATCTACTGGACTCAATGGAAACGCAGCCTTATTTACCTTTAGCCTCAAAAGAACTTTCCGTTCGTTGGGCGTGGGTCATTGTGACGCTTTGTGGCTCTTTAGGTTTGATACTCGGTTTGGTTTTGCCAAAGACATCAGTCCCACTCATTGGAACGTTGTTTGGGAGCACGCTGTTGGGTAGTATGTATAGTATTCCTCCTATTCGTTTAAAGAGATATCCCTTATTTTCATCCTTTTGTATCCTCGTTGTGAGAGGTGTGTTGGTCAACATTGGTTTCTCTCAACATGCTAGAATAGTTGCGGGTTATGGAGCTTCTTTGTCGCCATGTTGTTGGTTTTACAGCATCTTTTTCGCACTTTTTGGTATTTGTATCGCTTTGATGAAAGATATTCCAGATGTAAAAGTAAGTGGAAAGATAGATCCAATGGAGTCGTCATTGATAAGCATAATAATACTTATAGGGAGATCGCATGTTTCACTTGCGTTCCTTCTCCGTCATTTTGGGACCTCAAGTCGTTTTCCGCTGGACAGTCCTATTCCTCACGGGCGTTTTTTTCGTATCTTCCTACGTACTGTGGCTCATTGTGCCCATCGTAAGTGGCCAATTCCCATAGAAAGTCTTACATTCATGACTTTTTTTAGTTGTTCTGTAAATGGCTTCTAGTTGGGTGCCATTTGGTATTTGGATTGGCACTATGGATGAAATCATTCCATGTGGACGCAGAAAACTCCAAGCAAGTGTATGAGTTTTACATGTTTTTGTGGAAAGTGTTCTATGGCGTTTACATACTACTGCCTCTAGCTGGATAGGACTTGCAGCATTTGTGGATGGCCAAAAGTTTTGTCGAACCAATTTGTCTGAGAGTAAGAAATTTAAATGAAAATAAACTTCAGACAAACAGTAAAGTTGTTCTTCCCGAATGATTCTATTTTCAGAGTAATGGCATATTTTAGAACAACATTGGAGACTGCAGTTTCCGAAACTACGTCATCTCTTTCTACATACACTGAAACAATTATTTGATTAAAGTCAGGACCATTAAAGTTAATTTTAAAAAAACTTGACAAAACCAGAAATAGAACTGAAAGAAAACAAAAGAAACCAATACTCTAAAGGCAAAATACAAATTAATTTTGGAAGTTCCGATTCTAATTTATTTCGCATTCAGATGTGACGAATCAAAAAATTTAGCTGACCTAACCTTAAAAATAAAAAAGAATTGAATTATTTAAAAAATTGACAACAGAAATTATGAATTAAAATCCCTCAAACGAGTAAAAGTAGTTCATTTAGGCTGTAAATAAGAACACTTTCTGCAGCAAAAAAACCTACCATTTACCAACAAGCTATTCATAATAGGTTAAAATTCAATTATTTAAATAGAATTTCTATCTTAAGATCATGCATTTCTGTTTACCGCGCAAAGCCATTAATTTCTTTGGTTTCTCTTTGAGAAGATCATTATTGCTAGTGATTAATTTTTGACAAATTTTTTAAATATCGTTACCATATTCGTGGAAATATTAAACAGAAAACTGCCCAAAATGTTGAATTTGAACAAAAAACAAATTTAATTTTCAGCCCTCACATAAAGATCATTAAACAAGCCTACAAATGTTAAGACATCAACATTCTGTGGGTATTGAATAGTGATAGCTTTTTATCTTTATCACCATGCAAATCGACTGACGACAGTTTTTGGTCTCGTAAAGAACGCAAAACCAGTGGGTCCATAGAACGGGAGATCACCCCACATAGAATCCTTTGAACCAGTGAACCCAAAGGGAGGAGCCGGTACTGGTACTGGTATGTTGATTCCCACTTGTCCTACTTCGATTTGGCTCTATTCCAAACTACTTATTTTCTCTTTCTTATCTTATATTCACATGTTCTTACCTGAAATTTTCGTGCTGCTACTCCCGATTCAGTGAAAATAGCAGTTCCATTTCCAAAGCGATTCGAGTTGATGAGTTGAATTGCCTCATCCAGCGATTGCACGTGAAGGCATACTAGCACAGGACCAAATATCTCTGAATATAGAAATGATGAAATGTTCCAAACGAAGAGAAGAAGACAAACTCACCTTCCTTGTAAACATCCATTTCTGGAGTAACATTGGAAATAACGACAGGTCCCACCCAGTTACCCTTGGAACTAGGAGCTTGTCCTTGATAATCTATTTTTGCGCCTTGTATCTTTGCGGAGTTCACTAGTGTTTCGACTCTTGCCTTCGCTTTTGATGAAATAAGAGGTCCCATATCACTATTTTCGTCAGTTCCCAGTTTCACATTCGCAGCTTTTTGTACTAAAGCAGGTAACATTTGGATACTTTCACCAACCTGGATCATCTATGTTTAGTATCAAGTTGCAAAAAAATAGGAATAATTGCTTACAAACACCGCAACTGATATGGCCATACATCTTTGTCCAGTGGCTCCAAATGCAGCTGCAGTGAGAGCATTTAATGTCAATTCTTTGTTACAATCCGACATCACGACTGCATGATTTTTTGCACCCTTTTTAGAACATTTAGTGATTAAAGTTGTCTATCTTTTTCTCTTGATACCATATTGCATTGGGCACGAATACCTCTCATACTGGCCTTTTGGTATACAATCCTCCCGATTGGTGTGCTTCCCACAAAGCTCACAGCTTTAACATGAGGATTATCCAGTAGCGCATCGACAGTATCTTTTCCACCCTATTGCAAATTGGTTCAATTGTTCACACGATAACATCGCTTATATTATTACTTGAACAATGTTAAAAACTCCGGGTGGAAATCCAGCTTCCAAACTTATTTCTGCCAACAAATGAGCTGAGCCGGGGACGAGTTCTGAAGGTTTCAAGACAAAGCTGTTTCCGGTCACGATCGCTATCGGTATCATCCAAAGAGGTATCATTGCGGGAAAGCTACAAATTGCTATGGGAATATTGCCAACCAGATATTACAAACAACTCACTTAAAGGGACAAATTCCTACGCAAACTCCTAATGGCTCTCGTATCTAGAGAATAATAAGAGCCATGTTTCCGTTTGCAATCATACAACTTACTTGCATCATATCGATATCGGTGGCCAAATTCTTCTCATACATACCCTCCACTTTGCCAGTCTCAGTAATGTCAGTTATTTCCAAAGAATTTACTCAAGCAAGTTAATAACATACAAAGCCACAAGCATATTCTGCCACTTCGAGACCTCGGATTATGTCGCCTTCTGCATCCTTTACTGTCTTTCCTCCTTCAAGTCTTATCATTGCGGTGAAATCAGCAAGTCTTCGATGTATTATCTAATTTTGAGGCATACAAGTTGAAATTTGCTTATTTTCCAAAACAGAATATCATATACCTCTCGAAATCGAAACATGTATGATACTCGTTTAGATATTGGAAGGGTAGACCAAGACACAAAGGCTTTCTGAGCGCTTGCAATGGCAGCATCAACCTATACGAATAGAACCATGAGAATTAGAACAATGTTTCCATTCGTGAGTAGACCTCTTCTTTAAGAGAACCAGGAACTTGTTTCAGAACTTCTCCAGTTGCTGGATTGGTCACATCTCCAATAATAGGTCCCTTGCTACGTTCTTTCTTATGAATCATTCAGATAGTGGCGTCGATACTCGCTTACCTAGTCTCGAACTTTCCATTTACAAAGTTTTGCATCAGAGGAATAGTAGACTGGTAACCGTTAGTACTCGACATTCTTCGGAATTGACGAAAAAGTTGTTTTCTTCACTCAAGAGAAAAACAATAACTACGAGAAAATGGTCATGTAATTTCTCTCCATCTCTCTTTCTTGTCAAACATTCTTTCGAAAAGGAAAACGACTTTTTTTATTTTAACAACGACAACAAACAACTCTTATTGGACCCATACTGCTCCTAATTCACTAAGTTTCTTGTGTGCCTGTGCATAATCTTCAAAGAACAGGTCTTTGTTAGAAGCATATTCTTCCACAAGCTTCCTAGTTTGGGGGTCATCCAACAACGCCAAGTCAGAAGCAAGCCTCAACAACTGGGGATCGGGTTTCTACGAACTTTTAAGCTTCCACAAAAGAAACACAATCAGAAGTGAACAAACCTCTTTCAAAATCTCCACAAAATAAGAGTTGTCGAACACTAAGGGGGTTTTCGTCCAAGGACCCTCGAAACCTGAACGGTCCTATGATATATTAAGTGTTATGAAAACAACAGACCTATTCAAGCTAACCTTATGAGCTCGACCAAGGGTGTGCCCTCCGCTAAGGACAGTCAATTCTTTGTCGTTCAAACCCATACGATAGAACACCTTTCGAAGCTGAGGTAGTTTGTGTTCAGCGTCTGGAAGTCTTCCTTCCTCAGGACACTTTTCTGGACCCTCTGCGTCCCTTCTACCCATTCGGAAAGGTATCTTTGGACCTCCTGCATACTCAATGGCGACAACACTTGCTAGTTGGAACAAATCCGCATAGCCAATATCGGGAAAATCCTATTATAAGTTAGCAGTTACATAATCAAGAAGGAGTATTCCACAGACTTTCTTTATGGGAGCAAGTAAGTCCAAGGCGACTTTGAGGCCAGCGTTTGCTTTATGCTTTTGTTCAACGTCAAAGCGAACAGATCCGTTAACTCCACCAGTGTTGGTATTCACATCATATGTTCCGGCATCATGCCAAGCAATTCTTACCATGATAGGCATACAAGGAGTCTGTTTGTAAAGCTGTACGAGTCGGTCCCTGACCTGAGTTTCTAGTTCTTTAGTATTGACAACCATAGTTGCAAGGTTTGACTTTAAACTGGAAAGTTGAGAAAGTCCTGTATTTACTGAAGAAAATAGAAACTTTTGGCGGACAGGTTTCCACGCCTGACTCAAAAGGGCTGTGGACAATAATCGATAATTCATTTGAATTGTTACGAATAAGTTGAATTGGGTTACGGTGTTCAAAAGAATCTTTTGGAAACTTTGATTTTGGTCTTCATTCAGAAGAGTTGAGCGACTTTGTCTAGAAACAAGAGGAGGTAGTAAATGAGCATTTATATGTGTTATAATACTACTGGAGAGATATCCAGAGAATTTGAAAATATATTGATATACAGAGAATGAAGTGTCGCAGATAATGCTCCCCTGTTAAGTATCTATCTACTACCTTCTAGCGATCGCTACACGGGCTTACTTCCTTCCAAATTTGTTAGAATACACCACTGTCGTGAACCAACAGAACGGTAAAGATTCTCAGGAGGACCTTCTTAGCAGAAATATGCTTTTGTAGGGCTCCTTTCTCTAAATCTTCCAAAGGCGACAGACTATAATAGCACGTTTGAGAAGTTAATGTCGTCTAGGCCATCACTATTTATACAGAAGAATACCCATCCTTTGAGAAATGAGTACGGGTTTAAACTAAAATAAGGTATGGGTGGCTGCTCAAGTTCGTGTTACTCAAAAAAGCTTGGTTACTCAATCGTAATGTACAAAGTAAGTCAAGATAGTATAAAAGACGAATTTCACCCGAAGAGTCTCTAATGTCTTCGGTTGCATGTATCCAAAGACAATATTTCTTCTTGAGGCTACGACCTTGAGAGTTTTATTCTTCAGAAATAGTTCTGGCAAAAAATAAACGATGAGTATTTCCAAACTTGAACAGGCAACAGACAAAAAGGGGGTTTGAAAAGTTACAAAGTGTTTCTGTCTTAGGTTAACTTCCAAATAGATAAACCAGGTCCACTTTCCGACAGCCTAGTTTAGCGATTCGTTGAAGAAACGCCTTTGCTAGCAGTAGTCATATACTTCAAACATTTGAAGCTCCTACTTTTGTCACAGGCTATCGTCCATTTGTGTTTTAAGGTCTTTCAAACGATAAAGCAAACCAAAATGGGAGAAAAAATGTATCAAATGGCGCGATTTTCATTCATGCAAAAGTGGAAGTGAAAGAAGCTTATAGAATATGATTGGCCTGGTCTATGACTAGAAAGAGAAGTAAGAAGAAGGTCGTTTGTACGAATAGGCAAACTTTGAAATTGAGTTCCACATTCTCTTCTTTTAGCAGCTTGTCCACTTTTAAAGGTAAATATTGTGAACTATGAAGGGACATGTACCCAAACGAAAGCCTTTTCAGGTGAAACAGACACTTTAGCAAATGAAGCTCTGGGCAACCACTCTAGGAATACTTCTTGTGTTTCAGTTCAAGGAACTTGTATGATGTCCAAGGAAGATTTAAATAGTCGCTCGGTTTCTGGTCAAAGTTTCGACAATGGAGACGATATATCGAGTGAAAGTGGACATGAGAACACGAACGAAGGAAAACTGCCAAGAGGATTCGATAAGAAAACCGAGGGAAAGGCTTTTCGTCGAAGATGCAATAGCATTTCGGTCTGTTCTTCTCTGAAACACAGTCATCTGACAGATGGAAGCTTTTCAAGTAACTCTATGGAAGCTGGAGGCCATAGCAAAGACTCTCTAAGTGCCTCAAGTGTAAATGGGACAAAACATACCAGTATTCCTGAGTGTAAGTCGTCCTTATTGTCTCTTTTTTGTCGGCTGAGAATGTTGTTCAGCACCAAAATGGAGTTTCTTCCGTTTCTTTGAAGACCAAACGTTTCTTTCATCTGCCGAAGAGCTGCAGTCGGTAGAGTTTGAATCACCCACATATCTTGCGTCAAAAAGGAAGTCAGTCTATAACTTTTTACAGGTTTTTTAAATTTCTGTCCGTTGCATTGCTGATATTCATCTGGTTTTTAGATACCTTGGCATCTGGAGGCACTGTTGTTGCTAGGTGCTTCTGTCTGTGCCGACACTTTCTTATTTTTATTCACGTTTTTGCCAATACGTAGTTTGATCGCTCTCTGTCGACCCTTGTATGTACTTTATCAGAGGGCCATTCATCATAATTTGAAGAGCAGATGTACGTTGTCGGCTCACGAGTCGCTCACTCTCATACATCTGACTATAATGATATGCGTTTCAAGCCTCTTATTTTGTGCTGTGGACGTGTCGAGGTAAGTTTCTCCTTGCTTGCGCATTTTCATCTAGTAAATATTGTAAAGAGCTTATCACAACATTCGAGGTCAGACAGCAATCAAATTGTATGTATTATTCAATGTTATGGAAATTTTCGACAAGTAAGTAATACCGTGGTTTGAAAAATGTATGAATCTCAAACGTCCTCCAGGCTTCTTTGTAGTTTTGGACAAGATACATTCGATAGCTTGGCTTGCTCAGTGAATGAGTTGTGTCAGTTACAGCATACGGATAAGTACGCAGAAATTTCTGTACTATCTATTTTTTTGAAGACTTTCCTTATCTTAGTGCCAATGGGCAACGCTTGTCTTCTTTGTTACATGTTATATGTGATTCTATGCTTTCTTTTTTATATGTGGGCCTTCATAGCATTATGCTGATATATTGGGTAAGGACAGTCTCGTTGAATAGGAAGAGGAATGAAACTTGGCATATAAGGTGGTTACTCTTAATGTTGCTATTAACAGTCACAATAATGCCCTTTTAACCCTCTTAGTTTCCAACCAGTTTGTGGAAGTAAAGGGTTCTGTATGTTTGCATCGTGAGATTTTTCGTATCAAAAATGCTCAATTCGAATTTAGGTATTCAAAGCAATACGACTAGAAAACTTATTTCAGATATCATGTGCAGATTCAGTGGAAAGGTTTCAGCTATGTGTATTTCTCTCTGTAACATGTTTTCAGAGTCAAGGAAAGAGCATCATGTTATTCATATGGTTGTTTATGATTGATGCGTTGTTATTGTCCTTATTGATATGTTTTAGGTTGTTAATGTGGTTTGCAGAAACCTTGATAGATTGGATCAAACATGCGTTTGTGACCAAGTTCAACGGAATATCCTACAAAATCTATCAACAGTTCTCTTTAGCTATATGTATGGAAATTGTGCAGGTATGTTGCACGAGTTGCTGTATTATCGTGTTTGACAAGATTTTTTAGTCAAAATTGGAAAAGTCTAAAAAGGCGCTGGGTGTTGGTTGTTTATCGAAAAAGGTAAGTTGAATATGCAAAGTAGTTTATTACATGTTTTCTAATCGTGTGACAGATTGGCTTTGTCAGTCTTCCTTTAGGATGTTTGACGATACGTATGACGTGGAAAACATTCATAACGTTATCATGGGTTGGACGTATTTGCGTTTTATTCTTATTGTTGATATGGAAAGTGAGTCGAATCAAAGTCTTTGTTTTGTTGTATATGAACGGACAATTTTAGTTGCTGATTGATATATGTTTGACAAGTTTTGCAGTGGATACTTTGAAGAATAATATACAGGATACTCCAGGGGACTTGGCAGACAAGAATCATACTCTTGCCGAAACACTGCAACATGTGCGTCGCTACGAATTTATTCAAGGAAAAGGAACAATTCATTAGAAACTTCAAATTTTTTTGAATATTGATTCATGTTCGAAATGAAGATTGTGGACGGCGCTCATCTTTCATTATTATTGCAAGCTGGTACGATACATCGCCAACAGGAATGCCTTTTCTCTTATGTGTTGTTGGTATGACTGCCTGTATAATGTGTTGGACCTCCATTGTTCTCGAATCAATGCACGGATAGTTATTAGTCATTGTGCACATTATTTTATAAATAATCATCGTTCATCTTTATTTTGAGAATGGATACAATTGTATCATGTTGTGAAAATCATAGGATGAAGAATTTCCTTCATCACAATTGGGGAATTTGTTTCAGAACCGATGGGATCCTCCAGTTTTGTTTCCGTTCATCTCATCAAAACTTCAAACCAGCGACCGATCAACAGACATAGGTTTTATTCGTTGCCTCCAACAACCAAAACTTTCAATTGTAACGTTAAGAGAACGTTGTCCATCCGCTGTTGTTCGTCAGGTGACACTAGTCAGTCAACCACGACGGATTCACAAAGCACAACATCAGGTCGCGATGCCCAGGCTTCGAAAAAGCTATATCGAGTGATTGATTATCCAATTCATACGGAAGCTTATTTGGGTAGCGAGCATATACGAGAGTCTTTATGGAAGTATACTTATGAACGAACACAACGAGAAGAAGAAGCCGACCGTAACTTGGAACAGTTAGCTGAACAGTTCAATAGTTTGAAAAAACAAGTAGAAGATGCGTTACGGGAACAAGTAAGGGCTTCGTTTTTGGTTCCTTGGTAAAGTATTATGTTGTTAAAACAACCCAAGGGAGTGGATCCGAAGGAAGCTTTTCAAGAGGCTGATGCGATATTTACGCCTGCAGAAGAAATGACGAAGGATCCTATTGAAGCTTCTATTGAAAGGGGATGTCCACCGGATGATATTGATTTGGGTGATTATCCTTATATAGACGTTCCTGACATTCCAGAAAACTTGGAGTTGGAAAACCTGGGATGGGTAAGGGAGCTGTCAATCGTTTACTGCTAAAGTTGGAATACGAATGATTTTCTTTGAAAGGTTGGTCTAAAGGAGCTTGGAGCGAGTCCACTTCCCGAGATGATTGAAGACATTCAAGCTCGCCGAAGTGGTGTGGTTGGAGATACTCGTTCCCGAGTTGATGAAACCTCTTCGTTGGAAGAAGAAGGAGAAAATGGTGAAGATACAGATTTCGCGAGCACTTCATTGGTTCCTGATTTTGCTCGTAAGTAAAAATTTTTAAAGTTGGAGAGTAGTTTGTTGATTGGCCGTCCAAGAGGAAAACAAAGTGTATGTGAAGGAAGGTTTAGGTTGGAGAATAGGTTATGAACCATTTTCCATAGGAGAACAATGTGCAACGGTGAGTAATTTAGTTGCAACTCGTGTCAACCTAAGATGGAATACTTCAGGTTGGTTCCAAAGATTATCTTATTACTATGAATAGAGAAGAATTTTTCCACTTTCGTCGTCTTTTGATGTCGTTAGATCACAAATTAACGGATATGACATACCATTCTTCCGAATCGAGTGAAGCATTTTCCAATAGCCATTACGTTTTAGATGAACATGAAAAACTCAAAAGCACAAATGGCATGGAAGACACTCATTTTGTAGAACGTAAGTATTATTGTGTGAGAGAGAGTGTCGAGAAATGGAATCATATTTGTTTCAACGTGTAGCATATCCGATAATGGATTTGGAATCAGATGTCTTACGAATACAAGCATTTGGTCGTCCCTCTTGGTTTTCGTTGCGAATATTTTTGAAAAGAAAGCGTCCTGTTGAATGGTAAGTAGAGAGTGTTTTCTATGAAAGAGTTAGCAGCTGAAGGATTGACAAGTTCATGGGATGCGGAAGCAACTCAAGGTCTTTTGAAAGCTGTTCATGAAGTCGATCATGTAGCAAGTCTTTTCTAGCATAATGAATCACGAATAGGATAACATTGTTTTGATGAATATTTGGATAAAGCTGTTTAGTCTATTTGCTTATTTCCATAGCACGGTTATGTTATCTTTTTCAATCCATACAATTGGAGTGTGCGATGGCTGTTGGTTGGACAAAAGTTTTCAGTCGATGTACTTTGGCAGCCTTGTTAGGAACCTCAATGACTTGGGTTCACTACCAAGTAAGGGCAGAAGAACAACAGGTGTGTTGTAATATTCTTTTGTAAGAATATCCTGAAGTTGGAAGTAGGACACAACTGTGTTAAAGCAACGGGCTGCGATAGTCCTATCTAAGGCCAGGGAATCTCTGTCTTTAGAAGCGTTGTATAAACAAAAAGCTGCACAGATCATCGAAAAATATTATCAACGACAAGGTATATGGTATCGGTTTTCCGTGAATATTGAGTTGAACCGTTATCGTGACAGGACGTTCCAAGTCTGATACTTTGGAAACAGTCGTAGCGGAACCTTTGTCGAGTGGCACTGATGAACAACAAGGCATCCCAGCGTCAGCATTTTTTAGAGAATTGTCCAACACTTCCGTTCCACTTTGTGTACCTTTTGTTATAGTGGGTGGGGGAACTGCAGCTTGGAGTGCTCTAGAGGTTATTTACGAGAAAAATCCATCGGCACAAGTATGTACTTTTTCAAGAGTAAGCTTTGTTGATTGAAACTTGCTCATGGATACCTGTGTAGGTTCTGGTAGTAACAGAAGAGCCTTATGCTCCATACAATAGAACGCCTCTGTCGAAAGAAATGTGGTCGATTCCCACAGTATCAGTAAGCATCGTGATAGCTTTCTGTCATAATACGGTAATTATGATATAGGTACCTAATCAATGGCCAAATGCAAGAGCAGAGTTGGAGTAAGTGGTCTTTCTATGGAAATGATATGACTCTGAAATGGAATAGATACAAGTATCATCTTCCTGGTCAACCGGAAACTTATAGAGCCTCCATTCTCATGAATGTTTCAGTAACTCAACTATATCCCAAAGAGAATAAGATCAAACTTTCAAATGGAATGGAAGTATTCTATCAGAAATTGTTGTTAGCGACAGGAGGAAAGCCAAAGTAAGCAACTGTAATGTTGAGTTGCGCATATATGACGTAATTGCATAACTAGTGTATCGGAACTGATCAATAATTCCTCCATCGATCCATCTATTCATGATAGTATCATTACGTTCCGGAGCATTTCTGACTTTGAACGTTTGCACAATTCTTTCATGTAAGTTGTGAGTGTTTTTTCTCTTTATGTTGCTTACGTCGATTCTTGTTCTCAAAGAAACCCAAAGTATCGCAATATCACTATTCTAGGTGGTGGCTTTTTGGGATCCGAACTTGCATGTTCTTTACAAACTAGGTTAAATCAGGAGCATGAGAGAAATAAGCAAGTTACCTTACTATGCCCGGAAGCGGGTGTCTTAGGAAAGTTTCTACCCCGATATTTAAGTGATTATATCACGAAACAGATGCGACAGCATAATGTAGATGTTCGTCCTGGAGTTTCAGTCTTCGATATCGTTCCTACTACGAGTACTGTATGTGAATGTTTTGTTTTGTATGGCTACTATTCATTTAGCAAGTTTCTTTAGGATTCAAGCGACGAAACCCGTATCCAGTTGCAGCTTTTTGGTTGGAAGGATAAAGAACATATCACAGATCAAGTTGTTATAGCAGTGGGTATAACACCTCGCCAAGAGTTGGCTGAAGAAGCTGGATTAGAAATGGACCCTGTTGCCGGAGGTATTCGTGTCAATGCCGCTATGCAAGTTGAAGGCAATATTTATGCTGCTGGAGATGTTGCAAGCTTTTGGGATCGTGCATTGGGTAGACGTCGTGTCGAACACTGGGACCATGCAGTGGTCACTGGACGAATAGCAGGTGAGAACATGTCAGGAGGTCATGCAACCTACGAATGGGAATCTATGTTCTGGTGCGATTTGGTTGGTTTGAATATCAGCTTTGAAGCAACTGGAATGATTGATGCGTCGCTGAGAACTATTGGGGTTTGGAATTTGAAGAACACTTTCCGTCGAGGCGAGTTTTCAGATCAAGACTTGAATGAAGGAGTGGTTGTAAGTCACTAAATTTGTTTCACATTTTAAAATAAGGTTCTGAATAGCCTTTTTCTGACTCTTCTCCAGTGGTATTTAAGAGGGAATCAAGTTGTCGGAGCATTATTATGGAATAGAGAAGGGAAGGGTTTAGATGTTGCTAGACAAGTCATTGGTTGGGAGTATTCTCTTGAGTCTTGTCATTCTTTTTCTAAACTAGCAATATTAGGTACTAAATTCCAAATTTCCTCCGTGCAGGATTTGACCAATTTGATTCCCGTTCAAGATGAAAGTGGCAAACAAGCTCCTTTTGTAATCGATAGCAGTGTTTTGGGTAGTCACCAAACTGCGAGTCCTTGATAAATGGAAGGACGAACGTGTAGATGACAAATAAATGATTGATAAAAGCGCCAAGTTTAATGAAATGGCCTTATATTTGTTTTTGTAATGGAAGTTGATATGAAATGACAAGTCTGTGTTGAAAATTTTCATACGATATTTTGATACTATTTTACTTGAGAATTCCTTTTTCTTTGAATCCAAACGAACTGGAAAGAAAATTATGATCAGACATGCAAAATTGGCGCCATTGATGCGGCCATAGCATTTTTTTTTCAAATCTTTGGTTCATCTGGAATTTTCCTGATTTTGTAAGACGACAGAGTTTGTCAGAGTTCATTTCTTGAAGGTATCTTTGGACAGAATACTTAAGAATAACTTGAAGACTTTCATATAATCACTGTTGTTGTGCTCTCAGCTGTATTGAAGTCATTTTTCAATTCAGGACTTCCATAATAAGTCACAAAGCTCTCCTATCATTTGAGAACAAAATTCAGATGAGGTTTGAGAGTACTTAAACATCGCAAGCTTTCAAGTTTTTCTGAAATAATATTGTGAGGGAGATGCTTATGAATTCACAGATTGTTTCTCCCCTCCCCATTCATTCCGTGACCCTCTTTTTTGCTGATATGTGGATATTGCTGGTAAGAAATTTCTATTGGAAAACATAGGGCTTGTTATAGGGCTCCCTGTATTATTAGGGAAAGATATGTACTTGGATTGTTTTTTTATTGATTGGAACGTATCTATTACCTCTTATTTGGTTAACTTGTTTCTGTAAGCCACAAGACTTGAAGCGAAAATATGGTGCCACTTGGGCCTTGGTAACCGTAAGGATCGTTCGGATTTCCAAGAATAGTTGCTTGACATACTATAGGGTGCTAGCCAAGGTATTGGTAGAGCAATCGCTTCAAAGCTTTCGTCTCAAGGACTCAACGTGGTTTTGGTTGCTATCGACGATGACCAGTTGGAGACTGCAAAGAGACAACTGAAAGCAGAGTTTCCTCGTCAGGAGTTTCGTTCTGTTGGAGTAAGTTTTTTTGGAAGTTTTTTTGGAAGCAACCTTATTGTGACAAATCTTCAGGTGGATCTTTCGGTAGAACCTCACGTTTATATGAACAAAATTATGCAAGCCACTGAAGATATTGTTGTACAAGTGGTTTTTAATAATGCCGGATATTTATCTATGGGGTTTTTCAGACATCAAGATGTTGAAAAGTTGATAGGCAATTTGGTATGTATGTAGTTGAGAATGAGAAACTTGAGTTCTCAGTTACATTTGATTTTTTTAGGAATGCAATGCGTTGTCTGCTATTCGTATCACACATCATTTTATGAAACGAATGATTGAGCACGGTTGTCCCGGTTGTATTTGTTTTACTGCCTCAGCAGTCAGTTTTCTACCTTCTCCTTTTGCCAGTATGTATGGTAAGTTTGACAAAATTGATATACTTTGGAATAGATCCATGACCAGGCCAAAACTATCTAAGGAGCTAGTAAAGCCCTTCTTTCTCATTTTGCCGCATCACTTGCTGTTGAAGCAAGAGATAATCATATTGATATTGTAGCTCTTCATCCTAGTTATACCAGAACCCATCTTTATGCAAATACTCCCAAGGTATTTTCAATTTTACATTTTAGTGTTCATTGTTCTTATTATCGATGCTAGTTACTTATTCTCAACTTTTTGGATCGTTTTGCTGCCACACCAGAAGAAGTTGCAGAAGTATTGATTCATTCCGCTGGAAGAGTTATTTTGAGAGATACCGGAGGATATGCTGTGATCACGAAACTTATATCTCGAATAGTAGACATGGGAGTAATAACTTATTTTATGATGATCGCTAGAAAATGGCTTCCAGAATATCGAGCATTTTCCAAAAAAGCATAAAGTTTATCTATGGATTGGTTTTCCAAGTTGTTATTACACTTTTGTTACATGTCAGTTGAGTCATGGAAGAAATGGCAGACACGTGCCTTTGGGGATATTTTGGGAGGACTTTTGATTAACCTCCCTTTCCACCGTCCATTCGATTTTTTGGTTTGCAGTGTTCTCGACGTTTAGTTGAAAGATTGGAAAACCGAAATGACAGCTGCACAGTGTCGTTCCGAAACAAATGACTTACCTCATAACCATAGTACCCATATGGAGAGTGCACAGGGTTTCAAGGAGTATCTTGTTCCCCCAAGCGACTGTATATCTGCCTTCAAGTATAAGAAAGTACAGGTTCCTCCCAAAGATCTTAAGCTGTCTGATGTAATGCAGACTATTCCTAAAGAAGTGGGTAGATTTTACATGTGCTTGGTTTCTCCAATTATCTATATGTGCTAGGTTTTCAACAAAGATCCTTGGAAAGCCAGTTTCTGTGTATTGCTCACAGTAATTGCCTCCTCTTTAGGAATTTTTTGGATACACAAGTCTTCATGGTTCTTTTTACCTTTAGCTTGGTTTTATACCGGTACAGCGTGGACTGGTCTTTTTGTTATTGCTCATGACTGTGGTCATCGTGCGTTCGCGAAGAGTAGGCTCGTCAATGACATTGTTGGGACGTTATCTTTATTACCTCTCATATATCCATTTGAAGCTTGGAGAATTCAACACAATATTCATCATCAAAATACCAATCTTTTGGATATCGACAATGCTTGGCAGCCATTTCAGACCACTCACTGGGAACAAGCAACTAGTTTTCAAAAGTTGGTGTTTCGCATCGTCAAAGGACCTATGTGGTGGTTTGCTAGTGTTGGGCATTGGTTAAAATATCATTTCAATATGGGATACTTTAAGGATAGCCAAAAAAAACGAGTTTTGTTTTCTTGTGCACTAGTTGTTGTGTTCTTTTTGATAATGACAACATTCTTAGTCCATCTAACAGGCTGGTTGGGTTTTGTGAAGTATTGGTTAGTTCCATGGATTTTTTATCATTTTTGGATGAGCACTTTTACAATGGTTTGTATGATTCCCGACAGATATATCTGTTGCTTACCTGTGTACTAGATTCATCATACTGCACCGCATATTCCATTTCTAACTAAAGAACAATGGTCTAATGCTCGTGCATCATTGGGATTGACTGTTCATTGTGATTACCCTTTCTGGATTGTTTTGTTATGTCATAACATTAATGTGCATATTCCGCATCATATTTCAACACAGATTCCTATGTACAATCTGTGGAAGGCACATGATGCTCTTAAACAGAAATGGTCACCATATATGAATGAGGCGCAGTTTGGTTGGACGTTGTTATCAGCCATTATCCGAAGATGCCATATTTATGATGATGAGCTGACCTATGTTTCATTTCCCAAAAAGAATATTTCCAATGCAAAAAGTCTATAGAAACAGAATTGGATAGTAGGTCTCTTTATGACTTGGTTTTTTGTTTTGCGCAAGCATTTTATTTCTATTTTTGTCGTTGAAGAACAATAACATTGCAATTTCTTTCTTTTTGGTAAATAGATCGTTGCTTTCCATGAGAATATGGGATTGAGAAAGTATTGAACAAAGAGAATGTATTCCATGCTTTCCTATGATGTTGGTTATACAAGTAACACTCTTGCTTTTATATCCCTCCTCCCATATGGGAACAAGATATTATGTGGTAGCCACTCGACTTTAAAAGGAAATCTTGTTGGTTGTTCTGTAGTATACTCACATATTCCATTCAAGAATAAGCTTAACAAGGGTATAAAGCTAACGAAAAGTATCTTCTCGGTCAACATGTGCTCTCAGAATAATACTAGTAAAACGGAAATGAATCCTACGTCTCCTCCCCTGTCTTCTTCAACTTTTTCAGACACTCGGTACTTGGCCTTTTTATTGTGGAAGAATAGTTGGATTTCCTGGTGGGCACAGTTGGTATTATCTGTGATTGCTGGAGTTATTCTGTTATTCGCAATGTCGGTAACGCCCATTCGTTCTTCTACTACTTTGGTGCGGTCGTCTTTGATTGGTTTGTTATCGGCTTGTATAGCATTGACTTTTTGTTTTTTATCTGTGTTATGGACTTGGGGATATACACGATGGAGTGTCAAGTTACAACAAGGTGAAGAAACCACCACTGCGATGAATAAACTGGCATCTTCCATACAAAGTGGCATCCTATTGACCGTAGTGGGAATGTTTTTTACGGTTATAGCAGCACAAGCTATTGTTGGACGTTTGCTGGCTAAAATTTTATCGGCAGGACTTCAACCTTCTCCTTTGGTAGTGAATAACCAAACTGCTATACAACCATTAGATATTTTCATCGTACAAGCCAATACCAATATTCTGTTATCACAATGGATATCATTAACCTTTGGGTTGTGGATGGCACATAAATTGAAAGCTCATCGTGACAAAAAATAAACCAACGTGAAATGCATTCTTTATGAAGCAGTCATTATTCATGCTTTTTGGAGGCTGATAAACCACGAGAACGACTTGAAGCTATATCACCACCACTATTGGGGTAATACTGAGCCCAGTCATTCATATTATTACTGATCGATTGGTTATCTCTTGATACATTATAAACACCACCACTATTCTGATTCCAAGTTCCTTCCGGAACATAAGGACGATCTAAAAAGTCATCCGTATCATTCAATGCAGAGGAATATGCATTGTCCAAAACAGTAGTATTAGAAGGAGGTGGTAAAGCAGAGAAATCGTTCCAATGGGTAGTAGAACTATCAGGAGTCTTTGTGGAAGTTAAGGGAGCACTGGAAGTAGGTGCAGTAAAAATATCACTAGACCAAGAGTTTCCATGATGATTGGCCATCCCAGAAAGTTGTCTGGAAGGATGAGATACATTGGGAGATGTAGAAGGAGGAACATAAGATGGCGAAGACTTGGATTTGTTTCCCTTTTGACGTTCTTGAAGAGTATTTCTTAAATAGTCCATTTCCCATTTTTTGGAATCCAACTGATTGCGCAAGTGATGTATTTCTTCTTCCAAATCTTGATATTCTTTTTCCACTTGTGACCATTCAAGCCGGGTCCTTTCTAGTTCTTCATCTGCTTCACGTGTCTTTCGTACAAGATCAGATGGGTTCTCTTGCCAGGCTGCAGCTCCAGGTCCATAAGATGCATAGATAACTGAGGAAGATGGGTTATATGTTCGACTTGTCATATCAGGCATCATCGAGGACTGGGAAGTCTTTCCAGTTTTTCTTGCAAATGGAATCTTTTTTAGTCTTTCTGGATGTAAACTCGCTGGCAAAGATGGAGGCAATGGGTATCCTTGCTTCGAACCATTTACCAACGCCATCGCTATACGAAACTCGATATAGTCAAGTTTCCCATCCACAGTGACATCCGCTAATTCCCATATCCTTTTCAACACAGGACGAGGTAACCCTGACTCTGCCAATTTTCCAGCAACTTTGGAACCTGCCAGAAAGCCTTTTTTGGGTTTGTCCATTTCTGCAAACTGGTGATCTATTTTCTTGCAATCTGCAGGTTTTAGTTCCCAAAAGTCTTGTTGCATTGTTTGGTTAGGATAACTTGCAGGACCACCTTGTGGAGGAGGATGTGTCAAGTTACTAGCTGGATACATATTCATCGGTATTGGGGGATGTGACGGTTCATTGCTGTAACCTTTGAGTTCGGGAATCAAATCCTTCCCTATCAACTGCTTCAACGTCTTCTTGGATACTTCATAACCCAACTGTGCAATTGCCAACAGTCGAAGAGCTATGTAGAATTCGTCTCTACGCAACTCACCAGCACTACGATAGTCAGCAATATCCCAAATTTTTCTCAAAGTGGCACGATCCACGTTCACTGCTCGTCCAAAAAATTGCACAGCGTCTCTACCTAAAACGGTACCCGAACCTTTGGAAGCTTCACGAAAGAGCATTGCATACTGTTGTTGTTCTTGTTGGCTCAGTTGTAAATATTTTCGAATTCCTGGTATATTATGTGAGTTTCTAAGAAGCAGACAATTCTAGAGATGTTATATAGTTTTACCTTGTTCTTTGCCGTGCTTTGTTTCATTTCCGCTTTGTTCAAAAGTCAAGGCTGGAAGTGCGTTGGGAGGAGGTGCTTGTTGTTGTCTCATAGCGCCAGAACCAGGGAACATAGGATATAGTTGTTGTTGTTGTTGCGGTAAGGGATACATACCATAAGGAGAATTCATAGCATAATTGGTTGAAGGAACAGGAGGAGGTTGGTACATTCCATAAGGTCCTGCACCATACGTAGTACTTGTTCCTCTTCCATATTGGGAAGGAGGGTAACTTGGAGGTGCGCCATATGGTTGAGGAGGAACGCCAACTCCAGGACCACCTTGGTAATAATAAGGATTCATTTCCTACTAGGATAATATAAGAGTTCTTATTTTCACCAGCAGTTGTGTTGGATATCACAAAGCCTAACCAGTTGGATTCGTCAAACCCAAATGGGCATCAACCAAACCACATTCTCTAACACTGCAAAATGGAATTTGGGTCTTGTTGCTTCTTCCCTATCAGAAAACTGTAAACTTTCAAAAACAATTCAACACCACCGATCAAGTTGGTGAAGAGCCCATGATATATTGCTGTTGAGTTGCATATTTGTCCCGGAAATGTCTGTGAGAATAACTACACAACTTCCTTAAAGGGACAATCGCTCTAGTCAATAACAACTTTCGAGCTTACTTGTGATTTCATTGCAAAGTGACTCAGAAACTGTAACGAATTGAATGTCGATAAACTTTGACTATTCTTGTTCAGCTTGTTGTTCTTAGGAGAACAACGCAAAGCTTCTCAAGGAATGTCTGGTATTGTTTTGTTTGAATAACATTACATTATAAAGAACCTACTGATAAGGTTCAAGAGAGAACGATAGTTTTAGCAATAGTAGCTCATTTCGAAAAATTATCTCTAGGGTTCCTTGTGTTTTCTTGATAGAAATATGAATATATATTCATCAATCTGAACGATGAAAACACACAACTGAATTGCCGCATTTTAGATTCTTATTGCGACGAGATTGTATGGAGCAAGAAGCGCTATTGAGCTGGGTACAACTCCTTCCTGAAGAACTGATTGCAAAAGTGATTGAACAAGCAGCAGAGTGCAATTTAGCTAGTCTTTGTTTATTAAGAAATTGTAATAGGCAATTTCGAAACATTATTGACCGCTTTTTGTTGTCCAAGTTGGAAGAGTTGGACGCCCGCAGTTTTCGTGATCGGTACGTAAATATTTCTCAGCTCTATGCAACCTTTCAACGCTGATTTTACTCGATAGTTCAAAGTCTTGTGTATATAGTGTCGAGAAAGTTCACTCACTCAAATCTTTTTTGCAAAAATGTGTCCATATTATCAAACTAGAACTAACTAGAGTTTTTTATGCCGTAGACGATACCTTACTAGGGCAAATTGCAAACTCTTGTAGCCAACTCAAAGTGCTGGATCTTAGTTATTGTTATCACATAACTGACAAAGGCATTTCATCGGTGCTAACTCTATCAAGTTTGCAAGTTCTTACCATTCGCAGCTGTCCCAATATTACCAGCAAGGCTTTTCAACTGTGTTCGGAGTTGTATTATCCTGAAAATCTTACAACCCTGAACATTGAATGGTGCCCCAATTTGAGCTATCCAGTGATGTCATATCTGATAAAGTTTCGTGGATTGAAGTGTTTGAGTCTGAGAGGATGTGAAAGTGTATCAGATGATTGCTTCCGTGCCATAGCCCATTCTGAAACTGTACCATGTCTCCAATATTTGGATATTCGATTTTGTATGATTGGAGATGCCGGATTGATGGTCATAGCACGCCTCTTTCGACAATTGGATAAACTTTTGTTGGGGTCGAAAACACATAATCTTTGGCCTTGTGGTAACTGGACTTTGAATGGTGCCTCTGAAGTTGCTACGATTTTGCCGTGGTGTAAAATAATTTATTCTTAATATGTAGGAACATGGAAATACCGTTTTAACCGTTTTCATCATTTGACTTCGATTTTTCCAACTGCTTGAAAAATTGATATCTGGTCCATCCATATAAAAACCCACCCATTGTGCTCATAAGGAGCCCTATTATATATGAATGATTCAAAGTTGCACCTCCGAAAGTGAAAAGCCCGAACAAAGTTTGAAAAAGGGATTTGATATGTCCACAAACCATCGTATTCGTCGGTGTTGTTCTTTGAGAACATAAAAATTGTACGAAATTCAACGCGATACCAGCAACAGAAGAAACAATCACCAATACTACAAATGTCCAAGAAGTAAATGCATCGTATTGTGCGTATCGATATTCACCAGAGAAGAATACCAAAAAGATCAACAGGATGAATGAAAAGAAGCTATGATAATAAACAAGTCCAAAGATGCCCATATCACTCTCAACTCCTGATTTCTTCACAAGTACTAAACAACAGGCTTGTAATAGGCAGCTCAATAGGCCATACAGCCAACCATCAGCAAGACTATGTAAGTCACTCTTACTTGCCAAAATGGCTCCAAATATCATCATAATTAACGTTCCATATGTCTGAAGTGTATATATTTTTCCTAAAACAAGGTACTCCATCGTCACAGTGGCCAGCGGTGCTAACCGTTTCACGACACCATATGAAGGTATCGAAAGGTCGCGAAGTGAGTTTAGAGCAACAACAGCATTGGCACAATAAAGGAAAGATATAGGGAATATTCGTTTAAACAAATCCCAAGAAAGGGTCGGAAAGTCAATCAAGCGAAAGTTCTCCTTGGCTATTCGAAATATGAGACAGCTCATGGCCATTTGAAAGATAAGAAGGATACTTGATGAACGAAAGAGAAATGAGTAAGATACTGCCTTATTGACAAAGACAGCAGATAGAGATATGAGTATATAGGCAAAAGAAACTGTCAGCTGCAAGAACCATTCCTTTTGTGGCTTCATCACACAAAGACGATGACGCTTCGTATCCAATTGAAAAAGTTGGCGCCAAACGAAATTAGTCGTCTGTGAGAAACGAAGCATTCCGCTCCGGTGACTTTAATTTGCAAATTGTTCATTTATTCAACTTTAAGAAATGTGTTAAAAACATCTACTGTGGTTTCTCGGGATTCTCTTTTGTATATAGCATGTCAATGCTTAGTTTAGCATGGTTCCTCTACTGGCTACTCCATTACTTTTTTAATATCCAAGTTTTTCACCACCAACTTGATATTTCAAAGTTATCGGTATTTTCTTGGCATAGAATTGACATCTCATTTGTTCGTATTAAAAAATACAAATTGTTTTGGTCAGAGAGCTTTTGCTTGTAATGAATACGGCACAACTATATTTATATCCATTAGAACACCTGAATATGGAAACTGTTGGGAGCTGAAAAGCTATATATCTTATGAAGCAGTGAAATGTAAAGAAAAAGATGCTGTTCAAAGAATAATCTCCAATATTTCTGTGTTCCAATTGTGGCTATTCTCTGCCTATTTATAGATATAGGGATGCAAAACTTTCTTTGTGCTACTTTACCGTCGTCGGAATTGCTTCTGCTGAGTTGGTCTTCTCTCCCATGCTGCATTCTGGGTTAACTTACACGGAATTGAATATCCCCTGAGAGATTCCTTTGGATTCGGAAATTCCTCGAGCTCTTTAAATTCTTTGTAAGAATGGTGTTGTTGGATTACTGAGCAACAGTCCACAGGATGTCTTGTATCACGCATTCTTTGAAAAGTTCTGCTTTGAACAACATCATCTTTGCAGGTGTGGCCTTTTCAGCTGTTGGATATGCAGAATATGTGCTGACCATCTTAAATATCTATTTTCCTGTCGAATATCCTGAAACATATACTAGTCAGATGAGTTCTCGAGTGAGCGATGCACTTTTAGTAGGAGCTATCGTAGGACAACTTGTTCTTGGGATAGTAAGTGATAGAGTCGGAAGAGAAATCGGTCTTGTTATCACCACAATTTTAACCATTGTTGGAACTTTACTCTGTGCTGGTGCCTATGGATATCATAATTCCACCAATGGTATGTTCTGGGCTCTAGTTGTATACAGAGGAATTGTTGGGGTTGGAATTGGTGGAGAGTATCCCTGTGCAACTACTAATGCAAGCGAAGCTACGGAAGAAAGAAATTACAACAAGAGAGGTCTTTATGTCTGCCTAGTATCCAATGTTTCTTTCGTATTTGGAGGAATCACTTGTATGCTTGCTCAGCTGGTTTTATTCAAAATATTCGGTATCGAAAATATGGAACCAATCTGGAGAATATCCTTTGGACTGGGAGTCATTCCAATGCTTACTGTCTTTTACTTTCGTTTAAAGATGTTCAACTCCAAAAAGTACTCAGAAGAAGCCATTCTCAAAGATCCTCCATATTTATTGGTCTTGAAAGAATATGCATTTCGCCTAGTTGGAACGTGTGGTTCGTGGTTTGTATACGATTTTGTTGCTTTTTCAAATGGAATCTTCGGGGGGACACTTGTCAAACAGCTCATTCATGCCGATACGATATATTCAGTACTCTTCCAAGCAACTTATTACACAATAATACTGGCTTTGTTTGGCATTCCTGGTGCACTTGTTGGGACTCTCACTATCGATCATTTGGGAAGAAAAATGCAACAAATCATCGGGTTTGTAGGAAGCGCCATTTTTGCAATCATCATAGGGGCAGCTTATCCACAAGTGAAGTCTTCTGTCGGTGCTTTCATCACGTTATATGGCATATTTAACTTTTTTGGAAATTTCGGTGCAGGCTGTGCTCTGGGTCTAATACCAGCGGAAATCTATCCTACTGCAGTAAGAGCAACATGTTATGGAATTTCTGCTGCTGTTGGCAAAGCAGGAGGTGCTATAGGAACTCAAGTATTTCGACCCATCATGGATAGCTTTGGTGGTGAAGACTCTATCAATGGTCCTCGTGCTGTATTCATTATCAGTGGAGGTTTGTCGCTATTAGGTGCCATCATTACGTGGTTCTTCATTCCAGAATTCAAACGCATCTCGTTGGATAATGAAGATGAAAGGTTCCGTGCACTTCTGAGACAACGAGGCTTTCCTATGGAACGCATTGGAACCAGCAAGAACAAAAGCAATGCGATGGAAGACGAGCTGACTTGTTCTGAAAAGGAGTCTTAGCTTATTTAGACGCTTCAAGAAAGTGGTCTACTGTAACTTGGCATCTGCTTCTCTTCATGATGATAAGTTACGTCGTAGTTGATACTCGAAGTACGCATTGCTCCAGTTGTATTTGAACTAGTTAAAAGGACTACTCTTTCCACCATCTTTGTTTCTCTACCAGAGTTGCGTTGCCATATTGGTGTTTTCATTCAATGCATTTTTTTGAATTCTAGTCCGGAACACGATAACCACTGACTCCAGTTGAGGCTACGCTTCCAAGCCTTGAATAGAAGAATCAGTTGAATAAGAAGCCATTCACGACACACTAATGCATGAAACAATTTGGCCAACAATGGTCTCTTTTTACAAGAGTCGATTCGTATATGAAACGACTAGAGTAGCCAATCAGATAGCAACTATCGAATCTTTATGGAATCTTTGAAATGGTGATTGAAAAGCAACCCCTTTGACTAATTTTCAATGCTTCGGGTTGCATAATTATCTATTTGTAACTGCATTTTCGTTGTTGCGAGAAAACAGAATAACCGTTTCTGTTTTCTGCAACTTATGACAGAAGTCAGTTTTTTAGAAAATGGATACGGAAACGGAAAAGACAACAGAAGAGAAACAATCGTCGTTGGGTGACCTTCCTAGAAGAAGTCCACATATAGGACAAGAAGAACAAGAAGAACACTACTTGAAGGACCACAAATCCGTGGAAAAAGTAGGAAAAGTGAATTTATCCACTCCGAAAGAATCAGAGAGTCCAGTTGGTTGTGATGTTGCGGAAGTCAATACCAAAGATTTTAGCACTATTCAGAACATTCAACCACAAAATCTCATTGGAAGAACTGTGAAAAGCCCAACAATCGATTCACAAGAAGATATTGCACTAGCGAGGGAAGCAGGAGTTCCAGAAGCTTCTCGAACGGTTTCTGTTGTAAATGTTCAAATAGCTGTACCTCTTAACGTGTCAATGGATTCTTCAAACGCGGAGCCTGCAGAGGTTTCAAGTGTTTCTAGTGCAAGTTCTGCGGCAGTTACTGCGGCAACTATTGGCAAAGATGCCTGCCTTAGACTATTGGACGGCAAGGAATATATTGTGGTACCTCCTGAACCAGTTTGGCAGTGTCCACATGATATTGGTAAACTATCTAATCAAGAGGCTTCATTTAATACGGACGTCTTTAAACAAGAAGGAGAAGAACTTCATTTTAACTGGCGAGTGTTAGAATTGGCCGTGCATCCGACCACTGACACTCCCTTGTTAGAAAGATTAAAGTTCCTATGTATAGTTTCGTCCAACTTAGATGAATATTTTGCGAAGAGAATGTTTGACATAAAAACTGGAGACCCTGCATTATATGCCACTCTAAGTGAGAAGATTCATCAACTCTGCAGAATTCAGGAAGAATGTCTTTTAGAAGATATTCTTCCAGCTTTAGAAGAGTGTCATATGCATTTGACAAGATTTCGAGACTTGACTCGCACACAACAGGAATCTATGTGTTTATATTATAGGGAAAAGGTTTTCCCATTATTGGTGAGCACGACGTTCGTTTAGATGTCTTTTACGCTAACTGTTTCCTTCATACCCAAATATACTTGTTTTTTTAGACTCCGCTTTCATTGGATACAACGCATCCGTTTCCTTTATTAAGAAGTCACAGTTTATATTTAGCTGTACTATTACAGTCAGAAGAAGAAAAGAAATTAGGGAGATTTGGACAACCACATTTCGCTTGGCTTAGAGTTCCTAATAGAGTTCCAAGGTTTATATCTCCAAATGACGATCCTTGCAAATTTCTTCCCATTGAAAGATTGATCTTGCACAACTTGGATACTGTATTTGAAGGTATTTGTCTTATTGTCTCCGTTATTAAGGTTTGTAAGGCATTCTTGATATAGGGATGTACATTATTTCTACTCATCCATTTCGAGTAACTAGAAATACCAGCTTAGATTTGGACAGTATCTATTTGGATGAAGATGAAGATTTTCTTCGTGTGGTAGAGGAGAATATACTTAAGAGACAGAGAAGAGCAGCGGTTCGGTTAGAAGTTTCTAGTGATGTGCCGGATGCTCTATTAACTGTCTTGAAGGAGCAGTTAGATTTAGATGATGAATCTGTTTATTTTGTCCGTTCTCCTATTTTAGGCTTAAAGGACGCTTTTCCACTTTCTCAACTGAAAGTATTTCCCGAGTTGAGATATCCAAAATGGGAGTTTCATTCTCATCCAACTTTAAAGATGATGAAGGAACGAAATATTTCATTTTTTGATGCTATGAGACGCTCAGATCTTTTGTTTCGTTTTCCATTTCATTCTTTTGATGAATCGACTTTAACTTTTCTTCAAACAGCTGCTAAGGATTCTTCCGTTTTTTGTATCAAGATTGTTTTATATCGTTGTGGAGACAATTCTCCTATAGTTGCTGCATTAGTTGAGGCAGCTCAACGTGGAGTGGATGTCAGCGTTATTATTGAACTTAAAGCAAGTTTTGATGAAGATCAGGTACTGCAACGAGTTGCATAATGCAAATTTTATATCAACTTGATGAATTAGAATGTATTGTATGCTAGAATATTGCAGAATGCGGGATGTAATGTTGCATACGGTGTCAAAGGATTGAAGACACACGCAAAAGTTATTCTCGTTATTAGAGAAGAAAATTTAGAAAATGGTAACATTTTTTGTATTTTTGTTGAAAACGAGATGGTTATTATTTGTTTATAGGAAATAAGAAATTTCAGAGTTATGTGAATATTTCCACCGGCAATTACAATGCAAGCACTGCTCGATTGTATACAGACTTGTCGTTTTTTACCTGCAAAGCGGATATTTGTGCCGATGTTCAAGATTTGTTCAACGTGTTTACGGGAATATCCAGAAAGAAATCTTATCGTAAGTTGTTAGTCAGTCCAATGTTTATGTTGGATCAGTTTTTGGACCTCATACAGGTACATTCAGAAGTACATATATTCGATTAAGCGATATTATGATTCTGCATAGGTGGAAATAGAAAATGCTCGAAATGGAAAACCAGCGCAGATAGTAGCACAAATGAATGGTTTGACTGAAAGTCGAATTACCGAAAAGTTATACGAAGCTTCTCAAGCGGGCGTTCAAATTGATTTGATCGTTCGCGGTATGTGCAGAGTCCGACCTGGAGTAAAGGGAAAGAGCGAGTCTATTCGCGTTATTTCTATTCTTGGTCGGTTTTTACAGGTAATGAGATAAATATGTGCACTTAGCCACTGGTTAACTCAATCTTTGAAACTTGATAATGTAGCATGCACGCGTATTTTTCTTTATGAATCATGGAAGCAAACCCAAATTCTTTATTGGTAGTGCCGATTGGCGTTCAAGGAATTTGATTTCCAGAGTAGAAGTGGTTACTCCTATCGAGGTACTGGAAATTCCTTTTTATGGAGACATTTCCCATTTTGATACTTTATATATCATTCATTTAATAGGATAGTCTTCTTCAAAAGAAGCTTTGGAAATATTTACGTCGTCTTAGAACCAATGAGTATGAAGGATGGGAAATGTTGAGTGATGGACGTTATAGAAAAGCTTTGCGTCAAGATAAGTCTCATACTCCAAAAGATGGTGTTGGTGGTGATACCAGTCAAAATATAAATATGGAGGAAGAATCCAATTTTATTTCCAAGTCCCTTTTTGATAGACTATGGTTAGATGACACGGAAGATGATAGTGAACATGAAACTCAGTCTTCTGGAGGCACTTCACGAGAAGAAGAATGGAAAATGAAAAAGCATAAAGACAATCGTGAACCATTACAGGTTTACAAAGCTGGTTGTATTGCAGTTCGCGTCAATTCCAAAGGAGTCAATCAGATATTACTTATTACGGCACGAAATCGAGAAAGTATGTTGGAAGGAGGAGAAGCAGATGCCTGGGTATTACCTCGAGGGACAGTATTACCCAGTGAAACACCAGCAGAAGCAGCCATTCGAGAAACTCTGGAAGAAGCAGGAGTTGGAGGAGAAATTGGTAAGTCAAAGTTGCATCTTTTCTATCTCTTCTTAGGGTTTCAGGACCTTTGATATGTACCACACAACAACGCAAAGGAAGGAAAACTATAGAAACCAGTTGGCATTTGCTTCGAGTCGATTCACAAGCTTCCACATGGGATGATGCAGTTAGACGAAGAAGGCAATGGTTTACCTTTACCGAAGCTGAAAGACTGTTGACCAAAGCCCATTTCAGAGAAGCAGTTCAACAAGCCAAGGCAATGTTCAAAGGTTAGTTGTAGACTTATATCTCCACGGAATAGGAACATCATCAGTACGATATCTTTGAGTACATCCTGTTTGAAGAATATCTTTTCTATCTCCATGAAGATATTGTAATAAACCAGTCCAAGCAATCATTGCACCATTATCGATACAAAATCGTTCATCTGTACAAAATGCTTGACCTCCTCGTTCTTGTGCCATACTTTGTACCATCGATTGTAAACGTTCATTACAACCAACACCTCCAACTACGAGTACATCCTTTTGACCACAATGTGCCATTGCTCTCTCCGTAACTTCAACCAACATGGAAAACACGGTTTCTTGTAACGAAAAACAAAGGTCTGCAACAGTATATCCTTGTCGAGTTAACCAGTTATCCAACTGTTCCTCCATCAATGACAATAAACCAGAAAAAGAAACATCCATTCCTTTCACAATATAAGGAAGTTCTATGAAGTGCCTTCCTTGTTTGGCCATCTGTTCGATTTGATAACCTGGACTAGGGTCATTGGAAAGGTTGATGAGACGAGCAAATCGATCCAAACAATTGCCAACTGCAATATCAATCGTTTCTCCAAATATTCGATATCGTCCTTGTGTAAACGAAATAACTTGCGTATTACCTCCACTCACGTACAACACTACAGGATCGCTTGCTCCAGTAACCAATCGACCCATTTCAATATGAGCTACACAGTGATTCACTGGAATTAAAGGCTTTCTCCACAATTGGGAAACCGTACGAGCTGCTACAGCAACAGAACAAAGTGGACCACCCATCCCTGGACCTGAAAACCACCACTTCAAGCTTGCTCAAAAAGGATAACCGGAACAATTTACCTTGAGTAAAACAAACACAATCTAATTGTTCGGGATGTATATGCGCTTGTTTCAGTGCTTCGGCTATGAGAGGAACGATGTGCTTTTGATGATGTTTTGCAGTTTCTCTTGGCAAAAACCCGTGACCCGGTGGAGAAATGTAAGTACGACGGACATTGGCAAGAATATCTCCTGAATAACAATCTATTTTATCAAACGTAAAGTAAACTTGGTTAAAGAATACCTTGTTCAGTAACAATACCAACGCCTACTTTATTAGCACTTCCTTCCAAACCAATAGATAACTTGGCCATGGGTAATCATCCATCCACATAAAGCACTCTCCAAGAACATTCAAAATACTTATGTTTCTCGTCTGTCCGATGAATATTTCCACGTTTTTACCATTTCAAGATAAAACATGAATATCAAAAATAACTTGTGCAGGCTCGGAATCAACCAACAACATTCGAATGAAATTGGCTCTCTCTTTGGCTCCTAATGCTGCAGAGTCTTGATGGGAAATTGGATTACATAACAATAAATCACTAAATATTTCTGGAATACAAGTAAACAAGTAATCTCGATGACTAGAATAACAACGAAGAAATTCCTTTAAAAGCTCCATAAGATATATCAACACATTCTGATGAACAGGTGGTAATAACGATACTACTTGCTTCACTGTATCCAAAGATGCCGATTTTGCAGCAGTAACGCAAGCACCGCAAAATTCTCGTGGAATTACTGGATCCTCTAAATATCTTAAAAATTGACAAAGACAAAAGGCAATACTTTTCCCAGTAATATGGTTAGGAATAGGTTGTCCTGTATCAAGACAATCACGCACTTCCAAGGCCTGTTCAGGATCACCTGATTCGATGAAAAGAAATCCTTCTCCGTAATAACGCCCACTTCTCTCAAGATCTTTTAAAAAGGTTGGACTACCTTCAAAAGATTCCCATGAACCTGCAAAAAATCGTCTTTGCCACAAAACATGTCCCAAACGCCAGATTTCACAAGGCAAGCCTTTTGTCGTTGGAATTCGAGGTCGAAATGCCGCTTTAATGCTTGAAGAATCCGAAGACGCACGAAAAGGAAGATGAGGATGGGCAAGTCTTTCCAGATTGGAACCAAAGCAAGTTTTTTTGTATTGCCCATATATGGAAATAAAATAATCATTACCAAATTCCACATGTAATACTAATGTGCAACTCAATTCTTCATCACCAAATGATAAACTGGATGAAGAACCACAGTCTACATCCACAAGAATGCGGAAATGAAGTTCTATGCTTGTTTGAGGCTCCAATTCACAAGCAGGTGGCGCTACTCTAAGCCAAGAGGGAAAACGACGAGGAGGAAATGAAATCTTAGCTTTTACACGACCCACATTGCTCACTGTTAAGGTTGAAGTTGCAGGAATATTGAATTCCACAAGTCCTAGAGAAATATCTTGACAAGAAAGTGCTATTTGTGGTCGTAATTCATTTTCACGTTGTTCCAACATGCGTTGGACTTCAGCTATCACTTCATTCTTCTTATTCTTGTTGGTTCGCCTGAACTTTGCTTCAAAAAGAGCCATGACCGGACGATGATCGGAAGAATACAGTTCATGACGTTGATAAGCCAGTTGACGAATGTTCGAACTTTGTTTTGCTTTCCATAGCACTCTATCACACCAGGCAGGGGTTCGCTTCAAACCACCTTCTTCCCTCTCTTCATATCCATCTCCAAAAGGTTCGTGTTTATAAGTTGGAGCAAAGTTTAAAATTCCTTCTTCAAAACCTTGAAAGACTGCCTTTGCCTTTCTCGCCAAGTTTAGTTGATCATATTCTCGTAAGTGCTTCCAATCTGCTTGATGAATACTATTCATGACCTAAAACACAACGATGACTTTCCAAAGGACCCTCAACTTGAATTACTAACAGACCTCTTCAGGCGGTAAATTGATTCTATAGTTAAGATCTCCAAGGAAAAATACGAAATCATGATCAGCTACCGTAGTAAAGTTACTTTCATGTGCAATGTTGGGATCCGGTGCGTAAGGAGAATAGGGACTACTTCTTACATCTGGGTCCATAAAAATAGCTTTTCTCATCAACTCATGGAAGTCTTGATTTCTTCGCTCGACATTGTGATCGTGCGCAGTTAGATGACATGAAGCGATACAGAGTGTAGTATCATAGATTCTCATTCTTGTGACTACACCTCCCTTATTTCCACCACGGTTCATAATACCAGTTCCCACTTCTGTTACCATCACATCTCGAGTAAACATTTCATGATCCTTTCGTACAAATACTAACAGCAGAATCCCAACAAGTTGCCTAGACTGAACACACACATATCTTTCTGGAGCAAATAAAGTCATTTCAATTCTATGTTGCCACAAACGACCTCTATTCGTGTCGGTCAATACTGCATTCGTTCCTGACAACTCTTGCACTTCTTGTAAACCTATGACATAAATATCGACATCTCCCAAGCCGATGGAACCAATAAAAGGTTGGTTATCTTCATCCATCATTTCCAGTTTGGAGGGAAGGAGCCAATCTCTTATCTCTATGATTGGCTTTCTTCCGTTTACGTTCCAAGTAGTAACAAATAAAGTAACTGTGAAAGATTCTGTGTATTCAGGTGCCCTTCTTGCTACTTCTCTACGAATCCATGCTCTTCTTGCTTTGGAAGAGTTTAAAATATTTTCTTGTTCGTTTTCAATGTCTTCCAAGTCCTTTGCCAACAAAAATTGAGAACCAACACTTGCATCGGTGGAAGATGCTCTTCTTCGAGTCCCACTGTACAAAAATGGACTCTGTGAGTTATTGGAGGAAGAGGAAGGGGAGTCGTTGTCTGAATTTGAAAAATGAGAGCTTTGGTATCCAGGTCCATAACTCTTAAACGGGCTATTTAGCGGCTTATAGTTTGGAAACGAGTCCATTGTATTCCGAGTGACTCGTTATATAAGTTTTCTTCAGTACGTGGAAGAAAGAATGGCTAACATAAGAGACTCAAGTCCTCCACTTAGCCCAATTCCATTTGAGGGGGAATAAGAGAAGGAACGATATTCTCTAGAAAAATTTGTCTTTTTGATGATGACAAATACAAAACAAGCCATTTCATGAATAAAGAACTTAAAGGGGTTTAGAGAGGAAAAGATATATATAGATATACAGAGGCATGCGTTATTGTAGCTAACAAACTTTCTTTGTAAAGTTGCTAACAATAACAAAACTTCAATAATATTTGTTTCCTATAATTATGGAATATGTTGAAAACTATTATGAAAATACTTTTTACTCCAACTTCCTGTTGGGTCTACAAGTGATGAGAAAGAATGAATGGCTCTCATGAGGTGCCCACATCTTCTAAAGGGTGGTGGAGTCTTGTGTGATTCGGGAATTTCTTTTTTGGATTTTTTTTAGCTATGTTGACAGGTTTCATTTATGTAGTTACTCCTAGAAAAGTAAACGAAAATAGTAAGACTCATCTATCCAAAGGCTGTCAATGTAAGAACACTTTTGGCAATAGGAGACGTTTTACTTCCTCTTCTTCTTCCTTAATGGGAAAACGCGTCGGTCTAACCAATAGTTCGAGACCCAAAGAAAGGACTCAGTATGGAATATTAAATAATATAAAAGCGTCTACAACAACTACAAGTACTTCTTCAAGAGCAGCAACAGTGTCAGATACCTCAAGGTCGGTCGGACTGGACAAATATCGAAATATTGGCATTATGGCGCACATTGACGCTGGAAAAACAACCACGACGGAACGTATACTTTATTACACTGGAAGAACGTATAAAATAGGAGAAGTGCATGAAGGGGCTGCTGTTATGGACTGGATGGAACAAGAACAAGAAAGAGGAATAACGATAACCTCTGCAGCTACCACGACATTCTGGAGAGACCACAGAATCAATATTATCGATACTCCTGGACACGTAGATTTTACATTGGAAGTGGAAAGGTCGCTTCGTGTGTTGGATGGCGCAGTAGCTGTGTTTGATGGGGTCCACGGAGTGGAACCTCAATCAGAAACGGTTTGGAGACAAGCAGACAAATATGAAGTGCCAAGAATATGCTTCGTAAATAAAATGGACAGATTAGGAGCAGACTTTTTCTATTCTTTAAAGACGATTAAGGAGAGACTGGCTGCAAAGCCTCTCGTATTGAATATTCCCGTTGGAAGGGAAGACCAGTTCAGAGGTGTAGTGGATTTGGTGGAAATGAAAGCCATTATCTGGGAGGATGAAACACTGGGTGCCTCTTTTCATTATGAAGAAATACCAAAGGACCTTTTAGAAACAGCTCAGAACCTTCATAAACAATTAGTTGAATTGGCAGTAGAACAAGATGAAGAAATATTAATCAAATATTTGGATGGAGAAGAACCAAGTGTAGAAACTCTTAAAAGATGCATTAGAAAGGGAACTGTAGATGGTGCTTTTATTCCTGTTCTTTGTGGTTCAGCTTTCAAGAACAAAGGAGTTCAGCCATTGTTAGATGCAGTGGTTGATTATTTACCATCACCTTTAGATGTGAAAGCTATTCGTGGAGAGTTGCCTGATGGAACTCGAGTCACTCGTAAATCATCTGATACCGAAGCTTTTGCCTCGTTGGCTTTTAAAATAGCCTCGGATCCTTTTGTAGGGACATTGACATTTGTCAGAATTTATTCAGGAGTTTTGCATAGTGGAAGTGTAGTTCTTAATTCAGTGAAGAACAAGAAGGAAAGGATTAGCAGATTACTTTTAATGCATGCGAATGAAAGAGAAGAGATAAAGGAAGCTCGAGCTGGAGACATTGTTGCTGTTGTTGGACTGAAAGATACTATTACTGGTGAAACTTTATGTGATCCTTCATCACCTGTTATACTAGAAAAGATGGAATTTCCAGATCCAGTCATCAAAGTTGCCGTTGAGCCCAAAACGAAAGCCGATCAGGATAAATTGATGCAGGCTCTTGTTCGTCTGGGACAGGAAGATCCCAGTTTTCGCTTTTCGAGAGATGAAGAATCTAATCAGACCGTAATTGAAGGGATGGGAGAATTGCACCTGGAAATCATTATTGACCGTATGAAGAGAGAATATAAAGTCGAATGTAATGTTGGTGCACCTCAAGTAGCATACCGGGAGACCATTACGAAGAGTTCTCAAGTTGACTATACACATAAGAAACAATCTGGAGGTGCTGGACAATTTGCCAGAGTTTGTATGCGTTTTGAGCCCTTTGAGCCTATCATGGATGAACGAGGCCGTCCCGAGAAGACTTGGGAATTTATTTCGGAGATCAAAGGAGGTTCCGTTCCTAGAGAATATATTCCTGGTGTTATGAAAGGAGTTGAAGGTGAGATTCCGAATGGCGTACTTGCTGGTTATCCCATTCAGAATATACGTGTCTGTTTATTTGATGGTTCTTATCATGAGGTTGATTCATCTGTTTTGGCTTTTGAAATTGCTTCGAGACACGCCTTTCGAGATGGAGTAAGGAAAGCTGGACCTCGTTTGTTGGAACCCATTATGCGATTGGAAGTTGTAACTCCAGAAGAGTTTCTTGGTGATGTATTAGGCGATATTAATTCCCGTAGAGGAAACGTTTTGAATGTGAATGACCGAAGTAATCTCAAAGTTATCCAAGCACGAGTACCTTTAGCGAATATGTTTCAATATGTTTCTACTTTACGTTCGATGTCTAAAGGTAGAGCTTCGTACAGTATGTTTCTAGACGGATATGAGATCGTTCCTCAGCATATTGAAAAGGAATTGTTGAGTAAAGGTGGAGGGTCTTGATACTGAGAATAAATATTTCATTGTGAACAGTGCTATTCGATATTTTTGTTGTTGTGGTTCCATTTCTATATATTGTTTCATATGACTTGATGAGATAATTCATTCTTTGGAGTCTTTCGATTCATGTCATCGATAGTTGGAAGGAGAGAATAGAACGAGACTCCATCTGCCTATTCTAATGGTTTCGCCAAAAACAGCAGGTTCTTGTTGTTTTCTCACATCTATTATGGTAATAACACTATCACAGGACACACGTACTTACTTGGATGGACTTAGGGTTCCTTGACTCTTCTGGTTTTTGGATTGCTGTTGCGAAGTCACTATCCTTTTTTGGGTTTCGAAGGTGATGAGGTACGGTTATAAAGACCCTTTTTATATCCACTATGTAAAGTGTGTAGAATGCTGCAGCTTCAAGTTGTTTTTGGGCTTCGTTTATTTTCTTAATCACTAGTATCCTTTCTATTGTTAGTTATGGAGTTGGCATGTTTCAGGAACGTTATGCAAGAAGAAGAAGAGCCTATTTACCAGTCTGAAATAAAGTTCTCCATTGTGAGCTTTTTGCTGGAAACAACGACAACACAGAGTGATCAAAGAGTTACTCGCCATAAGTGTAAAAGTTTTCTAGTTGAAGGTTTTCTTGATAGATTTGCGTGCTTAAGAGTATATCTCTGTATCACTCTATTTGCCAAGAGTAACATAAGAGTTGGGTTTACTATATATATATATATATATATATATATATGTGTGTGTGTGTGTGTGTGTGTGTGTATGCTATGGCTGGACATGTTTCAACACACTCAAGTATCAGAAGGAGATTGTAGGTTTCAAGAACATATATGAAATCTCTAGTCTGATTCTCAACCTTCTCATCTGCACAACTAGAGAAAAAAAACACAACATGCTACCACGTCATCCTATTTCTTATCATTACTTGCAACAAATAGAAAAATGTATTTTTGAATGCCGAAATGAGTATATCGAATGTCGGTTCTGGTTCCTTATGGACACACTTTAAGCAGCCAGAACGTTGGTCAAGGGACGGTATTTATAGGCTCTCAGGTTGTTGTTTTATGTCGTTTTTTGGTCTGGGTCTAGTTATCGGTTTACTGGGTCCTGCTTTGCCACCCTTGGCAGAAGCCTTAAGTCTCAAGCAGGCTGAAAGTCTAGGCTTTCTCTTCACTGTAAGGGGAGTCGGATACTTTTTAGGATCACTACTCTTTGGCTTTATTGGGAAGAAGCTGAGTTATAGGTCTTTGATTGCTGGTGGGTGTTTGATTTTGGCACTAACTCAAGTTTTGATTGCAGTTTCAACTTCTACAATGCAGCTTGGCTTATTTTGCTTTCTTGTGGGCTTTTTTTCAGGCTTTGTCGATACAGGAGGAAATGCTGCAGTAGGTAGTCTGTTAGCAGAAGATCCTTTGGCAGACACTTTTATGCAAGCACTTCACTTTTCTTTTGGTTTGGGAGCTTTTAGCGCTCCTCTACTTACAGCTCTTCTTTTGAAATTTTCAGGAAGCATTGCCTTGGCCTTCTTTCTCGTTGGTTTGCTTTGCCTCTGCATTGGACTCAGTTTCTTGGGATTGACAACAAGTGAGATTTGTAACAAACCTACAACCAAAGAATTGACTTTGATCAGTGAAGAAGAACGTTGGATGGATGCATCTGTGGAGAATAATACTACTGTTCAAGCCACTCCTTCGACACCACCACCGCAAAGCAACAGAAAGCTTCTTCTTGTTTTGGTTGCTTTTGCTGCATTCTTTTATGTTGGATGTGAAATAGGTTTTGGAGGTTGGATAGCAACATATTCTCTCAACTCACATAGTGTAAGTACAAAAGCTTCAGCTGCTCTTATGGCTTCTGTCTTCTGGGCATCGTTCACCATAGGAAGACTTGTTTCGATTCCTTTATCACTTTATTTATCTTGTCGCTCCATTCTCTTCCTAGACTTGTCACAAGCCATCGTTTCAACTATTTTTGGTATACTAGGTTTCAATCTATGGTTTTGTTCTTCTTTAGTTGGATTTGCCTTGTCATCCTCGTTTCCATCTTCCGTCACTCTGATACAGAGTAAAACGAGTGTAGATCAAGTTTCCACTTCCTGTTTAATGGTAGGAGCAAGTTTAGGTGAAATACTCATTCCTTTTTTGTTGGGAGAGAGTATGAAGGAACTTGGTTTGGAATGGTATTTTCCATTATGCCTCGTTACTGTCTGCTTATGGGGTTTGGGTTTTATACTGGTGTTGATACAACCAAGTCATTATCATGACAATTGTACTAGTTGATGATTATTCTCGAGATCTAACTTGCATATTCCTCCTTTCTCATGCAATGTCAGTAGTCTTGTTTATTTTCTTGTTCGACAGATTATAGTGGAATATTTGATCATGAAGGTTGAGGATATTATTTTGTCTACGAATTCACATTTGTTACCTGATTGAGATGTTCTTATTGCTTGGGTCGAGATATTTCAGTCGACAGGTATGGCCAATTCTTTAGTTGCATAAGAACAATCGACAAAGTTGGTACCACCCAAATTTGTTGTTCCAGCCACTGGAACAGAGCGTTGTACTCTTTGACAAAGACCAGAACCTGTTGTTGTACAATGATATTTGGTACACGGACTATAAGTTTCACAAGTTTGAGAAGTTGGAAACAGGTCAGCATCCACCAGCTTGAGACAGGTTGTACTGGATGTTACAGAACAAGTACAGTACGATGAATTGAATACGTATCGTTCCGCGGAGTTGAGTTGTACTGTAACGAACGCTACTTTGGGTAGCGATGAAAATTCTTCTGTGAAGATGGGTTCTGCTTTGTTTCTTGCTTTCCAAAAAGGTCGACTAGATGGAAGTGTTGAGTATTTGCAAATGAGAAACCATCAAGATTACCTTTCCAACAGTCCTAGCTTATGCTTTAATGATGATAAACGTTGTTTTTCAATCATATGTGTATAATATCCAAAGTCTTTGAATAATGCTGTATTGATTTTTGCCTCGAAGATATCATTTTTGTAGCTAACCCATATTTCAGACTCGGCTGTAATCAAAGTTGTAGAATAAATGAACACAGTCAAGATAAGCAGTAGACAAGTCTTGTAGTAGTACGCCATGGAAGATGAAATGCAAAATGAATTCTCACCACAAATAAACAGCGAATGTCATTGTTAGACAGCACATTTTTGTGTGTGTTGTCCAAACTCTTTCCTAAGGATGGATCAGAAGATAAACTTATATAAAAGAAAAGGAGCAAACAAAAATGTTTATATTTCAACAAACAGAATTCAATATATAAAACTAGGCTACCATGGCAAAACTATCTATCGCAAGCACGCTTCCATTAGAATAGGAAGTATTGTATCTTTCCACCAAAGAACCATTAGAAAAGAAGGTTACGTTCCAGTCAGATTGAATATTTGTCCAATAATTCTACAACATTAATATTACTTTTAGTTTTGAAAAGCCAAATCATTACTTACCGCTATGGGACTAGCTAGGGATATTGCACCATCTAATAGTTTTAATATGACGGATTGGCTGACATTGGATAGGGCTTCCGACTCAGTAAGATTGACAGTCAAAAGTTGCTATAAAATATATGAATGAAGCTTTCATTGGATGAATGTAACGAGGTGCTTACCTTGCAAGTATTGCCACTGCCACAGGAAGAATTGGGACAAAGCGTAATTTTCTGGTAGAATCCAGTTTCATTAGGAAATTGTGCGAAGAGACGGAATATCATTCGAGTCTCGTTTCCATTCGGAGGATCAACAACTGCAGAACTCACGTCGACACCACAAACGTCCACTGTCGTAACATACGATTTTCCAAGAAAGGCAACGTACAAGGAATGGTAAAAGTCTTCACCATACATTATACTAAAGTCATCGGCTACACTGCCATAAGATATCTGGAAACGTTAAGTGTTTCTACAAATACTTTTTGAAAGCGTGCTTACCGACTTGGTTTCAGTTCGAAGGCCCCAAGTATATGGCTTAGTTGGAGCAGGTGTTGGTGTTGGAGTAGGTGTTGGAGTAGGTGTGGCCTGTGAACAACCTTGCGGAACCGGGAAGCAAAATTCAGAAGGCAAAGGAAACATTTGACTAGGAAAAGGGAACGGCAGCTCAGGAATCGGAATGCAAGTCGGTTTCTCCCGAGGAGATGGAACTGGAGGAAAGCTTGGAAAACCAGGGAAGGTTGGAAATCCAGGAAAATCAGGAGGAAGGGGAAGGTTTGAAGGTCCAAGCTGGCTGGGAACTGCTGGAAAAGTTGGAAATCCTGCAAAAGGGGGTTGCACTTTGTCTTGCTTGTCCTTTTTATCCATTCCTTTATCTTTGCCGTGTGCGTGGTGAGGATTCGGCATTCCTAATGGAATTGGAGGAGAAGGAGCTTCAGGAGGAGAAGGAACTGGTGGAGGAGAAGGAGCTTCAGGAGTATTGGCAGGACCACCCGTTAAACCTGGACCAAACCCAAATATATCAGGACCTCCAGGCTGACGACGCAGATTGTTCAGTCGAAGTTCATTTTGCTGTTCTGCAGAAGCTTGTAGACATAAGATAAAAGCACATACAACTAAAGCCAATAGGTATTGAAAGAACTTGAGTTTTGTCATTTTCAGCAAACAACGTGAAAAGTTTCAAGTTGCATAGAAGATGATTTGATGGTTTGAATTTTTAAGCGATAACGAAGAAGACATGTAAGACACGTCACTTGGGAAGGAGAAATGGGAAGCATTTATGATGGGCTAATTGGCATCACAGGGATATTCTTGTTAGCTAGACAGGTCATACTGTCAAATTGGTTTCTAGAAAGGATGGAAATATTCTTAGACACGATTGTATCGAAAATTGAAATGGCGATGCAGGAACTTGGAAGAAAGAAATTCTTGTTTGTAGTACAAGTATTGATGTATATCCATCGTGTTCCAATAGTAACTTGGAAATGTTCAGCAACTTTGTTCATATTACCTTGTATCATTGGAAATAAATTGGAGCTTAGAACAGACAGACTTTTTACGAGTTATGAGATAGCATTTGTTCATTCTCTTTTCATAAATGGAATAGTTACTTGGGACATATAACATCTGTTTCGTTTGAAATAAACATCGAATCATAATACTGTTCGAAATATGTTGTTGCTTATTTCAGATTTGGATGATACTCTGGTATCTCAGACAGAGTCTCTGGTTGCAGATAAAGATTTGGATAACTTTAACACCATATGGAAAAATCAACTATTACCGCAAAACTCTCGATTAGTTTACAATACAGGACGTTCTGTCGCTCTATTTTATGAGCTATTTAACAAGAAACAGCTGCTTCTTCCTGATTATCTCATATGTGGAGTTGGCACTGAAGTTTATAGCTTTACACCAGACTCAAAATTGGAGAAACTGCAGCAGTGGACTGACATAGTTTTAGAAGACTTTAGGTTGGAACATGTCAAACTTGTCACCCAACAGTGGATTTCCAGTGGTCTTCTTCGTCTACAAAGTGAGTCGGAAAACAGTGAAGTGAAACTAAGTTTTTATTTTGATCCCCAACAAGTGGAGTACATTGAAACTAAGATAGTTCCAAACTTGAAAGCCTCACTTGTTTCAGTGAATATCATTGTTTCTGTACAACATGGAGTAGGACATTTGGATATTCTTCCAGTCAAAGCAAATAAGGGAACTGCGGCTATGTGGCTACGTGAATATCTTGGTTTTCCACCTCAACTTACTATGGTAAGAAAGTTTGGAATGAGTATATGCCAATCTATATATTCATCAAATATCTTTAGGTATGTGGTGAATCCATGAATGATTATGATATGTTCTTTTCTTCCAGTCCACAAGTATTACGAGTTGCAGTTGGAAACTGTGAAGAGAACGTTAGAAAAAAATTTTTACAACTTTCCAAAGTGGACAATCATTTCTATCTTGCTTCAAGACATTTTGCTGGAGGTATTGTTGAAGGTTTACATCACTTTGCATTTTTAAGTGGTTCTTGTTGAATTGGTGGCGGTGGTAGTAGTAGTAGTAGTGAAGAAGATGTCAGTTGGAATTCCTATCAAGCTTTTACACGAGGCAATATCACAAACAGTTACTGTAGAAACAAAGAGCGGTGATTTGTACCGTGGAACTTTGTATGATGCAGAGGATAATATGAATTGTCAACTCAAAAAGGTGACTTGTACTGGAAGGGACGGGAAAATCACTCCCTTTGAACATGTCTTCCTAAGAGGTAGTAAAATACGTTTTTTTATTGTTCCAGATATATTAGCGAATGCGCCCATGTTCAAAAGAGTGGAAGCTATTAAAGAAGGAAAGACTGGAAGAGGTTTAGGATTAGGTAGAGGTCGAGGCTTTATTGGAGGTCCTGTAAAGGGTAAGAGAGTTGTGCACTTTATGGATTGTTTAGTGCACTAACCTATGGATAGCAACTATACGGGCAAGGATCAAAAGGCAGCGAACTACGTAAAGTTTTTGCGATTCCTGCAAACACGGAACGATTTCCAAAGACCTTGGTGGTTTGAGGAAAGTTATCATAGTGTCTACTTGTTCAAGTTTGCTTAGATGGGTTATATCTTGTGTTTATCCAGAATGCACTATAAAGTATAGAGAACATTGCCAAGAATAACACTTTGTCCAACAATACTCGTTTTATGTTCTCGTTCGTTATTTTCTAACAACTCGTTAAATGGTTAGCCTATATTCATATCTTACACATTCTTTCAACTTGTGCACTTGATATACATCTTCTCTACCATGAACCAACAACTTCTACTCATCATCATCATCCGACTCACTCAATATTTCTTCCTCATCATCATCTGAATACAAATAGTCTTCTTCGGAGTCATAATCAGATATACCTTCATCATAACTATAATAGTCATCCTCCGAGTCTGAAGCATCATCGTCTGAAGTAGAGTTGGAACTATCTGTATCGCTATCGGAATAAGAAGAATCATCTCCACTCTCACTCTCGTCATCAGACAATGAAGAACTGGAAAGTTCACTTAAAGCGACAGAAATGTTTGCTTCCTGACAAAAAAGCTGACTAGTATTCCTCAGCACCTGTTTATATGGCAAGCTATCACGCACAACGAAAGTTGCTGTTTCAGGCGACAATCCACCCTCTACAAGTAACAAAGGTTTCAAAGGATAACAACTTCCACTTCTGATATTCTTCAACGAAAACTCTCTTGAAGAGCAACCAACAGTCCAAGCATCCAACACAACCCTTTGCAACTCACCACAGCTGTGTTTGTAGTGGAAGAGATATTTATCTACTACTTGGTTACTTGAGGAGAATAGCTTGAAGAAATAATCTTTTTGTATCAACGTTGAAGACAAGGGTTGCTTGGCATGGGTCATGCAAGTGGACCACATACTCTTCAGCAAACAAGATCTTCTCCAACATCATCATTTTATGTTTCTTTTTTGGTTTCTTTTAGGATCGCCATGAAACATATGCATTCATGATTAGTTTCTGTCAGCATCTATTCTTATTGGCAAGACATTGGTGGAAGTGTCCTTTGGAGTTTTCACGTATTGGTGTGACTCTTGTTAAAAATATGTCAACCGAACAACTTAAAAAGGAAGCAGCAGCAAACGCCAAATTGCCTCCTGTGTTTAGCAAGGGTCCTTCTAAAGGTACTTATAGTCCCAAGTTGTTGGATGCTTTGCGTCGTTTGGATCAGTGGATCGACTGGGAAAGAAGAGACCGCATAGTTGGAACACAAAGACAAATGAGAGTGAATACGGGTCCTATTATGGACCTTTTAGAACGATTGGGAAACCCACATACTCGTTTTCAAACAGTTCATATAACAGGTTCAAAGGGAAAAGGCTCCGTCACCAGTTATGTGTCAGCCGCACTCTTTTATGGTGCTGGATTTTCTACTGGATGGTATTCCTCACCTCATGTAGAAAGAATCAATGAGAGAATAGGCATCAATGATAGTTATATTGAAGACGATGAGTTGGCCTTTTGTCTCAACCAAGTATTGTCCGTTCGTGAGGAGTCAGTTACGGCACAGTCTTTCGGAAAGGATTCCACTTGGTTTGATTTGGTCACTGCAGCTGCTTTTTTGGCTTTCGCTAGAGCAAAAGTTGAATGGGCTGTAGTGGAGTGTGGCTTGGGAGGAAAGTTAGATTCTACCAATGTACTCAAGTCAAAGATAACTGTGCTGACCAACGTAGAGTTGGAACATGCAGAAATAATTGGACCTACGAGAAAAGATATAGCAAGAGAGAAGGCGGGCATTGCCTATCAAGGCTCTGTACTGATTACGGGTACGAATAGCAAAGATGAAGCTGGTCAAGTTATCGATGAAATAGCTCAACAAGTTGGCTTTCGAGTTATTCGTCCTTTTGAAGAACTGTTGCAGTTGGAGAACGATAGCTTACCTTTATTCTCCATCATAGAAGTGCAGAATCGATGTATTGCCAAGGAGGTTTTGAAACAGATTGGCCTTATAGGTTATAGGAGCAAAATAGATTCCAAAGTTATAGATGAGAAGCTGTTAGATAGAAAAGATGTTTGGAAAGGCGCCAAGAAGAGATTACCAGCTCGCATGGAATGCTTTAAGCTTTCGAATTCCCTTGAGGTTATCATAGATGGTGCACATGTTCCCAGTAGTGTTGGATTGGTGATGAAAGAGATTACTCATCATCCTATTTGGAAACACAAAAGAATAGATGTGATACTTGGAATGGGTCGCGATAAACATGTAGAAGAAATATTAGATGAGTTGGTACCATTTGTATCTCATCTTTACTGTACATGTGTTGGTCATGAAGGACCTTATCTTGGAGCAGAACAGGTAAGAGTGCCGAAACTTTTTCTAGTTTCTATCGATGATGGATGTTTCTCTAGTTGGGTGAATATGCCAAACAAAAGTCGTTTCAAAGTATCCGCATTCACCCGCACTGTGTGGATACGTTGCATATGGCTATCGAATTGATTGAAAAAGAGAATGCTTGTGAAGATAGTGTTTTGTTGGTTATTGGTTCTTTACATTTAGCAGGAGCTTTGCGTCCCATCGTTACAAGTTTGGCTCGTCAAGAATGAGATAATCTAGGATGACTCTTTTATTTTTGGATAGAATATTTTGGTTTGATTCGTTTCTATCGATTATTAATATTCACAACACGCAAGAGTATAATTAGAATATTCCCAATCGGATAGAAAAGGAGATTGCATTGGTTCTCATACTATATAGTAGTTATGAGCCAACCTGAATATGACCGGTCGGCTTATTGCTTCATGAGTTGTAATACAACCACTATAAAGTGTTTAGCTACAATAACTTGTAAAGTACGAAGCTTATATACTTGTAAGTGTTGTACAACTATGTGGTACGGTGGAAATCCCACCATCAAACACAACAAATGGCTTTACCTTTTGCAAACTACTTGTTGGTACTTGTATGTGAAAAGGAATGGAACTTACAGAAGATCATGTAGTTGTGCTTCAACTCAAGATGAGAAAAGAGAACAAGCAAGTGTTTCTTTATTCGTTGATAAGCCAAATGCAGACTCTTCTCCAAGGAAAACCTCCATTCAGCAAGACATAAGGGAATGGACTAGTGTGAACGATCCTACGAGTGTCAGTGCTCAAGATATATCCTTTTATGAACGACAAAGAGTATTTCAACGCAGAAAGAGAAAGCTCTTGAGGGACTCTTTTGCAGAATGCGGTAGAATTACTTCCCACTTTGCCAAAACTTTTTATATCGGTACACTTTTTATGCAACCGCAAAAACAAGAAGCAGTATGGGCTATCTATGTCTGGTGCCGAAGAACAGATGACTTGGTGGATGGTCCTCGAGCCTCTCAGAGAAAGAATCAACTGGAAAGTATTCTTGGAGAGTGGAAGAATCGATTGGAAACTGTTTTCTCTGGAAGGCCTTATGATGTATTAGATTTGGCACTCTATGAAAGCAAGTTGAGGTTCCCCCGATTGCGTATGGAACCTTTTTATGAAATGATCAACGGTATGCAAATGGATGTTGAACGTGATAGATATGATACTTTTGAAGAGTTGTATTTGTATTGTTATCGAGTGGCTGGAACCGTTGGAATCATGACGTTGGCAGTGATGGGAGTTGCTGATCCCAATCCAGAAACTTATTATGCTGCTGAGGAAGCTGCTGTTTGTCTCGGTATTGCATTTCAGTTGACTAATATACTCAGAGATGTTGGAGAAGATTGTCTTCGGGGTAGAATTTATATTCCTCGAGAGGACTTGATAAGATTTGACTATTCGGAACACGATATGATGGCTGGGATAGTGGATGAACGTTATAAGAATTTGATGCGTTTTGAAATGGAAAGGGCGAGACAATACTTTTCTAAAGCAGAAAATGGGATTTCTTTGTTAAGTCCTGATGTAAGACTTCCAGTTCGAGCTTCTTTGGATATGTATAGAAGAATATTGGATGTTATTGAAGAGAATGGTTATGATAATTTTCATCGTCGTGCATATGTAGGAAAATGGAAGAAACTAAGTATGCTTCCTATGTCTTGGATACTTTGTCAAGAAGGAATATTTTGGAATAGTTGCAAAGCATTGTTCCGCTCTTCATGAAAGAGAACCAAGTGTTGGTGTGTTGTGGGATTGGATTGGGACATGTCCCAACATTCAGAACCTAATAAAACAAGTAAAAGTTCCAGTGCTGGTGGAATATTGAAAAGCTCCAACAACACAACTTGTGCAGACAAATCCAATACTGATAAGAAAAAGAGGTAGTTTGGTATTTCGCTCGTTGACTAGGGTTATTCAAAACTTGGAATAGAGTAAGACTGCAATGGGATGAGGAAAACCTCCAAAGGAATGAAACTGAAAGGTAAAGTGGAAGGTAATTCTTGTCGTTTTTTGTGATAGCTAAGTGAAGAACATTTAGAGAACCACGGATGACCATTGCCGAACCGAAGACGCCATATCACTTGAGTGATCGTTCTGACTCGGATTCAGAGGCTTCGACAGATCGTTGTGCGAATTGGCAGGGTCAAGAAACACGAGACTTGCGTTTGGAAGCAGCTATATCAAACGCCGGCAATCTTTCAGAAGATATTGGTTATAGCAGCAATTCTAGTCAATCTACTCCACGTAGTCGTTCTAGTCGAGAGGAGTTTGAAAGAAAGCGCAAGTTTCATTATGATGAGTTTAGAATTTCCAAGTATTTTAGGGAAAGAGGAGAGCTTTGTGTTGACCAAGTCCATAGCCATGGAGAAGAAGAAGAAGAAGAAGAACGGATAGATAGTGAAGAGGATAGTGTGCCTTATCCTTGCAAGGCAGCCATAGAGTCTGAGCCCGTTTCTTCAGAAAGTGAAGATTCCTAAGCATTTATATATATATATATTTATATCTTCTTCAATTGCTATTATCCAATATATATGAGACAAACACAAAAGTTTTTATTTGCCAACGTAGTAAAAGGCATATTCTCAAAGTAGAAACTAAGATTCGTATAGGTATATATGTTTAATCAGGAACATGTTGCACGTTGGAAGCAAATTTATCTTCTTCGTGAATATATCTCTTTTGTTCAAATGTTTCAGAAACTTGAATTTGATCGTCTTGAGATGCACTGGCTATTCCATTCTGATTTGTACGATATATGCTTTCTCCTTTTCTTCCACGAATCCAATTGTAAAACTTTTCCCATTGTATCATAAAAGGAGTTGGACCCAACTCTTCTACTCTTGGCATAAAGGGACGTACTAAAGCCTCATAAACAAAACCTCCTGAAATACCACCCAACATGGAGCCTATCTGATTAGCCCACAACATACCACCAGGACCAGGTAAAGCAGTTTTACCCATTCCTAACATGGCTCCAGCAATACGGGCACTCAAGTCACGAGAGGGATTGATAGTAAATTGGTTAATCATTCCTAGCGAACAGCCAAGTTGCATAACCAAGAAACCAACAATAACCGGAAACATATTTGCACCAGGAGCAAGTGGATTGTAGGGATCTGTTATTGCAAAAATAACAAACAGTAGGAACGCAGTATAAAAAGCTTGTATTCCAAAGGAGTGGATAGTTGTATATTCACTCAAATCGGCATTGTTGAAGAATGCCGCTGTTACAGTTGTTGCTTCACTTAGGGGCTTCCCTGCTGCAATCTGATAACCTACTGGATAATAAGTGAACCACATATTCAATGTTCCACATGTTCCTCCCAGAACTTGTGCAACAAAGTACGGCAATGCTTTCCATTTGGGAAAACCTCTAAAGCAAGCAAAGGCCAGCGTTACAGAAAAGTTGAAGTGTCCACCACTAATCGCACCAACAGAAAATACCATAAAGGTAAAAGCAAAACCCCAGGGAAGAGCCAGGCCCAAAAATCCTGGAAGAAACGGACTTGGACTGTAAAATAACATCATACAAGTGATAGCTGTAGCAGTTGCCATAATATACCACATTCCAAGAAATTCACCTATGAGCTCTGGTATCAATTGTCTTATCTCTCTACGAATAACTTGGTGTTGTGCAGGTGGAACCAGAAGAAATATACTTCTCTCCCTACTAATTCTGTGTTTACCGTCTTCCATTTCAATGACACCATGATGAGCAACGTTGGACATTGCAGCTACAAGCGTCAATAATGAAAGAGAAAGAGCAGATGTCGCATCCTTAATAAAGACCTTGTCGCATTTTCTCCTCTGCACGAGAAACTGTGTGGAATCCCCAATGTCTACTGGACATGCGTCGAAAATGAACAACAGTTACCCAAAATGATTTTCTCAAAATAAATGGTTTGAGATCCTCATTTATTGAAAATACGATATCCAACGAGCCTTAAGATGGATAGAAGAGGACCACTTTTGAACAATGTACAAACAGATAAAAGAAAATAACAATAGGAAAGTCAACTGACCTCTTGGAAAATGGTCAGGAAGGGAGTCAAATTGGCCTATGGGAGCTATTCGTTCTACAACCCACTCGAAACCAAACTTTACAAGAGATTTAGCAAGTGAAGTAGGAAACATAGGAAAACCTACTCCCATAATAAGGGTACAACTTTCTCGGAATCTGTCGGGATAAGATACTACTTGTTCCACTCCTAAAGATAAAAACAAAGGTTCGCTTTGTTTGTGTAGAGGTTTCAACGGAATATTTGGGTAATAGGGCATATTTTGAAGAACATCCTATTCTCTTGGTGTTGGATATCCAAAATAACTGATGGAGTAATAAGTAGTCTTACCTTTGATGAAGATTCGTTGCTATCTTGTACCAAAGGCCTTCTTGGATGAAACCAAAGTTTAGGTATTACAAACAGGTAACCATCGAGAGAGTGTAAAAGTAAAAACTGAGGAGTTATTCCATTCCGGGTTTGAGTAACAACCATATCACGTATCCATATATCCACTATATCACAGAAATACATTGAATGAAATGATAAAGGTTGACAATATTCACCTTCATATCCTTGTAGATATACTACTGGAAATTGTTCTTGTGGAATAGAATCACATTGACTGGTTGCTTCCTTGAAAGTTTCAAGGAATTCATATTTCAATCCATCATCATAAGATGATGAACTCACAGAATGTAACATTTCCCCAACATATATCTCTTGACGTGAAGTTGCCAAGTTTCTTAAGCTTCAAGTTCTATAGCATGACATCGACAAGTATAAAAGAATATACACTTACCTATACAAAAACCAATTCTCTATCCATACTCCAGAAACTGGCAAAGAAGCATTGGCATGATGTGAATCATATAAAATGTTTCCAGTTGCTCCATCCAATACATAGACAGAAATTCCAGTTTTGGATAAAGTTCTTTTAGTCACGATGAGTATTAAGTGAGGGTTGAGATATTTCGTGGCAACACTTCCATTTAGAAAATGAACATTACGCTCTTTCAACTCTATATCTCTTGAATGGACCGTTCGTATGAAACAAATAGATTCATCTCTACTCAATATCAGACTATACAAATACTAAATGATTGTCAAGTGTATGTATATATATCTATTTGAAAATAAAACAACATGAATGTGGACTCCTTACCTTGGTGCAATGGAGTTGCATGTCCATCTCGTATCCAGTCAATTGATTGGCATCTATTTCAACTAATTGAAAGTTATCTTTCAAGGTAAGGGGTGTTTGTAAGTAAGAATCCCACTGGATGGTTCCATTCTTATAAATCATCAAAAGATGACGAACATCCCATGAAAGAACCTTGAAAGGGATATCCGAATAATAACAATGACGCTTCAACAACTTTCCATTATCCACTTGTAGATAAAATATACAATCATGATATAGATTGGATGAAATGTTCGTAGAATAAACCACTCGATGATGCCAAATTCCAAGAATCAATTCATTATCCAAAGAGAATATTACAATAGAGTCGTTTCGATCTAAACAACGAGGTTGTTCATCAAAAAGATAAGACTTCCATAGTAAAGTTGGTTTTCCGATGGAATCGAGTAAATGCGCTTGAACAGCTCCACAGCGAGAAACCGTTACAAGTATTCCTTGTGAATAGCATATGGATGATGACAACGCGTTGATATTTGGATATTCTTGATGATATCCAAAAAACAATTGGTGAAAAAACTAAACGAAAAGTTCTCGGGAACAACTGGATGTTTCTCTCATAAAAAGAAATGAGACTCCTTTCTAGCGCAGTTGTACAATGATTGGAGGATGGAGTTAACCATTGATGAGTAACTATATGAGTCATAGAAAAATCAATTTTCCAAAGCAACTAGAAAAATATTTGACTATGGTGAACAAATATTTCTTCATTCATGTTACCTTTGTTTTGGTTTGGTTTTCAACGTTTGTCAATTCAAGACATATTAACTCTTCTACTGTAGAGTAATAACACAACAACTCGTTCCAAGGAATAATAAATGTATGGATATTGTCACCAAAGTAACTGCTATCGACAATCCAAGAATAGTTTGTTAATTTCAAGGACTCAAACTCCTCCAAGACAGCGAAATATTGGATCCTCGTTCGATGGTTTGATAAATCTTCCGTCATGAAACATCCTAATGAAAATAATAGCGAAAGATTCATTTAAAAATTGATAAAGTACCTTTGCTTCGAGGCCAATTGTGACATTTCAAAAGTTGAGAACGAAACAATTCTTCTACTTGGATTTCTTCGGGAGTTACTTTCAACGAAGCAATTGAATTATTCTCCTTTAGTCTTATAATTGTAAAGAGAGAAGGAAAAGACGTCGTAAGAATTTCAAAATCTATTGTTTCCAGAAATGAAAGCGGCATATCAGTTTGTCTGACGATAGGCTTTACCTTGGTTCAAAGAAACTGTCCTTTCTATGCTTAGTGTATCTTGTTCCGTTGTTACAATGAGACTGTCTAGCTTCTTGCAAATACACTGACCAGAAGGTAACAAATGTAATTCACTTTCACAAGCAGTTTTCATTATAGAGAGTCCGTGTCTATCATGTAAATCATCGAACGGAATACAGCCAAAACTCAACAACGAATCATGTTTGTCATAAAAGATAAGACATAAATCAGGTCTTTCTGATTCACTTTTAAAGAGTTAGCCTGATAGAATGCACCAAAGCACGACTTACGGAGAATATCGAAGTCTCAGTTGAAAAGCTTCCAACTGAGGCTCATCATAAGACAAAATAGAATATCCCTCTGAATAAAGGTTGTAAAGATAGATTCTATTATAGCAGCCAAGAATTGCCAAATTATCTTGTACTAATTGCCATCTCTGGTATTGAAAATCTCCCCTATGAGTTTCTTCGCTGAATTGATTGTCTGAATCGAGAAGAAAGGCAGAAACTCTAGCAAGTTGAAGAAGTACTACTTACTGAAAAGACCAGGTACACAAGTGAGATAACTCCATTGGAGAGTTCCTGTTTTCAAGTTGAGTATTTCTGCATAAGATAAAGTATCTATGCGGACAAAAACGAGTACAACTGGATCAAGAGGTATAAGCTGCTCTACAAACACTTCCTTTGATTCCGTATGAAAAAACCTCCAAACTACATAAACTTAGATACTGGTTTTCAAAAAAGTCTCAAAACATACGTATGTCACCGGAAGATTTTGAAATCTGGGAAATAACGCCATCCGTCGAGACAACTAGCAGACTGTGGTTATCCACAGCTACAATATTCTTAGGTTCTCCTATGTTATTCGAAATCCAGCTATACGAGAGAGCAACCCAGAAGAAAGAAACCAAACAAAATAATAAAACTATCCGACTATCACAAATGTTCAACATCTCCTCCTTCCTTACTTAGTGTATGTTGGCCACACTCCAATCATGGATTGTTGTTTAGATGATTGCTCGCGAGACAAGTCAACCTTGTACAAGTTGAGCTTTCTATTATTCAATTGCCGAATTGGAGGAAGGTTTAGTTGTCTCTTTTGCAGCCATTTTATAGAAACAACTAGGAAATATAGAAGATACTCGTTACCTCGTTCTTCAACAGCAGCTGTGCGCAAAGTTGCACTCATATGTCAATCAAGAGAAACCACTTGGAATTCTCCTTTTCAAGGCCCTGGTCTTATTTTTTGTCATTCAGAGGATAAATATGCTTTCGATTCGAAACAAATCGGAGGGCCAGTGGTCTTGAAGGAACGCGAAGAACACGAGGAAACAATATGGAAAATGTGGTATTATGGTCGTAGCATTGGATTTCCTTCAAAAAGCAATCTGGTTGATCTACCTACGGGATGCATTGGTTACGCTACGTCAAAAGATGGTATTCATTGGAACCGAATGTCTGGATTGGAAGAACAAGGTTCTGTTTTGGCACCCAGTCGAAGTAACGAAGATGATTTCGACTCAGCTCATGTCGGTGTTTCAGACGTTGTGGTAATTTCTTTTTTGGTAGTTTTCATTGCTTGGGAAACTAATTGTATTTAGTTGCGAAAGATAGAAAGCGATCTTGCCAATTACAATGTCTATCATGTCTATTATTTTGGTGGAAACAATGCAATATCCACCGTTCAAATAGCTTCTTCGAACGACAAAAGAAAAAGATTGGATATTGTCGGCTTAAAAATGTTGCCAGGTTTAGCTATAAGCACCGATGGCTTCCAGTTTACTCGTATAAGAGGAGATTGTAAAGATGGTGCTCTACTTTCGGTTGCTCCACATAAAGACTTTGATAGTTTATATTGTGGATGGCCTCGAGTAGTGACTTTGGATGAATCCCATTATATGATGTATTATCACGGATTAGATCCTACTCGTGGAATGTTTGTGGTGGGAATGGCTGTTTCTCCTGATGGTTTTAGTCGTTGGAGAAAATTAGGTCCTCTTAGAGGTTTAGGATGGGAGAATGACAACTTTTCTCGTCCAGGAGCTTTCGATGAAAGAGGCTGGGGAACCAGGCACGTGATAAGGAATCCTTCTGATCCTAGTAAATGGTTGATGTTCTTTGAAGCAGTCTCCAGAAAGGGCATTCATTCTATAGGTATCGCAACTTCTCAAGATGGTTTGACATGGTCAAGACTCGTAGACTATCCTATTCTTATTCCAGGAGATGATCAAGTACAGGATAGTTGGGATAGTGGAGCTATTGGTTGTCCTCATGCAGTTGTTCAACAAGACAACAGCATTTGGTTGTATTATGTGGGATTTGAAAGAAAGGAACATGGAGGGCCGTTTCGTAGAACAGGTTTCGGTTTGGCCTGTAGTGAAGGAACGGATTATACTCGATTTCGAAAGTATAAAGACATTCAATAAATATTGTTTCTTCCTATAAATAAGAATTTCGACATGTATCTTTATATCTACTTGAAAATCTGTTGTATCTTTGTCAGCGTAAGATTCTTTCTTTTTTTTCTCTCTCTCTCTCTCTCTCTCTCTCTCTCTCTCTTCATATATATAAAGTATGGTAAATATCTATGAAAGATAAGACTTTGAACCTACTATGAAAGTTTGATTACTTTCTTTCTGTTCTCTTTCCAGCCTCATTCCTTCGTCTGTAAAACAACTCGAGATCCTCTGGAGACTTCCAAATAAATCTTCGAATGGCAATGAGACTCATCTTAGGAGGAACAACTTGATCACGACAAACGATTTCCAATTCCGCAGTGGGTGAAAATTCAAACGGCAACTTGCCACCTTTACTCGAGCATCTTAGCCGTTCAATTTCCGTTCTAATGTTATTGGCAACATAGGTAGCCAATTTCTTTGCTCTTAAAATACGAGGGGCTGTCAGTTTGCTTTGAACAAGAGCAGGGAAACCTGAACCTTCCGCAGGTTTCAAATAAAAGGAAAGTTTCGGTATTTCACGACTCATCGAATGCTCATCTCGAACACACTTCAAAACCCAATCTGGAAGATAAGATGCTTCAGTTCCATCAAAGTCTTTCAAAAGCTTTCGCAATAATGGCCTCGTGGTACCTTCTTCTATAATAATAACAGGGATATCTTCCGGGAACTCATAAGGTGGTAAATTATTGGAATTATTCAGGACGGCAGTTTGCTTCTGGTTGCTTTCTGCAGGATCCGAATGAGATAAAGAATTAATTTCATCATAAAAAGTCTTCGGACTACCTTCTAAAAGTTTACTGTAACGTTCATGCCAATTCCTAAATAAACCTCTTAAAACGTGTTCTCCAATATTGACTTTGACTTCATCCGAATCTACATCTAAACCAGCATCAGACGCATAAACTTCTGCTGCAAAGCATACATTAGGATCTAATACAACCATAAGACTGCCAAGTCGAGTTACTAAATGAAACCAAGTAGGTACAACAACCATTTCGTCAATTTCTTGCTGAATGTCTTCCATTGTTCGACTGTTACCAAAGTCTTGCAGCAATCTGCCCCGAGAGACATCCCAAAGCTGAACTTTACCTTCTGAATCGCAAGTTAAAACATGTCGTCGATTATTCAAAACGGTCTTGGCTACAATTCCTGGTTCTCCTCGAATGGCTAGATAAGGTTCCTTGAATATGGGATCATCCGTAGCTGAAGTACTCAAAACACTTCTCAACGATATCGGCGAAGTACGAGACTTTATATTCATATCCTTGGAATTCTGATTATGGATATCATTAAAACACTTATTCGATTCCCAATACTTGATATTTGAGCTAAGTGAACTGGTCCACAAACTTTTCTCATCAGGTGTCATACAAACTCTTAGTACATGATTATATTTGGAATTATCTTCGACTGCAGCTATCATAAGCACAGAATCACCAGTGTGAAGTTCCGTTTTCCAAACTGCACCATCTCGTCCACCCGAGAGGAACCAGTCAAAGTTCTTACTCGCAGCCAATGCCCAAACAGAGTCGATATGTACATCAAACGATAGCATACATCGTAAGTTGCGAAGGTCCCAGACTCGAGTACTTCCATCACTACTGCCTGACAAAAGGAGAGTTCCTTGTTCATTCATGGCTAAACAGCGAATTATATCTCTATGACCTCGAAGTTTTACTGCCCTGGTTCGAGTTCTAGTGTCCCAAAGGGAAATGACTCGGTCACTCGAACCCGCTGCAATGATAGAACCTTCAGGAGACTGCAAGAATTGCTCTGAGCTTTCTTCCAACCCAAAACTCTTCCCACCAGAAGCTAGGCAATATACTGAAGTATTCTCCTGTAAACCCTTTCCCAAAACTGACTGATATTCGCCTTTTTCCAGATCCCATATCACAATCTTGCCATCTAAAGAGCCACTTGCCACAATACCTCTATGTCTATCCACCGCGGTGAGAGCTTTTACATAGTCTGTATGTTCTGCAAGGGTGTTTGAAGAGCCACGTGGAACGAGAAATTCTTCAGACACGGATACGGTTTCTTTTACGTCCCATACCTTAACAGTAGTATCTGACGAACAGGAAACCAAAACCCCTGAAGGCAAGAACAACAAGTCGTTTACCCAGTCAACGTGTTCTTCTAGGTTCAAGATATTCTCCCCTTTCTTTGACCAGCCTCTTATCGTGCCATCACGTCCTCCTGAAAAAAGTGAAACTACTTGGGAGCTCTCTGTGTCTGGTTCACCAGCATATGGAACGACAAGAGAGTTGATGCCAAAGCGATGCCTCTTTTCTGGTGGTCTTAATAAATATGCAACCTTTCGTCTGGCAAGATTTGTAGACGACTTTTCCTCACTAGTCATATGTCAGTGTTTCTGATAACTAAGTGAAGAGCTAATCAACAGAGTTGTTCCAATTAACGTCTACACAATTTTGCGAGAAATGCACTGCAATTTTTCCGTTGCATTTCTCTCTCAAGCGCAACTTATGTTGATACGCCATCACAGTTTTTTAAACGAGTCGGAAGTCAAAGCATTCCATATATATATATATAGTATAAATAGAATGAGATCGTCATGTTAGACAATAGTTTTGCCCTCATTCGCAATGTTTTTATTTCCTTGTTTAGAGCGTATCTTTGGAAGATTGAGAAAATTGGTGCTTTTCCAATTATTTTTTCGAAAATTATTTTGCTAGTTTCTGGATAACTGAGAATGCACGTTTGTGTTTTGTGTTCTACTAGTTCGAGTCTTCTTTGATTCACAAAATATTCGCTAAAGTTATATTCTTTGCTTCGTCGTTTTTTCGCCAAGTTTTTAAGAGTGTTGAGTCTGTTACGTTAATGCTGATAAATAATTTCTTGAGTGAATGGGAGTTTCATTTTACTTCGACTGTAGGAGGACTATTCATGTCATGGCAAGTTTTCTCTGCCTTGCAACAGTGACAGAAAAAGACAGAGAGACTCTATTTTAAGCTTTAAGTTGAGATAATTAAACTATACAAGTACCAAAAGAACCAAGTTGGCCTCTTGTAAATGTGTCGGAAATTACACAAAGCTGCCCTTTGTCGAGAATATTTAAAGTTTCATATTTGGAAGACACAAATTGTTTTAGCTTTTTGCACTATCTTTATGCTTCATATTTATCACAACTCTTCGAGTCTGGAAAGATACAAGTATTTCGGCACATCTACGAAACAACTACAAACCCATCAAAGTAAAACCTCTCCAAGAAATCAACAGACCGTCTTTGTTTTGTTGCTCTATTACCAACGGGATTGAGAGCAATAGACGAATACTTCTTTTCGATTGGTAGCTGCTTACTTTCAATCCTCTCTAGCTGCCTCACATTTTTATCTCTGGAATAGCTTCCATAGCAGAGTCAGCCACTTTATCAATTCAACAGTCAGTCACTTTTCGGCAGAACACTAATAGCTTCAAAATACTCCCTTCAATATAGCGCGCGTTATAGCAATTATCCAGATAACATGAGTGATAGAATAAAAAAAAGGGACTTTGGTACCAAATATCAATAAGTCAAACTTTTCAATTGCAACTTTAAGTTTATTCGCACGATAAAAAGTACTCAAGCAAGTAGGCACACACACATTCATCTTTCAAACAAGACAAAGCAGCCTTATTTGGTGGCTTCACCAGAGTGCAACAACTCCTCTTCTCTTCTTGCCCGATCCAAAGCAAATGCTTTGTCATAAGGAGAGACAAGAGGTGTATCCGGAACCGGAAGTCCCAACAACTTGCGTAAAGATCTCCATCCGGCACGACAGTGATAACCTGCAATAGTAAATAAACCTTCTTCAAATACCACTCTCATTTGTTCCAAGGTAAAGCCCTTGGTTTCTGGCAAAAATAAGAATTGCATCACAATACCAAGAAAGTTGAATCCAGCATAGAATCCGAAACCTCCCTGAGGTCCCCATGCCTTTTTCATAGAAGGCCATGAAAAAGCAAGTGCAAAGTCAAATGCATTTACAGCAAACGTGGTTATAGTGGTGCCTGCTGCACGTACATAAGTAGGAAATACTTCAGCACAAAAAGTCCAAGGAACCGGACCAGCTCCCGGGCTGTAGGCAATAATGAAGAAGATAACTCCAATAATAAAGAATGCCAAATTCACTTTCTTATCTCCATAGAAAGAAAATAAAACCATTAATAACATAAGAAACATGATAGGGAAAGTGACCAATTGCAGTGTTCTTCTTCCATAGCGATCAATAGTGAAGTACACAATCACTGTAGCAACCATGTTTACGAACCCTGGAAATAAACTGACAGCAACCGACACTCTTGAACCCATATGAATATTCTCTTTGAACACTTCATCAATATAGTTCATAAATACGTTCATGCCACTCATCTGTTGGAAAAGCATTTCCATACATCCAATAAGGACAGCTCGACGAATATAAGGTACACGAATTACTTCAACAAGTAAATTCTTTCCTTTCTGCAAAAGTTCATCCTCCTCAACACCCTTTTTAATTCGAACAAAGTCTCTCTCAGCAGTTTCTGAGGTAAGACGCAACTTGTACAAGTTTCTCTTCGCCTCTTCATATCTGCCCTTCTTTATCAACCATCTTGGGGATTCAGGAACCGTCCAAATGAGGAAAACTTCCACAACAGATGGTACCATAGGAAAACCAATCATAATACGCCAGCCAACATTCTTATAGTTCACCCAAACAAAGATGAGATTGCACAGATACGCAAGAAAGATTCCAATCGTGATAACCTGCTGGTATAAAGAAACAATTGCCCCACGGATACTAGCAGGTGACATTTCTGCCAAGTAAACAGGTGCTGTTTCCCCAATCATCCCGTATGAAAAGCCAAGAATAATCCTACCAGGAATAAATACTTGCCATGAAGGAGATACAGCTTCCCAGATACATGCACCAGTTGAGAAGACGGCTGCCAGAGAAATGGTAAACCTCCTTCCAAAGTATGTATTCGTGAAAAGAGCAATGAAAACCCCAACAAAGCAACCAAAGTAAATACAAGAAACAAGAACTCCTTGAAGGTAAGTTCGGCCCCCTATCCCAAAATGAGGAATATATCCAACTTGGGCACCACTAATTGCTGTTATATCAATGCCGTAAAACAATACAGCCACAGAAGCAACCACCACAGACCAATAGAAGGAGCGAGTTTGACGCCAAGGATGTAGCTTTTCCTCTTCTGTGAGATATTCATCATCTAAATCGGTCACCCCTTCCTTGCTAAGCTCTGCGTTGTCAAACTCTTCAATCTTTGAGTCATTTGTCATTTGTTGAGCTTCCGTGATACTTTCCATGACCAAATCAAGAATACAAAATCAAAGCTTACTCTTGTTGTCCTTTTTATAAAAGTCCCAAGTTCACTCCATTTGCCTACACGACGAGTTGCAAAAAAACCAACAGTCGCTATCCTATTTGCCCCGTCTTGAAGACAACTCCAATTGCCTTGCTTCCACAGGGTGCCCTATACATTTGAATACGCCTGTTCCCCCCGAAAGTCCAAGGGCAAGGGAAGGTGGTCGACGAGGGATTTTTGGATAATTTCCACTCCGAGGACGTAGGATGTTATTTTTGGAAATGTGGTTTATTGTTGAAACATTGGTCATATTTTGGGTTTTTTAAATCGTTTTACTGTGCACGGCTGCTTTCTCTCATTGATGAGTGTAATAAATATATACACATACATTTTTCATAGTAAACTTTCAACTAATAAATACATCCAACCTTCAACAAATAAAGTGGATGGGTTGCGAGATAAGGAAACAGTGCATGAAATGACTCAAAGTCACTTCAACTGGTACAGGTCATTTGTACGAAAATTCGAAAGTTTTCATTCACCCACAACCCTTTTCTAGACACCAAATAGTCCAAATAGCACTTTGTAGCTTTTCTTCAAGCTTAACTAAAATCCTCTTCGATACAATACTGCGTTATGGCTTCAAATCAATTCTGCTTAGACCCCTTTTTTCTATTAAATATATGTATTCTACAAACACTGTTTCTCAAAATCGGATTTGTTTGATCTTTGCCAAAATGTTGATCAGCATCTCAACGTATTTTCTTACTAGTTTCTCTGAGAACCTCTCTTGAGAATTAAGAACTTGACTTATTTCAACTGGCAAAAAGAAAACTGGAAGCATTAGCTTATTCAGGGTATATATCAACCATTTCTAGACCAAGGAAAACTTTTGAAATGACATAACAATTTAACTAGTTGACTGTCAATGGACCATATTCAAGAATGAAAGTTTTCAAGGTCTTGATTGGAACTTGTATTCTCTGTAAACTGGCTTCACGAATATTATAAGTCTTTTATTAGATTCCGATCTTAGTTGAAACTCTTTTGTCGAAGCGTAATCTTTTACTTCATTTCGGTCAAAAGCGTGTGCTTCTGTTCTCATGCTAAATGGTAGAAAAAATATGTCAAGTGACAATTTTGATATGAATTCATTTTTAGAGAATTTCAAGGCATTCCTTCTAAAGAGTAGGAAGTTTTTGAGTTTTAAAATGAAAGTATAGTCAGACTACTTTATAAGAAAAAAACGAAGATTCCCTTTGGATACTTCTGAAACAATCCATTAAGTTTGAACATTTTTACGTGAAACTCATACGGTAAAAGATGCAACATTATGAAATCTCAAACCTATCTCCTACCTTATTGATTTTGTTCCTAAGTGAGTAAGGTTGGGCACAAGGTGTACTTTTGGGTTCATTGGAAGATTCGAGAGAGCTTGAACAGAAAACAAGTTTCTTCCGGGAATGTAGAATCGATAGAGGTGGAGTGAGGGTAAACAACGTGAATTTCTCAAGCCCTTCGAATAAAACATCTTTGTTATTGAGCAGTTTGTCAGCAATGGCTCCTAAAGAATCTATCAACACTCTCAAAACTAGTGTATACGGTTAGCTAGTGTAAGTCGCAATGGTGTCTTCCAAACACCGTTTGTTACACGCAATAAACTTTGTTCAGTCTAACTTCGAGAATAGCCACTGTTGAACATTATCGCCTTTAAAGTCGGAAGTTATGTAGACTTGATGAAGGAACCATTCTGTGCTTTGCACCAACTTGTGCAAGTTTCATGGAGAACAAGAGTACAAGTTATGCTTGCTGCAAGAAGTTCTTTTATTGCGTCTAAGTGTGACGACAAATTTTTGTATCATTTTTCTGCACTTGTGGACTACTTGAAAGCAAGAAGCTTTGGTAACGTCTTGAGAACAGTCCTCTTCATTTAACAAACGCTTGTTTAAAACCGTGAACGGACATACTATTATTGTTATGATGAAGTGAAAGAAACACAAGTTTATGATCGCACGCTTGAGAGAGCTTCCGAATTGGCACAGTCGTTACGTGATAAAATTTTCTCGGTGCGAAGAACAAATCCCTTAGAATCTGGCAAGTTGTCCAGTACTTGAGGACTATCCTGAAGTTGTCAGTTGATTGATTCACAGTACTGGATTTTGATCAACTTGAACTTGTTATGAACAGGTGGTATATCAGAGAAGTACGAAGATCGTAGTTGTATCGTTGTCAAGGATATTTTGATATCATTCGAAATTTTTGTGAGAACATATTTGTTGATATCGCGGAAAAAAAGCCCTTTTATTTCATAGAATTGAAAGTTGTCAGAGAAGATTGAGTTGCTCATGCTTTCTTCAGCTCCACTTAAGTTGCGTGATAAAGAGTAGGAGCTTGAACAAGGGATCTAAGAGACGATAATGTTATTTTCTGTTTTGATGTCTTGTCTATTGATTCGTTTCTTCCAAAGGAATTGGAATGCAATATTAGAGGTTGACGAATGCCATTAACTTCTCAGAGTACACAAAGAAATATAGATGATATTAACTAGCGAACAAGAATGTGTAGTTATCATCATATTTTATATGTTTCAGAGTGCATTCGTTATTGTCTTTGTTTACGTGTTACTTGAGGGAGAGATCAAGGACATACACTCATCTTACTGTATGGGACTTTATCATATTCCATTCCACATGAATGAGAGGCTGCCCTATGGTAAGCTAGTTTTCGTCTTAAAGAGTTTGAAGTTTATCGTTTCTTGATTAATGTTTTGATGCCGAAGATACATACATCATACATATATATATATATATCAGCATAGTTAAACCATTTTTTCTATGGTTACCTTTATAGCATTGTTTTTTCAAACATTCGAGACTGATGGAGTTAAAACTATGATCTATTTTAAAATTCATTTTGTCGAAAGATTGATGACCGCACTATTTTTCATTTTGCTGGTCTCCTGTACAGTGTTAGAAAAGGAAAGGGAAAAATTGCTGCGATGCTTGATGCATGAAAGTGCATCTGTTTCAATTTGAAAAAGACACTCCATCCAAAAAATAGAAACTCGAAAGATGTGACAGAAGCAGGATATTCTTAGCAATGGATAAGAATTGCCTTAACTTCAATTATATAGTGTGTTCCTTGAAGTATTGGGATCTCAACATTTTTAACTCTGATTTTTGAAGCCTAATACGCATATCTCAATAAATTCGACATTTTTTCTACGAAACAACTGTTCCTCATCACATTCTGAAAGAATCAATAGCTCGAAGTATCTTGGAACCTGCACGTTTTGTCTTTGTCCAACTAATGGCAGACAGTTGCAAAATGCATATCACAAATTCTAAGCTTATGGAGATAAGCATTGGCGCATGATGGCCTAGCATGATCGGACAACATGCTCAGAAAAAAGCAATAAAATTAGTTGGCTCGTTCTTCGATATCTTCCAAGCTGAGTAAA